AACCTGGGGCGGAGCGAGGGAGACATTATTTTGTGATTTTGTACTGGGTTATTTAATTTTAAAGTTATTTAGTGAATAAAATGTCAGTCTGTTCTGATTCCACAAAAGTACCACCTTTTACAAACTGGAAAAATATATTATTTTTGTTAGTTTTAGACTTATTTATTACAAATCCTAAAAAAAATCCGGAGTGATACCACGGCCTCCCAGAATACCGGCGTGAAACAACCCACAGCGTTGTGTTTCGCCGTGTGAGTGAGGTTACCGGAGGCCCAATCCCTCCCCTTCCCAATCCTTATATCCGCAACCCCCATCCCCAAAAGGCCGGCAACGCACTCGTAACTCCTTTGGTGTTGCGGGTGTCCATGGGCGGCGCCGATTGCTTACCATCAGGTAATCCGTCTGCTCGTTTGTCGACTTATACCATAAAAAAAATGGAATTTCTTCGTAAAACTTAGCATTCACTTCAAAAAACATCTGTAAGCCTTGGTCCTTAGGTACGTCGTATACGCGGCGTAGGCTTTCCATGAAAAGTTTCAATTTTAAAATGATATAAACTTTTGAATAGATTTGAATAAGACTAGGAACTAATACAGACTACATAGGTCCAAAGATCTAAGATTTGTTAAAAGTAAAACAAGTTGGGGTAAGTTAATGTTACTTGTACATCTATCTATCTATCTTCTTATATATAAAAATGAATCGCAAAATGTGTTGGTAAGCGCATAACTCAAAAACACCTGGACCAATTTTGCCAAATGCTTTTATTTTGTATTTATTATTATCAGGAGAAGGTTCTTATGATAGAAAATATTAGAAAAGTAGAGGGGAAAAGGGCCCCTTTCATTGTTAGCGAGATAGTTGGACCCGTGCGTAGCGGGGATGTTTCGCTAGTCATAAATAAATAAAATGAGGAAATATTTCAGTTATTTTTTATAAAAAAATACGTACCTTTAAGGCTGGTGTATCCAGAGGTGGGGTTGAGAGCGTACAGGCCGCAGAAGAATGCAGGCATACGAGTAGACCCGCCGATATCCGAACCTAAGAATTATAACACTATTATATTTTATTCTATAAATAAGGTAATTTTACAAAACAAAACATAAAAACTACTATCTACCGAGTTCGTTTAAATTATAAATATCATATGACATATTATATTAATTGCGAGAATTGTCGCGAATACGGGCCCCAATGTGGGTTGAAACTAGACGAGCAACCTCGTCTAATAGTCAAGTGACGGATAAATTATTGAGGCTGGTTCTAACTGATGTATAGTTTTTGTTTATAGATTATCAGCTGTAACTCAATACTCCTATTTCTATAGAAATTTACAGTTTCTATATTTTAAATAGTTTGTTTGGTTGAACGCGGAAATGTACGAAACTATGAGTACCAACTGCAAAAAAAAAAAATTCAGTGACGGTATGTCCAGTTATTGCAAAAAGTTATGGGCCATTAACATCTTCGGCATCAGAAGCCGAGCTTTAGCCAACACCACTTTGAAAACCACTGCGGAGTTGGTTGTAAGCCAGGATCTACAGTAGATACATCCATGAAAACACCGAAACACTGAAGTCCCAGGGACATGATCAATTCAATTCAATTCAATTCTTTATTTGCATTCCATATGTTATACAGGTGATATTTTATAAAGTTGACACAATATATTAGAAACAATATGGACCCGTTAGGGCACAGCATAAAGAGTTTGGAGAGGTTTGTTATACAGTATATATTATCTAGTTTTGTATTATATCTATGCTTATTACTAAAACTGAAGTACACATGTTGTATTCTTACTTATTAAACTTATTAATACTTATCTTAATGTATGTGTGCGTGCGTGTATTTGGGTGTATGTGGATGTGTGTGAGTGAGTGAATGTGTGTGTGTGTGTGTGTGTGTGTGCATTTGTGAAATTATATGTAAAGGCTTATTTATTTATTTATTTATTCGTTATATTTTGTTTTATATTTTAGTTTGTATTGGTGTTCATTATTTTTTTATTGACTTATCATCCATGTATTCTTTTATTGTATAATAAAATAACATTTAGAGTGTAAAAAGTTCTTTAATTTATTTATAAACGTAGATGTTTTCGTTTCATCTTTGATCGTTTTAGGTAAGTTGTTATATATTTTTATTGACATTATTAGCGGACCGGAAGAATGTATTTTAAGGTGGGATGTAGGTAGATTTAATCTATTCTTGTGTCGTAGGCTATATTTACTTTGAGTATCTTGTCGGGTAGTATAGAATTCAGGGTGATTTCTGACGAATTTGCATATTTCTAGGATATATAAACAGGTAAGTGTGAGAATTTTGTATTTTTGGAAATGTGGTTTGCAGCTGTCTGTTTGTTCAATATTGGTTATTATTCGGATGAGTTTCTTTTGCAAGGTAAAAATGGTGTGCGAATCGGTACTATTTCCCCATAATATGATGCCATAACTAAGCCATGCTTGGGCGTAGGCATAGTATGTGACAAGTGCTGTATGTAGGTTGGTGGTTTTTTTAATTTCGCGTAGGGCGTATGAGAATTTTGAAAGTTTTGGTCGAATTTTTTGTATATGTGCTTTCCAAGTTACATGTGTATCTATTACTAAACCAAGGAGTGTGAATTCGTTAACTTGTTCTAGTTTTGTGTTATTGTAGGAGTAGTTTAATTTTATCGGGGCTTTTTGATGGGGGTGGAAGGTAATTAATTTAGTTTTTGAAAAGTTTATTTCTAAGTTATGGTTTTCCATCCAGTTGAATGTTGAAGTAAGAAGAGAATTTAGTTTTTCGTTTATATTGTCAATTTTTTGGCATGAGGTGAGTATGGAGACATCATCTGCAAACAACACACATGGTCCGTTAATTGTTTTGGGAAGGTCGTTAATGTAGATGAGAAATAGAAGGCACCCTATGACGCTCCCTTGTGGGATAGATGCATTTACTGCTTTTAGGTTTGATCTGATTTGTTGTATTTCGTTATTGTTTTTATTAAAGTATTCTATTTCTATAATTTGTTCTCTATCTTTTAAGTAAGACTCGAACCATTTTAAGGCGTTTCCCCGTATCCCGATCCCGTGTAATTTATTTAAAAGTATTTTGAACTGCACCTTATCGTAGGCGTTAGTCATGTCGAGTAATATTCCTATTGCATAATCTCTATTATTTATCATATTTAGGGCTTCTTGTACGTATTTGTAAACAGCTAAGGTTGTGGATCTATTTTTTCCGGAAACCGTTTTGGCAATCGTCTAATATTTTATATTTTTCACAGAAGGAGTATACACGATTGCACATAGCCTTCTCAAAAATTTTTGAAGCCGTAGGTAGTAGCGCTATAGGGCGGTAGTTGCTGGGGTCTGTTTTTTCATTCTTTTTATGGATAGGTTTTATTAAAGCTATTTTTAATTCTTTAGGAAATATTTCTTCATCAAATGATTGGTTGATTAAAAGATAAAAGGGTATTGTAAGTTCGTCGGCACAATGTTTAATTAATAATGGGGGTAGTTCGTCAATACCATGGCTTCTTTTGTTTTGTAGGTTTTTAATAATTCGGTTAACTTCGTATCCGTCCACTGGGCTGAGAAACATAGTATTTTCTGTAGGGCAAACTACCGGAGCTCCCATTGGTTCAGTTCCAGAAGAGTTGCTATTTTCACCTATAGATGCAAAGTAATTGTTAAAAATGTTTGCTATATGCTTTGGTTCAGTAATTATGTTATTGTCTATGTTAAGTTTCAAATTATTTTTTTTGTCTTTTTATTGTTTTGTTTGTTTTTTCGTTTATTATTCCCCACATGGTTTTAGTTTTGTTTGTAGATCTGTTTAATTTGTTAATATTTTGTAATTTTTTAGATGTTGTTACCGTTTTTTTTTAGTGTTTTTTCGTACTGTTTATAGTATTTTGTTAGAGTGGGTTCATTAGTTTTCATTGTGAGAATCTTAAGTAGTCTTTTGTTTTTACATGCTAGTTTGATGCCTTTTGTGAGCCAATGTTTTTTGAGTTTTGATTTTAATTTTACTTTTTGTAAAGGTATACATTGGTTTAAGTATTTTAGTAGTATGTTTTTGAAGTCAGTATAATTTTCGTCGATGGTTTTATCAGTTTTTATTATGTCCTGCCAATTTTGTTTACTCATTTCAGATTTAAATTTATTCATGTTGTCTTCGCTAAATAGCCTTTTTTTAACATACCAGATTATCTGTTTACTGTTATTAGTGGTCTTTATTAGCATGTGTAAGATTGTTGCACTGTGGTCAGAAAAACCTAGTTCTTCAATGGTAGTGTAGTTATTTTTTTTATTAAAATTGGTAAATATTAAATCAAGACATGTTGAAGTTGTTGTAGAAATTCGTGTGGGTGATTTTATATGTTGTATGAATTTGTGTTCTAGCATGAAATCTAAGAAAAGGTTAGTTTTTAAATTATTATCTAAAATATTTATATTTAAATCGCCTCCTATTACAACATTGTACTTAAGGTATTTTTTATTTATATAATACATAATTTGTTTTATTTGGCACATAAATATTTCTTCTTCTTTTTTGTTCCAATAAATAGTTACTATTAGAATATTTTCCTTTGGTAATTCTATTGCACATGCTTCTATACAATATTCTATAGACATATCTCTAATATCACATATTTCCTTAAATTCTATTTTTTCGCGTAATAAAATGCAGACGCCGCCGCCTCCTCGAGTGCGCCGGCAGAAGGATGCTGCAGTTGTGTAGCCGCTGAGGTGTAGGTTCTCTAGTTTCTCCTGGGAGAGCCACGTTTCAGTTAAACATATGGCGTTATATTCTGGTTTTTCATTTGATAAAAGCTTCTAGTAGGTGATGTTTATTATTAATACTTTGTATATTTTGGTAAAGAATTTTAAATTTTTGTTCTGTAGTTCCGAAATGTATAGTTTAGAGGGTTGTCTTCGTTGTTGTCGGATTGGTAGTTTTTGTTAGTTATTTGTTTATTTTCTTGTTGGTTTGTAGGCGTTAGGTAGGATTCTTTGTCATCTTTTAGTGTTACTTGTTTTCCGTCTATAAATAGTCTGTTATTACGAATTATTGCATATTGACCGTTTTTCCGTGCTTTCATCATTTCTTCGCGAAGTAAATTTCTATGTTTGCGTGCGGTTTCATTTAAGAATTCAGTTATAAATATCCCAGTTCCTTGAAAGTAGTTACCGTTTTCAGTTATATACTTAGACATCCTTTTGCTTAAGAGCTCAATTACTAAAGGTCTATTTTTAGTATTCTTCCTTCCTATTCTATAAATTTCTTCTATGTAGCCCGTCAGGTCTACATTAAGTATTTCATGAAACATGTCTATCAATCTACTGTGTAATTCCCATTCAGTTTCATTGTGCTGTTCAGTGAGGCCATAAATCACAATTTTTTTTGAATTGTTTTCTGTGTGTTTTGGTTCTGTGATAGTTTTCATGGTTTGTAATTCTTTAATTTCCTCTTTCAAGGTTTCGTTTTGTTTGTTTAAATCTTCAATCTTTTTGGTAATGTTTTTATTTCTAGTTTTCTTTCCTCGTTTTGTTTGGATAATGTATTGGTTCTTCCTTCTAGTTCTTCTTTTAGTTTATAAATTGCCTTTTTTATTTCGTCCTCAATCGTGTTTTTGATTTCGGAAATTATATATTTATTGTTTTCTTTTAATCTGTGCATTATGAGTTCACTCAAATTTTGAAGGGAAGGATTATTAGAGATGTGGTTTTCCTTTTCTTCTGAGCATATTGTGTCGCCCAGAAAGCTTGAATCGTCAGATAGTGTCATGTTGAATGAGGTGTTGTTTGGCTTCTTTCTAATCGTAATATTGTTTTCAGGTGTATTTGTTTTTTCTACAGATGGGTTTGGTGGTTTGGTCAGTTTGTAGTCAGGCTGTCGTATAGGTGTGTTCAAGTTACCGGTTTTAGGTACTTTACAACGGCATGTTTGACATTTCCATAAATTCTTTTGTTCTGGAGTCATATTATGAAACACATTTGTAGAAATATTTGCACATTGTAGGTCAAAATTATCGTTGCAAAAATAACAAGCAAGGCTTTCTAACTTGGAAAAATCTTGTTGACATCCTCCACATAAAGTTGCCATTTCTTCGGATTTTTAAAAAACTGCCCTCTAGTGTGCAATGGCGTCTCGGCCTCGATACCTTGTTATCGCTATTCGACGCTAGATGGCGTTGCTTGTGTTTTAGATTGTAGTGTTTTTGTTTTGGTTTCTTTTAATATGTTTATGGTATAAGTAAATATGTGTTAAATACCTTTTTTGTGCTCTTCAAATTTGTTCATAGCTTGTTTTTTTGAATAATAAACACTATTTGGGCACTGAACTGTTTATAATTTTGAATCACAAATTTTGAAAAAGTTCGTTGGTTTAAGAACAACTTTTTTTTGTTTTTTTTTTTCACTTTTCTTCCGGGATTTGTTTGTTCTATTACTTTAAACACTGCTAGTAATTGGGTTTTAACTTTTCGTTGGGTTTTTAAGAAGATAGATGCACTTTTACTATTTTTAACATTTAAAATGCGCGGAGCTATTTGTTTACGTGCGCACTGCAGCGCCCTCTCTCAATATCTTGATCGACTGTCTAGGATTTCGCAACGAAATAAATCAGAAGATAATTATTATAAGAGTTGATTAAAGGGAATTATAAACATGCATATATACACAGGTATGGTGAAGGGAAACATCGTGAAGACACCTGGACTTCTAATTTCTAATTATAAGTTCGAAATCGCCAATACGGTTGTTTCCAGCTAGTCAAATTCAATACTTTTATCCTAATGTCAAAAACGATACTTTTCTATGAAATTTGTATGAAACAGTTAGTTATGACGTTATATAATTTTTGCGTCAAATAGCTTAATTATTTCTTAAGAAAATGTTAATAAATATCTTAAATTTTGCGTTTCGATCGATGAATAAAAGTATATCTATTTTTCAATATATTATTGTATTGAAACGTCAAATTAATTTATTTTTGACCTAAGAAACTACCCAATTCGCCTTGAGCGAGCGTAGTGATTAATGCTCAACCCTTCTCCGTGTGAGAAGAGGCCTTTGCTCAGCAGTGGGCACTTATGGGCTGATGATGTTATGTGATACGTACATAAGGAGATGGGGGCAGTAATGCAGGCGTGTAGCGCGGCTTCGCCCCCGCTGGAGCCGCCGGGGGTGCGCCCCGAGTGGTGTGGGTTGTTCGTCTGACCAAACACGTAGTTACGGCTCTCCATCCTGTTAGCAAGAATCAGTGAATTGTTATTAGCAGTCGTATATATTGCTTGAGTAGTTTTTACAATCAGGTCGAAAAAACAAGTGGAATTTAAAAATTATTATTATGATTTCTAATGTAATGTTCAGAAGTAGGCGCTTCTGAAGCACTCATGGAAATTAATGTTATTTCTTTACAATTAACATTTAATATGCACTTAAGTTTGTAGTGTCTAATTATAGAGATAAAGAAAAAATAACAAAATACGCGTCGATCTGAAAATCTCCTCAGTTTTTCTATTGATAAAAATGACCATTATTAATATTATTAAATCATTGTATTATTTTTTTTAATCCTGGGGTCTGATTTACTTATTTACTGGACTTATTAATAAAACAACAGAAAAATCTAACGCTTAGATATGTCTATCACAAATAGGTGCTATAATAAAAGAATACATAACAAAAACGTAGTTTATATTTAGAAACATCATCAATAAAAAAAGCTACATATATTTGAGATATGCCAAATCACAGACTGCATTTAAGTATGTATAAGATCTTAATGTTTTTGTTACATATACTTTACAAATTATAAATGATCATGATCAAGTGTCACATTCCACTCACCACTTATTAATCTCGGGCACGTTGGTGACAGCGACGGGTATGGCGCCGGCGTCTCGAAGGAGGCGCACGCACTCCGCGTCCTCATGCGCCCGCACGTGTCGCCGGGACACTATGCCTAGTGTATGCAACATACCCGACACTGCATGGCTCTCCTTAGCCGTGAATGGGACGCCTTAGGAAAAAAATAATGATTTTTTTATTATTTTTTTATCATATAGACTAGTGCTTGACTGCAATCCCACCTGATGGTAAGCAGTGATGTGATCGTTGATGGAAAAGTGTACTAGTTTATTAGAAACTAGCTTTTGCCTGCGACTTCGTTCGCGTGAAATAGGGACTTCCTGCAGATTTTTGGTATACAATCTATCCTATGTCCTTTCTCGAGTTTTAAACTACGTCTGTACTAAATTTCACAGAAATCGGTTCAGTAGTTTAGACGTGAAGAAAAGACAGAAAGACAGACAGAGTTACTTTCGCATTTATAATATTAGTTTGGATAGTTTGGATTAAAATTTTATTTCCAGAATATTAAATGAGCCCGTTGGAAATGTCTGTGTCTTGGGCTCTAATTCAGAGAGAGTTCAAATAAACAATTTTCTAAAAATAAGTTTTAAATACGATATGATAATAATATACGAACTCAGGCAAATGTTACCTAGCCGTGTTATTTTTTGATGTGGTAGGAGGAGCCAAGGAGTTCACGGATTACCTGATGGTAAGCAATCAGTACTGCCCGTGGACAAACGCAACACTAAGGAAGTTACGAATACGTCACCGGTCATTTGGAGTATAGGTCTCGGAGATTTGGAAATTGGGACAGGGGAAGAATTGCTTACCATCAGGTAAAAGGCCTGTTTGCAGATCCATCAATAAAAACGTTAAAGAACACACTCATCTTGTCTGTCTTGAAAATTTGCTACAAAACGAATAAGTAGTAATATGTTTTTGCCTAAGGTCTGTCTTGGCTAGTTTTCATATATATTTTTAAGTAAAACACCAAACTCTCAAATATATATTATATAAGTTTTATAAAAAACGGATTCTTATAAGAAACGTATGAATGGTCGTCAAACTTCCCACCAGAAACCCAGGTGCCCTCTTTGCGCGGGAAAACTTTATTAATCTGTCTCAGTTGACAGACGACAACGTCACCACGGCAGCCAGTGTTGCCGAGACCACAGATTATATTAGTGACGTTCATTTAGTTGATTTTCGTCGTCTAACAATACGAATTATTTATTATTTGGATTGTTGACAGAAACCAGTGATAGAACATAATAAATTCTAAATTAACTAAAATTCGCGGGTTACTCACGTGTAAATGTTGAAAACGCGGCGACGGCAACCAATCAGATGACTAAACAGGAGATAAGTTAATTTTAGCGTTGACAAGCCTTTCAGAAACCGGGTGTAAGAAAATATATCTTAATAGATTATTATTTCCGAAACATTTTAACACATTGATCGCACAGCGGAACATTAATTAGCCTTTGAAAGTGAGCGTGAGCCGAATGGCAAACGAGGTGTGAGGTAGAAAGTCTACAATTATATAATTGTTATTATATACAATTAGAAGTATATAATGACGGGTAGCATAATTACTTATGTACGTTATTATTAATTATTTGTTTTGTTATACATTCATTCATAGTGTAAAAGTTTAAATTTGAAATAATACTTTTTACAACTTTTTTGTTATACGAGACACATTATCATATTTATAAAAAAAAACTAACTGACCTGATGACATGAAATGATGATGAAAAAACAACCCTTAATACTAGGGGTATGAAAAATAGCCAGTACAACCGATTCTCAGAACTATTGAATAAGCATACACTTGGTTACAATCGGTAAAGCCGTTTCGGAGGACTAAGGAACAGACACGAGAATTTTATATACATATTATTATAAGAAATAGTTTCTGCCAGCGGCTTCGCCCTTAGTGCCACGATAAAAGTTTCAAAAGCAACCATAATGTACCAACATATGTATGTATGTATGCTTAAATCTAAAAAATTACGCATCGGATTTTGATGCGGTTTTTTAATAGTTAAGAGTGATTGAAGAGGACCTTTTATGTCGTGGTCGTGTCGTCGTGGGCAAAAGCTAGTATTATAATATAAATATTATGTTACCTAAAAACGGTTTCTTTAGGAAGTAGTCATCAGGGAGTCCGCTCTCAATCAGCTTGTCCACCTCACGCGCTTCCTTCAAGGCGTCTTCGTACCGTTCATCCGTCACCGCGTTTATTACAGGGTTTACCTGGGAACAATAATATTTTAACAATACTAGGTACGTATGCTTTCTGCTGACTTTTCTCGCCCAGGGTAAGGCGAGAGAGAATGTCAGTCTCTTACTGACTAACCCCCCCCCCCTGTTCCTTCTCCTGCTTTGGGCTGAGGTCGCGGTGCCTCATTGCGCTAACCCCGTAACCCCGGCTGAGCATCAGCCCTATTGGGCCTTGTCTGTGGCGGTCTATTGGCTCTTAGAGGCGCGCGCGGGACGCTACGCGCCGTACGCTCGGGTCTGGTTCTGGTCGGGCGGCGAGCTGCCCTTAGGTACTCGCCGGCCGTAGACCCGCGAATTAACGCACCCATGGACACCTACACGATACAGTTCGTTACTGCTGGCCTTTAGTTTTATTTGAAAATACAGATTTTTTATTACGTATGTGAACACAATAATATTGAGCTTACTACGTCTGATGAAGAGTATAAGTTTCTTGCATATCTAATAAAACTGGCTTCTTTCTGTATACAATAATATGAATATAAATAACGACAATATAATGACGCAATAGAATAAAGAATTTCATTGTCAGTAAAAAATATATTTAAAATACTATATGTAGCTGTACTACATACCTATTTTAAATATTTTTTTACTGACACTGCGCTCGGCGCTTGGCGATGTCTCTGGAAATATATTTCTATCTTTATGGTCATAAAGAAACCGCTTTTCTTTTTTATTGATGAGTCAAAATTATTCTCTAAGGTCTGTTAGACAAAGATTCTTACTAGATTCTTAAGAACTTACCTACTGAAAGACCAAATGATAAATTAATTTTTCCTTAGCTCTTATGGTTGGCAAAATTGTCTTCCATAAAACTCGTAAAGCATAGTTCAGTTTTTTATTTCGCAATTTTCCGTAATGGACAGGCAACGCCTGGTGGTAACCGATGTTGAACTACTATGGGTCACGCCTACCCATAAGCAACCTATTTACTCGGACCTTAAACGCCCACATTTACGATTTATTTAAAAGCATTCTTTACAGTTGTTACCCCACAATAAAACTAGCTTGCCAATACAATTTCCTTCGATAACAAACTCACTGATATGTAGATAATCTCGTTAAACATTGTAAGATTATTTAATTACATCATATTGATAACAGAAACCTAGATAAAAAAGAATGGCACATGAAGGAAAAAGTCTATATTTTATACTGTAATTTTTTTACATGTTGCAGTAGACGGACTGCATAAGTCTTATCAGATTACAGAACGGAATCAAGAATTTTTGACTAAATAATGAACAACCCAGTTCATCTTTAAAAAACTTGGACATAAGGTTTTTGATTTGACACCACACTATTCAATATATACCTGTTGGATTCTCTCAATGCATGCTTTCACCAGATCTCCAGACTTCAGCTCTTTATTTCTGATCTTCGCAGCCAGGGTCACTGCACTCTCCGTAAGGATTGCATGTCTCTTCTCCAAGGCCGGTATAGGTTTTCTCTTTCCCTCCCAAAAGTATCCATAGACCATATCAATGAAGAGGTCCAGGTATGCCCGAAATACAAGAAAGACATGCTTAATCATGTTGGAGACCATTCCGAAGAATATTTTCCTTGGTTTATTACTGTATTGCTGTAAAAATGGAATGGGATAAAGTGTTAATAAATAAAAATGTGGGGCATGCCTAACTAATGTAGGGACCAACTAACAATATGAAATCAAATAATATGAATATTTAAAACTCATTAAATCAACATTTCACAATATTTTTAATGGACTTGGGAAAGTTTTTTAATAAACTGTGTGATCAATTACGGATTGTTTGTTTTTTTGAGGCATTGTCAAGTCATTATTATTAATTATTTTCATACACTTTAAATCTATATCTCAGTACATAAACCCTACATATATTTACATTCATATTGTTTTAAAAAATAAATTATAACATAAGAGTACCTGTCACAGTTTACTATTATATTTTTTTCTACATAATTTTTGTTAATTATAATAAAAAATTTGTAACAATTTTCTAGCATTTTCTGTATTTTTTACATATATAATTATAGATCTCCACTTTATGGATAATTCTTAGCCTTTTATTAGATAGTTGTTCAAAATATAAATTTCATTTTATTTATAGAAAAGATAAATAAAAAATACCTACTATTGTATAAATTTTATACCCTTAAAGTACCCTACAATAATAAAAGTGATCATCCATTGAAAAAGAAAACTGTTATCAGTAAATTAAACAAAAAGGTCAATATACCTTGCAATGTCACTTACAAAACAGAACTTTGCAACTTTGCATTAATTAAATTATTTTTCAAGTCATCCTCCAAATGTAACAAATTCAATGCAAAAAACAAATTTAAATGATAAAAACTATGATTAAGTTCAATAAAATCTTTTAAACAACAAAATATATTTCAGTTTACCTCTTATGTCTAAAAATATTAAAAAAAAAGATAACACAACACACTCCGTTCACTACTGAAATATTACTAGTCAATAAACCACAGATTAAAATAAATACTTAAGCATTCAATGACACAGGTAATTCAGAAACTAAGCATAAACAGTATTTAGGTAAAATGTTTAGAACATCACCCTATTATCCTCACTAAAGTATTTCAACTAAGAAGGTTATATTATGCTAGATAGGTAGCTATATTACCTTCCTGAAACTGGTTGTAAGAGCAAAGATCATTGTCCTATTCAAGTGCAAGGATAAAAGCTAGGCTTGTTGCCTATGCATTTGCAAGTTAGTTTTTTTTTGGCTGTGTGCTTGGGTACCTAACATTCCAATCGTTTTATTGTAATGTTAAACTTACCTCGATTTTTTCCTTTTTGTCACTGTTAGTTACACTCATCGTCGTGTAAAACTATCAACAGTCAACACTAGTTACATTGAATTATGTTAATTGCAGTGTAAATATTTCGCGCTTACTTCGATAAGAGACTTATTTTAGTAAAAATCTTTATTCTTTTGTCGTTAGCTAACACACATCGGTGTGATGTGAAAGGGATAAGGTGTAATGCAGAAACTTTCTAATAAAACACTTTTTTACAGCTACACTCAAGATGCTGACTTACACTTTGTTTGCTTAGCTGTTTCTTGTTAGAATCAACTACGTATTTCTTGCAATATCAAGCATTTTTAATATTTAATGCTTATCTTATTTCATCGTTTAATACTAATAGTCAATTTACGCATTTTATTTGCATAAATTATGTTACGATACGATGTAAATCAATGGAAAAATAATATTATTTTTTTATTTGTATGCTAGTCTGTCAATGTCAATAGTGTCAATCTTATGTCATTTTAGTGTCATAGTTATTTTTTTCTGATAGTGTTTGTTAATGTATAAAAGATGGAATAAAATAATGGTATCCATAGTACGGGCCCGTTCTACTTTAAAATGATAAAATAAAAATATTGTCTAATTCTGCTTTTCCACCTAATTTCAAGTTTACCTAATATCAATTGGGATATTGGGAAAAATATAGTTTGAACTGCCTCTCTACTGGCGAACAAGGGTTTGATTCCTGATTAAGTGTTACTTCGTTTTTAAAATAACTATCGTGAGACTTAGTTAATTAAGTGTTACTTATTCTTAATTTTCTTTAATTTTTCTGTATATTTTGAGTTCCGTAGGCACTCAAAGTCTCCACTGTGCATCCATCTGTCTGACTTTTGCGCGCTATACTTGAAGACAAAACCAAATAAATATTTATGAGAGGCTTCCATCAGCATCATTTTGTTACCCACAGAACGTGCAGCAAGTAGGAGAGGGAACGGGACCAGGTGGGTGTTTAGTCGATAGTCAGATACTCCCTCTCTCCTTACCCTGGGCGGGAGCTAAAAAAACTATTGAAAAATTCTTACATTGTAATCCTCCAAGGCCCTGGGTAGGTACGCACAGACCTATCCGTCGCCTACAGGGATTAAAAAGTGTTATGAGAAATTAAATAATTTCAAATATACTTGGTACGCTTTTACTACTTACACTTCCATCTTGTCTTGTGGATAATTAAAACGGAATGAGCAGACAAAAAAGAATTTTAATGAACACGTATGAAATTGTAATAAATTATTTATAATTTGGCTCACACTGCAAATTTTAATTTGTTCTCCTTATCCATCGTCTGCGCAGAATATTGTTCCGCAGTTCTGCGCCGGCGCCAATGCTTGAACGCGGTCATTTACCTATGATACATCAGACTTTCTAATATCTAAAGCGTGGATAGGTATACTGCAGTCCACGATCCATATATGTATGAAACACTAGTCACTGACAGCGATTGCGCCCACACTGTAGCCTCTATGTGAAAATGTAGTCTCTATGTTATTTTAGACTAAGCATAATCTATCTCTGTTACAAATTTCATTCAGATCCGTTAAGTTTTTATGCGCAAGAGTTACAAATATCCGTCCATCCATACTTTACCTACAAACTTTAGCGTTTAATTTAAGTTTAGTAACATAATGATAATTTAAGATTTAAATTATATACTTACCTTAAGTGTGTGAGAGCCATATGCTGCGGCACGAATGGGTCGGCTCGACCGGAGTGATACCACGGCCTCACAGAAAACCGGCGGGAAACAACCACATCGTTGTGTTACGCCGTGTGAATTGACTGCACGGTTGGTGCGGTGGCTGGACAACTGGCTGCGGTGCAACGTGTCGCGGGTTCGATTCCCGCACGGAACAACTCTTTGTGTGATCCAAATATTGTTGTTACGGGTCTGGGTGTCATGTGTATGTGCAATTGTATGTTTGTAACCACACCCACGACACAGGAGAAAATCCTAGTGTGGGGCAATGTTGAAGGAAAAAAAGAGGTTTCCGGAGGCCCAATCCTTTCCTTTTAATTGTTGCCAAAAGATCGGCAACGAACTCGTAACTGCTCTGTTTTTGCGGGTGTCCATGGGTGGCGTTGATTGCTTACCATCCGGTAATGCATCTGCTCGATTGCCGACCTAAAAAAACCTAAAAAAATTTTTAATATGAAAAGAAATGGAGACGGTTTAAAGACGCAATACTTTCAGGATTTCATAAGAAAGGAATAGCTAGCTAGGAATATTCTTCTGAAAATACTTATACGATGGTTCACGGTATCAGCTTGCCCAGAGCAGGAGAGGGAACAGGGGGTTTTCAGTCAGAGTCTGACACTCCCTTCCGCCCGGCCCTGGACAGGAGAAGTCATTTGATGATTTTCCCCTCACGAAAAAAAAACGGTATCAGCTTGTGCAGATAATGGTCATTCATTTTATTATATTTTATAAGTCTGTCGGAGTTTCTTATTAGGAGGTATACGCAGTTTACGCCAGTACGGGTAGCCAGCTAATTATTATTGCTAATACTTAGGTATATAAATAGACACTAGGTATCATTTTTAAGAACGTTCTCCCTGATCACAAGAATGGTATGCATTGCACTTTTTACAGTCACAGCTTGACATTTATTCACTTATGTTAATACGGATTGGATCCCATTACATTAACAACAAAAAACAAGAAATATTAACAACATTCATAAGTTCCTCTTGCAGTACCTTATGCATTCTAATAAAATTTCCTCTTCCATTCATCTGCAAACAAATCAATAATTGGATTAGATTCCAGGTAATTATTAAGTAAGAGAGTTAGCGTTAAAGTGCGAGTAATTGGTGACTCAGCACGTGCGTCTTGATTGTAATTAGACCGATTAATGAAATAAACAAAAAAATACTTCGTCCACTAAAACAGGTTAAACAAACCCCCCTTTTTTGGTAAAATCCGTGAAGATAAATATTTTGCTGATTGCTTGTCCCATGAGCCTGTAATGTACTTAGGTCACGTCGATAGCAGTATCCATGTAGTATACTGCCGATAAGAAAATAATCAGTTATCTACATATTAAGATGTTTTTTAAATAAATGTTCTGATAAAGTATTAACCTTGCATACGAGTTACCTACTTATAAAGTACCTACATGCAAGTACCTACGATATTACTGCATTGACATCGGTAAATGAAAAGTCATTAATTCCTAAATATGTATTACCGAAATAGCATGCTAGAGGGTGTGGGTTCGAAACCTGGCAAGTACCAATGTGACTTTTTCCAAGTTATATGTACTTTCTATGATTATTTAGACATCACTGACATACGGTGAAGGTAAACATCGTGAGGAAACTTGGACTTATAATTTCTAATTATAAGTTTGAAATCGCCAACCATTGAGCAAGCGTGGTGATTAATGCTCTAACCTTGTCCTTATGAGAAGAGGCCTTTGCTCAGCAGTGGGCACTTAAAGGCTGATGATGATGATGATTACCGAAATACATCAGAACAACCATGGAGCCGCGAATGGAAAAATATTTTGAAATTTTACGCTTACAAAAATTCTGCGATAAAAAACTGCCCAAAGGTGCATTAATTGTGAATTACTGTCCAAAATTATAACAAAAAATATATTTGTTTAGGTATACTTTCGGTGAATTATTAGGCGGATGTTATTTAAGCATGACGGTTTGATTTAAATAAATACTTAAATACCTACACAAATAATAGAGTAAAAGAGAGACTTGTTTGTTATTTTTCTATTTTCGAAGCCATTCGCCGGCTGAACTGGATTTACAATTATGTAACATTGTTGAACAAAGGTCAATGAATGCACAAAGTACTTATACCTAAACTAAAAATGATAATGTAATGATGATGGACGCGGCCGTTCGCAATCGCAATGTGATTTAGTTGTATCCGAAACACGCGGCTGTAAGCACGCGTGCCTCCGTCTGTGTTTTTTAGTGTTGTTTTTTTTTCTGGAGTTTCAACTGTCAGTTTTGAGCGGGAAACGGTAAATAAATACCTAACATTTTACTTATTAGGTACGTTTATTTTTACGTAAAATTTGATTGAAAACGGGAATTATCCATTTAATTTAAAAGATTGACTTCTATTATTGTAAGGTATAAATAAATTAATTTTACATTTTCTAATTTATTGTCAAAAGTCAAAATCATTTGTTTCAAATAGACCAAAGTGTTTTTGAACGTCAAGTTCATACATAAAATGTCATTGCAGTACCTAAGTACCATAAAAAAATAGATATGTACATAATATAAAGTATACCAGGGGTTATCTATTTTCTAAATATTTTTATATACTTACCTACCTATAGGTACTTACATAAAATAATTTGTAGAAATAGGTGGGTAGGTAAATCTTTTTCCTAATAATTGTGAGTACCTACCTACTACGTAGTTACCTTTTTACATAGGTACTTACCTATAACATTAATGCGATAAAACCAATATTTTTAGTTAGATACGCAGAGATACAAATATCTTAATTAGTCATCTGATTTTTTCAGATAGGATTCAGATTCAGATTTTATAAATTACTTAGTACCTAAATAATAGTAAGTATGATTAACATTTTTCATGTTTGTTTTTGTATAATTCAATTTTTCCACTACGACATTATTTTTTTTTACTTGCAATAAACTAGTGTTTGACTGCGATCCCACCTGATGGTAAGCAGTGATGCAATCGTTATTTAGTTTAGCTTCTATCTAGGCAGTTAATCCTTAATTGTAACGGTGTAGAATGACTAGCATAACAGAAGACCTTTTATCTAGATGGGCAAGCATCTAAACATTATAATTACGGACTCAATTGTACTTTGCGCCTGGATTAAGTAGACAGTTAAACTATTTATTTTTAATTCATGGCCAATGTCAAATACCTACCTATTCATTCAATCTGATCTATGTAAGTTACTATTAAGTAATCTGTGTCTATCCATAACAATCTTGTGTTCACGATCACGAACAACTTATTCTAAACTGATTATAATATACTTACCTAACTGATTTAACTGGTTCTCTCACATTATGTTATTTTTACATTGTCTGGACTTGAAAAGAGACTGACCTCTGACTTTGTTTCGGCATTTCTTCTCAGAGTAGTCAGATAGGAAATGCATCTAGTTTTTCACATATAAATTGACGTGTAAAAGTGCCGTTTTATGGCCTATTTACAAAAATAAATATAAATTCATTGTTTCATTGATATAAAATATTCGTCTCTGCCTGTGTCGGGACTTTTTACGGGGATGCTCTAATTCGGCATCCTTTGCCTAATTACCGTGAACACTTTTAATTGTCACTGATTGTACGTTGACGTAATTTGTTTTTTTTTTTTTGCTTCATTGATGTGATTTTACCGTTTGTGAGTTTGTGGGTTACGTCAGTATAGTGAAAAAATTACGGTGATTAATAACACCCAATTAGAGAATGACTGAATAAATTGCACAAATCTGCGCCTGCCCCCCATTTGAGTTAGCGACTTGGCCATCCAGCAATCTCTGGAGATATCTCAAGAGATTTACTAGGTAGATAAAGCTACTACTTGGAAAGAGCTATGCTAGGAATCTCTCCGAAGGATCCAATTGGAAACGGGGTGATACGACAGAAAACTAAAGTCGATATAGACAGAAGGATTAGCATACAAGTGGCAGTAGGCAGGTTATTTTCAAAATCAAAGTCAAAATCATTTATTACAACTAAACCATAAATAGGTACTTTTGAAACGTCAAAATAGAGAAGTAGTCGGTCAGTCTGTTCGTCAGTGAAGCTAGGTGCTCATTCCAAATTGTAGATTCGAATGGAGAAGAACGAGCAAGAAAATCCATTCGTCCTCTTTTTAAAAAAAAATATTGTCGATGAACCGATGAACCGTTCTGGAGTGGACGTGGAGACCACGTCTAGGCAAACTTAGTGTAGAGTGTACTTACTTATTAAATGCAATTACAAACGTGACGCTCCAACAGACCAATGTTTGTGCTATCATAACAAAAATTATCACTTAGGTAGTATACATTACAACTCTGAAGCCTTAATAAGTCAGTCACGGAAATAAGGATTTAATAAGTTTCTGTAATAATATGGATCAATATGTACTTAATACCGTCATATAATGTAGTTGTCTTTACCAATCACGGGACCACAGGGTCCCTGCCCAAAGGCCTTTTAGAGACAACTTTAGTCTAAATAAAATGGGACTTAGGGTACCTAAACCGTAACCTATTATCGATTTCGGTCACGGCGAACGGTCTAACATTTACATAATATATGTAAAGGAGATATTATAATGCATTGGTAGGTACCCAATTGCAATAAACACACGTGTAGAAAGAATGCATTATTGTAGGTGTAATTAATTTAGATCTTGTTATTAATTTAAGAGGTTCGGTAAAATATATATAAATATTATTCCTCTGATTAATATTAAATATCTCTAACTGCCGACAAAAAAATCCGACAGCGTTGCGGATGTTCATGGGCGGCGCCGACTGCTTACCATCAGGTAATTAGTCTGCTTACTTGCGACCCTGTAAAACAGCAATTAACTTAGGCACTCTAGCAGAAATCATAAAGCTAGATACTCGCAGCTTTAAACTAACAATTAGATCAGGGCCGCAATGTCAACCGCAGTGTTTTATACTTACTTCTGCAAATATCGAAAGAATGCTTTATGGTAATCGTTAGGATAAAAAAGATTGTTTTGCCAGGCACCAGGGATGATCTGAACATAATAACATTATATTATCTTACGACTTCTATCTAGTCAAAGACATAAGGCCTTGGGTAGGACGAGAGAGAGCGTCAGACTCTTACTGACTAAAATCTACCTCGTTCCTTCTCCTCCTCCGGGCTGGAGCCAAGGAACGTGGTTGAGCTTGCACGGGCAAACCCGGACCTCTTAGTAAAACGGAGTTTGTTGTAAAGTAACAGAAAGAATATTGATCCATTTTGTTTATAAATTAACAAAGATCGGAAGTACTTTACATCACCCATCATTAGCCCATGGGCTGATGTTCAGCCGGGGTTGCGGGGTAAGCGCAATGAGGCACCGCGACCTCGGCCCAGAGCAGGAGAAGGAACAGCGGCTGAGCCTGACACATTGACCGCCCAGGGCCGGGCGGGAGTAGTCATTTCATGATTTTGCCATCACAAAAAAAAAAAATCATTAGCCCATATACCTAACTTAAGCACGCTTGGGAAAAGATAGTTTTAAACTTATAATGAGAAATCAAAAGTGATTTGATCACGACCCTGTGTGATCGTCTCACTCATTTGTGGTGGTGTCTAATTTAATTTAGAAAGTCAGATTAGTACTTGCTAGGTTTCGAACGCACTTCCACATGCGTAAGAAACTTTAACCTCCACCCACCATGATATTTAGGAAGTATATATTTACTTTCTAACATAACTGTAGTACATATTTCAACACGAAGTTACAACCAAGTATCAACCTATACACACAACCATAAGTTTGTATTTGTTTAAAAATAAAGGAACAAATATATTAAGTAATATTGACTAAGTAATGTTTTTATAATAACTATCGTGAGACATACTAAATTAACTAAAAATCGCGTCCGCGCACGCTGCTCATGAGGAAGAACCCCTCTGTGAGTCGAAACTAGTAGAGCTGTTCTCAATTACACACGTGACTAACCCGCGATTTTTAGTTAATATTGACTAATGTTCTCAATAAACTTGTGCGCTTTACCACCAACGATTGCATCACTGCTTACCATCTGATTTCAGCCAAGCACTAGTTTTTCGCACGGCTACAATGCTGCAACTAAATTTCTTTAATATTTAATGGATGTTATTATAAGTACATGCAAAAACCTTTCTTTCAATTACTTTATCTAATACTAGCGGCCCGCCCCCGCTTCGCACAGGTCCAACTATCTCACTTTTCACGGGTCACTTTTTCCTAAACTTCCCCTCTACTTTTCTAATATTTTCTTTAGTAAGAACCTTCTCCTGACAATAACAAACACAACAAAAAAAGAATAAGCAAAATTGGTCCAGGCGTTGTTCAGTTATGCGCTTACCAACACATTTTGCGATCCATTTTTATATATAAGACTGTCTTCTCTCGTGCGGTTTTACCCGCTGCTCGGCTCCATTTAACCGTAGCGTGATGTTTTATAGCCTATAGCATTCAGGAACATTGTAGCTATCTATCAGTGAAAGTATTTTGGCAATCCGACCAGCAGTTCCAAAGATTACCCGCTACATACAAACTTACAAATTTTACCTCTTTATTATAATATTAGTATAGAAAAATCCGTTGCGTACTTTCATAGGGAAATAGAACAGAGAAAGCTACTTTTATTTTTATTATGAAGTAATATAATAGTAGTAAAACAACAACTATATGTACCTACAAGTGTACTTAAATGGAAAGTTTTATGATTTGTTTGAACACAAGTATTTCTTTGGTTGCAAGTAACTGCTTACTAGCCGATATGAATTCGATTTTCCAGTTGAGTGAGTTTGTTTGGTTGGCTTGTTGATACGGGTAATAGTGTTGATTACCAGACAAAAAAGTAGCTCATGTATTTTCCAGACTATATAACCTATCTTTGTGCAAAAAATTCTGATACGTTCAGTAGTTTTTACGAGGAAGTGTACTTAAAAAACATCCGTCCATTCGATACATACAAACTTTCGCGTTTATAATATTAGAGAGGGTTGCGATGGCCTAGTTTTATATTTATTTTACCTTACAAATTGATGAAATGATAGATATTTTTTTAAATTTTATGTAATAGGTCGGCAAACGGGCAGACCGATTACCTCATGGTAAGCAATCACCCGCACCACTCGTTGGCCGTCATTTGACTTAAAAAAATAGGTAAAGATTTAGCCCCAGTAAAGTTAAGTATCGATAACCGTTATCGCTTTATAAATATAACAGGATGTATGGAGATTTCTGAAGCTCATCGATAAGACACAATATCAAAACAAAGTCACATATCTACATTTGTTTCTCAATCGATAACGATTATCGCTAAGGGTGCAGAAGCGGTTATAACATAAAACTGAATACTGTCCCCACAGAATAACCTTAGGACTTCTCAAACATTTAAATTCGGTTACCTAAATACTTAGTGTTCGTTAATCTGTAATATTAGTTGATTAAGTGTGTATTAAACCGGTTCTCATTCAGTAATAATTCTACAATAGTTACGGAAAATACCTAACGAAACAAAAACTTGCATTTATTATTCGAGAAATTGATGAGTCACTATCTATTCATGTATTTTTGCAATCTCGCAAAAAGACACAAGCATAATAATTAGGTATGCATAGTTATCGCGTTCGAAAATCGAAAATTATTTCTGGAAACATCAAATATTTTCAAACATGGAGAAAATAAGCTAACGGTCTATGCTTTCGTGTTAATAATTGGACGTGAATCTCCAAACGAAATCTCGTTAAAATGGCAAAAAAATATCCGAATATATCTAAAGAGTTGGTTTAAAAAGAGCAGTGCATATTTTGCATTATTTGCTCAAGTTTTTATAAAACATTTCTAATGAGGCTGGCTTAGTATGGTAATGAGATTTTAATGAGCTCCGATTTTAGATTTAAAATGAGCGGTGATTCTTAATAACCTATAGGTATCGCCATTTGGAATTAATAGCTAAAGAGAAAAGTGCACTTGTAAAAAGCAAATTCACATTACTAATGGACTCATGGAAAGAAATAAAAAGTGGGCATTATCAACACCTTTCTGCAAACGTCCTGGAACTACAGGAATTTATGCTATGATAATTGACAGGTAAATTTGAATTGATTTGTAAAATACAAATCAATAAAAAAATAAGGATAGAAATAATTCTTTTGTTCACACCTATTCCTCATAAATCCGCAAGGCAGCTTGTGGCGAGCTGTTGGGCAGTGGCGACCCCACGGACCTGACTCCCGGGAGGTGTCTTGTTCTTCTCTCTCCGGTTAGTCCTCGTGACGAGCTGGAGTGAACACTGATGAAGAACAAGCCCTCCTACCTCATTCTTGCCTTAATTGGCTGGCTTGAGTGGAGATTCGCAAGAGTAGGAGTTGAAGGAGACTCGGGGGAAGGGTGTATCTCAGTAAGGTGCTGGTAGGGGTCTTGACCGTACTTCCGGGATTGCTCTGATAGCCGTGGGATACCTCTCCTTCCCCAAGCAGCTCAACGTATTTTGCCCCCGTGTCGCTACATGCTAGCGGCCGTTTCCGGGGGCCCATTAATTGAGTTTGCCAGTCACCCCCTGCCTGTTTATCCGTATGTATCAATATTGGTCAGGGGCAGGGGCCATAGTATTTCCATAGTGTTCATCCACTAGTGCATAGCAACCCATACCCATAACCCTATCAATTGTTACCACATTTTACAATAGTCCTGCATCAACCGGGGATTGTCCTTGGGTGCACTTTTATAGTGCATACAGGGATAATTGCCGGCTGATGTCCCATCACATTTAGATTAAAATTGTTCAACGGGCCTCTGCGAGTTGGCTTCGGCTCCTCGTATGCCTGCCAAAGGTCCGGGACCCTGTGGTCCCGTGAAATAATTCTTTTGTTCACACCTATTCCTCATAACTCATAAGTTTTCTATTTATTGAAACCCTAAGGTTGACTGGCAGAATAACTCAATAATAACTTTATTACGTTCCAAAATTTAGGTACCTACATATGATGACTTATAATAAGCAATAAGCGTTAGGTCCATATTATGTACATTTGATTGTGTAAAAATAACATAAATGTTTAAAGAATCTAAATCGTCTTTATTTTGGCAGAATCCTCAATTAACCTCATTAATCTAGTGTCAAACAAGCTTAATCTAAATACGTCGGATTCAGAACGATTGTTAATTTCACAAAGCTTTATTTACATAGACACAGCGCGTTGAACCGCGCTATAAAAACATTATACATTGCCTATAATGTTTTTATTATTATGTTAGTGTTTCAGCAGTCGATTACTCGATCTACTGCTGCAATGTAAACGACAAAAGAACAACGCCAAGCCCAACGCGATGCGTGATCGTAAACGCGGCCTAATTAATGTCCTATGAAAATAGTTTGATTAAATCTTGGGTCGTTTCAAAAGATAATAAATATTGTACATTCAAAGAAAATGTACTGTTACCAGTATAGCCAACTCCCAACGTCACTTTCTTAGGCGGAAAAAACCTTTACAATGTTTTTTCCAAGTGTAACCTCCAATTTTTTACGACAGTGCGTAAGGTACCTCGGAATGGAAAAGTTACTCTCCCACTTATCTACGCACTTAGATAACTTTTATTTTCCCAACATTTTTTTCCGATCACAGTAATCGTACTTGTAAGTTTTTGCCTACTTCATAATAATAGCTTTATGCAATCTGGAAACTTTCCAAATGAGCTCAATTACCAAGTCGGTCGTCGAACCGCGACTATTGCGTAAACTGATGTCATGCATCGAGGCACATTTGAATGTAACTACTTTATATATATGGTGTAAAGCTGACGTCGACTTTCTTCCAAGATGACAAGGCATTTCTTGATTTAGATACGCAAGTGTCTATTATCTATAGGTATATTTAAAAATCAATTGACAGCACGGTTGGTGCGGTGGCTGGGCAACTGGCTGCTGTGCAACGTGTCGCGGGTTCGATTCCCGCACGGAATACCACTTTGTGAGATCCACAAATTGTTGTTTCGGGTCTGGGTGTCATGTGTATGTGACATTGTATGTTTGTAAACGCACCCACAACACAGGAGAAAATCCTAAAGTGGGGCAACGTTTTAAAAAAAAAAAAAAAAAAAAAAAAAAAAAAAAAAATGCCACTTTTCGTTGTAATGTTATAACTCAACAATGACTTAACTGATTTGGCTAATTTTGGTCTCGAATTATTCGTGGAAGTCCAGAGACGGCTTGTACGTAGAGAAAATAAAAAAAATCTTGAAATATTGTATTGTATTCGACATCCACGCTGACGGAACCGCAGGCGACCGTTCAATTTCATTTTATTAATGTTTTGCTTAAAACACCTGAAAAATAGAGGACCTTTAAGGTATAGGTTTACGGACCTCAAGTAATCTGACAGGATCAGCCGGGGTTGCGGATCAAGCGCAATATTGAAACGCGGCCTCGGCCTGAAGCAGAAAAAGGAACGGAGTGGGTTTTTAGTCAACAACAGTCTGACACTCAGAAACTCAATTTGATGATTATACATCCTCAAAAAAAGTAATTTAACAGGTAACTAGGATTCTTCAGAAGTTTACTTCGCGAGCTAGCGATCAGTATCTAAAAACTGAAGATATTGAAGTTGATAAGACAAATATTAGTTGGGCGAGCCCTAAAGCGCCAACAGCGCCATCTAGTTTGACAAATTACACAATTCTCTTTTAAGCAGTCATGTTATTATGTCCGGTCGATGTCAACGGTCACTAATCATAGTCAAGAGGTCAATATTATAAACATATATTTTATGTATGTAAGTTCAAATAGTCTTTTGCCGCATTCCGCCATAACAATGACTAATGATCCATTCTAAGTATGAGAGTACCTATCTGGTTGTAAAGAGTGTTGTCGATGTAATAAATAAGAATGATGATGTAGCTACCTATTGTACTGCTCATTGATTGAGTAATCTTAACCTGTATGTACATATTTATGTAGTTGGTTTATATGTGTGTACACTGTGACAATATACCTGCCGACTTGTGATGAGGTCGTTAATTTATTTGTCAAAGTTGTTTATTAACGTTGTTGATAATTTTAACTTAAAATTTAAAGTGAAATTCTTAATTTCTGTAATAAGGAAGCCATCGTCAGCGTCATCAGTACATTTGAGCTCATTATACTCTATATACTACTATCTATAATATAAAAAAATAATAAAACGCTGAGTTTGTTTGTTTGATCTCACTAATCTCCGGAACTACTGGTTCAAAATGAACAATTATTTTTGTGTTTGTTAGTCGTTTTAACGAGGAAGGCTATAGGCTATAAAACATCACGCTACAATGTGTAGGAGCCGAGCAGCGGGAAACCTCGGGACAGCAACTAGTTATTATATTCCGTTCTCGTTCTAACAATAATGAGATTCAGAAAGCTAAAAGGATCTAGATCCCAGTCAATAGGTCCTGTGTGTGCTGGTGGGGTCAGAGAAGAAACAGGGTAGTTTTTAGGAAGTAAGAGAAGGTTCTACTTAGACTTATAATACATCCCACTAATTAGTATTATTAGTATTCCATAATTCATCAGTTATAATAAGAACTAGAATATATTGGAGGGGAAGAAATCTTACTTTCCTTATTCTTTTCTTCTCCTCAAATAATATCATCTGATTTTTCATTGCGGGATCCAAGACAGTCATTCATATCCCCGGGACGCGCTGGACTTCAGTGTTTTGGTGTATTCTTGGTTGTACTCATATCCAAGCTTGGCTTGTCACTGTTGTAAAGCCACTACAATAAAACCTATCTAAAGTACTTATCTTTCGTTCACAGTTTAAATAAGACACGAAAATGTCGAAGCTATGCAAAGTGATATTCCTCTACATACGTCTGGCCTTCGACCTGATGATCGACGGCATATTCTCTCTAATCTTCAACCGCAACTACAAGACCGTGCCCCCACTAGACCTGAAGAAGCATGGCATGCTGACTGAGAGTGCCCTCACATTAGCCAAGAAGATCAGACAGAAGGAGCTCAAGTCTGAGGAGTTGGTTCGAGCTGTTATCGAGAGGATTAAAGAGGTTTGTAGCTATCAGATCACATCATTAACGAATAGATTAGATCTTATAATTTAATTAGAAATTATAAGTGAAGGTTTTGCTCACGATGTTATCCTTCACCGTATGGCATCGGTGTCTAAATAATCACAGGAGGTACATACGACTCGGATAAAGTCACATTGGTAGTATTTGCAAGGTTTCGTCCTCGGACCGGATTACCACGATTATCATCTCTATAAAGACATACATACATATAAGAGTTTTTCTAAGTTATTAATACCTATGTCTGCTACTTACAGCAACAAATGACTTTCGGGTGAAAATGATTTGAATTTAAGATAACCATCAAAGTAGTCTTACGACTGAAATCTTACCTACCTATACTAAATCGATACAAAGATTTCAGTCGCTAATTAACCTAAATTAAATAATTGTAAGATAAAACTGCTAAATAAATACTATTGTTTATTGTATCAAATAATAAAGTTTTAATGCTTGTTTGTATACTTAAATCGACTGCAATATTGTCCAGGTGAACCCTGTGATAAACGCGATCGCCATGGACCGGTACGAGGCAGCCCTAGCAGAAGCGAAGGAGGTTGATGCCCTCATTGCACAGGGATTGTCAGATGAGGAGTTCAATAAGAAACCGTTCTTGGGTGAGGAGTTTTAAAGACTATTTAACTAATGTAAGAATTCTAGGAGAGCCATTCTTTGGCACGAATGGGCCGGCTCGACACGTGTGATACCACGGCCTCACAGAGTACCGGCGTGAAACAATCACAGCGTTGTGTGAGTGAGGTCACCAGAGGTCCAAACATTCTCTTCATTCCTTCATACTCCCTGAATCTCCAAAATCCTTATCCCCAAAAGGCTGGCAACGCTTTCGTAATTCCTGTGGTGTTGCGGGTTGCGGGCTTGCGGGTGTACATAGGGCTGATAACTAACTATCAGGTAATAGATACGACTGCTAGTTTGCCGACCTATCATATAAAAAACAACTAATTAATGATGAGATGAATGAGTATATTTTGCAATATAATAAAATATAAAAGTGTTTTTTGAATATAAGGAGGCGATGTTTCTTTGTGTAAGCATGTTGGCTAGATAACTAGTAGTCAAAGTTACTCAATAGTATTTTTTTTTATTGTATAAATCGGCAAACGAGCAGACGGATTACCTTATGGTAAGCAATCGGCGCCGCCCATGGACACCCGCAACACCAAATGAGTTACGAGTGCGTTGCCGGCCTTTTGGGGTAGAGGTTGCGGATAAACGGAACGGGAAGGGATAGAGGAAGGGGAGGGATTGGACCTCCTGTAACCTCACTCACACGTAGTGTTGCCCAAATGCAAGAACAAGACGAGACTTAGCCAGTCTTGGTCTTGGTCTTGCGCCAATACACCTGGTCTTGGTCTTGGTCTTGGTCTTGCGCCAATACACCTGGTCTTGGTCTTGGTCTTGGTCTTGCGCTCCCAGTCTTGGTCTTGGTCTTGGTCTTGCAGCAAGAGTCTTGCAAGTCTTGCAATTACCTATTAGACTATTACTATTTATTAAAGTTTACTTTAAATCTTAGAAAAACGTATTTGAATTGGAACATTGTGAGCTTGAATTTACATAGCCATAGTAAAGATCAAGCAGATTAATAAATAACTGAAGATTTGATAAGAAATTCGAAAAATCAACTGGCCTATATGTCGTTTTCCATGGAAGTAACTGTTTCTTAATAAACATTTATGATTTATAAGTTTACATTTGCTAAAACATGTAAAAAAACAAATTAATTACAATAACTTGACTGTAGTTTAAAGAACAATACTTATCTGTCTAGAAAGAGATTGAACCCTCAACTTATAAGAAATTTAATAAAATAGTTTTACGATTTATTATTTATTTGAATAAAAATTAAAATACAACACAAATCAACAGCTTTATCATTAGGTTATGATACTTTATATCAATTTTTTGGACTAATACAAAGTAACCATCTGGCTGACTTATCACTTAACCTATTTCTATGTTTTCTAATTACTAATGATGCTTTAGAAAATAACCTCTCAGCAGTTTCAAGTATATTTGAATAGTGGCTACAATATTTATTAAACGGGTGATATCTGAACACTTTTTTGCTATTTTTTCTTGTCAAAACTTAAGGCGAGGTGGGCCCAAATTTACGCTTTTTAAAACAATCTGAGACAAAAACTACAGTGTTTTAAATTACAAAAAAAATATATGTTTTAGTTGAGGATCTTATCTAGTCAAAATCGCATTCAGTTGCAAGACCTGATAAACTTCACTCGATAGAAAAAAATCGCAAAGTTACCCCTTTTTAAAACGTTTTTTCAATATTACGATTATATTACTGATTATTTACGTTTAATTTTTGTACTATAATAAAGAAACTTATTAGTTACAGACAAATTCGCAGAGTTAAAATTTATAAAATGATTTTCTTAATTACTATGTTTCATTAAGTTTTAAAAGCGGTCGCGGCGGCTCAGATATGTCCGATTAGTCGCGTGCTGGCGCTTGTCGACGACGGACTGTGTCAGTTTCTTCGGCGACAACTACACGCACCAAATCATCTCTTTTTGAGAATTTATTGCTTTGCAGTTATAAATCATAATGGGTAATAAAAAACGCAGGCGAAAAAAGTCGCGCAAAGTGATAAAAGACACAGAAAGTATGCACTCCAAAGATATGTAAAGAAGTACTAATTTACGTAAACATTTTATTTGTATAGCAATGTAATTTGTTCGCAAAATTAAATTTTATTTTATTTAGCCTCTGATTGGTAAATGCAAAATTTATGATTATTCTAGTATGGTTTATAAATATATTAGTACCGATGATCGCTGGAATTTTGCATAATTAAATTTAATTCGTATTTTGTCTTTTCGTTCGGTATCCTGCCTGTCGAATGGTAAGCCACTGCACGAAAATATCAGAACTACAAACTTCTGTAAAAAACTACGTAATCTGATTACAGACACAAAGTATGTTTAAGTGCATCGTAAAATGCTTAATAATGTCAAAATTTTGACTATGCGGAAATCGATAGTACAATGTATTAGACTTCACAAAACCTCTGAAGGTCCTCGCAATGTAGCAATATCTAATCTCCATACGGATATTATCATCTGTGTAGCTCATGCTTTTAGCGACCATAGAATGTGCCAAGAATATTATTGCAATAAAGATAGAAATGACAACAAAGAACTTAAAAAGACCCAGAATTCCACTTTCATTGTCTGAATAAACGCGATTGTTTCAAGTTTTGCTGCAAAATCACGCAGCTTAATCGAAGACGTTGACACAAACTTGTTGACCGTTTTAATAGTGTCATCATCTGTTTTAATAGTGTCATCAGTTCATTTGTGGAAAACGAATAATTTCACTAAAAGGAGGTTATCAAGGAAGGTGTTCAGCACCTATTCTTTCGTTTAACAGCCAATCGGGGCTTTCAGCCGTCCAAACAGCTTTTTTAAACAAAAGTCCTAAAGGCAGGGCCAAAATCATTGAAAGACGGAGAGCTCAGAACGAAACCTAAACTTCGAGCATCCCGTAAAAAAAAGTACGGAAATTAAAAGACGGCAATCAAAAGCAACATGACATTAGCGAGCACAGCACCAAATATGTCTCCACACGTACTGAAAAAAAGCTGAAGTAGAGTTCTTTAATAATTTAAGAATGCTTACTTCTGATAGCCAGGCTATCGAAAGGGCTACAGTTTTGCAACGAGATAGCAGTGAATGGTTGGAAATACGGAAAAACCTAATCACCGAATCAAATTTTGAGCAAATTTGTAAAAGAAAAATTAGCATATAGCATACTGCTCTTTTGGTAAAAAATATATTAGGTATACAAAATTATATTTAACATGTGTAACTGCTGTTGCACACGGAATAGAGCACGAAAGGCAAGCACGTCAACAGCTTGAAAAACAGGAAAATATAAGTATTTTGCCTTGCGGTTTGTTCATAGACAGGACTTATCCATTTATTAGAGGCACTCCTGACGGATTAGTAGGCGATGATACGCTCGTTGAAATTAAGTGTCCTTTAACTGCTGTAATAAAGGTTCTACCAGTGCAGTACAGCATAACGTCTGTAATATTAATAACCATTTTATAATCTTGAAGTCGGTGCCAAGTAAAACAATAATAGTGTAAAGATTACCTATAACACACATCAAGAATACCTATACCATTGTTAGTTTGATGAATAGGAGTTACCGATCAATATATTTTTCTAAAACTGTTGTTGTTTTGGTATGACTTTGATGATTTACTTGGCACCGACTTCAAGATTATAAAATGGTTATTAATATTATTTTCTATTATACTAAATGAAAACATGTATTAATTTCCACAAAGAAAATTTATTTTTTGCTTTTAATTTTTTTTATAATGGTTTTCGAATGAGAAGACGACTGCTACTTGTGACCGAAAATCACGAAGTAGTTCTGAGTTAGTCAGTGTTTAGTTAGTTTAGCTGTAAATCGTTGAGGGATTCCCTCGACTGTCAATGGTTTCCATCTATAGGTGCGAAGTTTGCATCGTTATAAATGAATTAAGTCCAAACATGAGGTAGTTACTGTGAACCGTTCCCTGAGCTGCCCTTCGTTCTCATCATTAGACCCCTAATGACAGTCGCGATCATGCAATGATCTTGGTGCAAAGTGCTCACCAATACGAATCATTCAAGCCCAAACACAAGGTAACTACTGCAAATAATAAAGCAGATCCCTCGACTGTCTTCTGGCTCCATCATCAGGTCGATTTCGACCATCGGCAAATTGTAGCTTTGTAAAAAGCCTACTAAAAAAACATGCAAAAGCATTAGTCGTCCCTACAATTTTCGAAAGTTCCCCTCAGTTTCCCTAGGATTCCATCATCAGATCATCAGGTCTTGGTCTTGCAAAAACGCAAGAACAAGACCAAGACTGCAAGACCAAGACTGAATTTGGGCAACACTACTCACACGGCGAGACACAACGCTGTGGGTTGTTTCACGCCGGTATTCTGTGAGGCCGTGGTATCACTCCGGTCGAGCCGACCCATTCGTGCCGAGGCTTGGCTCTCCCACACTTAAATAGTCTTTTACAAAAACTAAGTATATTATTCTATTGTAATCACAGTACGTAAACGGTAAAACTACTGATGAACGCGGGGTCAAGGGTATTCGCAAGAACACTTAGCTGATTAGATTCTTACCTAGCTACTGATTTATGTTGTAGGTACCTATGAGTTTTTGCAAATATTTTAAAAGAATGAATATTTTTGATGTTGTGTTGCAAGAGGGCATGTAAGTATCGCCTTAAGGCATATTTCTAAAAGACGAAAATAATAAATCTCTGGTTAAATTATTCTAGCTTATGAAACACGACAATGCTTAAAGATAGGTAGGTACTTACCTATTATAAAGTTTTTAATTTTTTAGGGCCGAATTTTCAATGGTTAGATAAAAGTTATATGGCGGAAATAATTATGATGCTGTCGCGTCAGAATGTTTGTATCAGACAGTGACAGCAACAATTTTATTCCTCAGATAACTTCATCTGACTACATCTGAAAATTCTTAATAATTAAAAGACATTGATTTAATCGACGAACGAACTAACCTAAACGACTTTCAACAAAACCGAAGGCAACCGCACTAACTACAGTTATATAGGTACCTACCATTAAAATATCTTTGACTGCACGTTTGGTGCGGTGGCTGGGCAACTGGTTGCCGTGCAACGTGTCGCGGGTTCGATTCCCGCACGGAACAACTCTTTGTGTGATCCACAAATTGTTGTTCCGGGTCTGGGTGTCATGTGCATGTGAAATTGTATGTTTGTAACTGCACCCACAACACAGCAGAAAATCCTAATGTGGGGCAACGTTTTTTTTTTAAATTAAGTAAATAAAAAAAAAATTACTAACCAAACATTTTCTTTCTTCCCTCAAAGGTGTCCCGTTTACAACAAAGGAGAGTCAGGCTGTCAAGGGCATGCCCTTTACAATAGGTCTGATATGCCGTCGCAATGAAGTGGCTACGGAGGACAGCGAGGCTGTGAAAAGGTTAAAGGATGCTGGAGCCATCGTTGTAGCATCGACTAATCTGCCTGAAATGCTTGTTTGGTATGTTCATATGGGTTTTAAACCTTCACACTTCACAGGGTTGTGTTAAAATAGTGCAAGTTTGAAGCACCAACTTACGTGGGATCTATTCACGATCTCCGGCTATCGTAACTGACGACGAAGACCAGAAACAGACTTGGTTCCGCGCACAAAATACCGCAATAAAGTAGCACGGCCTCGGCCTGGAGGATAATGATTTCAGCATCTCAAAAAAAATCTTGAAAGTAAAAACTCAAATTTATCTCAGGAGCATTCTTTCGTATTTAAATTTTTTGAAATTATACAGACTAACACCCGGTTTCTGAAAGGCTTGTCAACGCTAAAATTAACTAATCTCCTGTTTAATCTCATGTCAAGTCATCTGATTGGTTGTTGATAATTCAGTCAACCAATCACATGACTTGACGAGATATTAAATTGATTTCAACATTGATCGGCCTTTCGGAAACCGGGGGATAGTCAGAGAAATGTGTGTGAGTGTACTAAATTGGTTTCCTCTTTTTTGACAGGCAAGAGACCCGCAATCCTGTATACGGCATGACCAACAACCCTCATCACTCTGGCAGGACTCCCGGAGGCTCCAGCGGAGCTGAGGCCGCACTCACTGCCTCCTGTGCCTCTGTCATCAGCTTATGTAAGTGCTACCGCATCATCATAATTATTTCTTCATCATCACGGACTGGACGTTAAGCCGTCCGCTTTTCATGTTCGAGAGCGTGGTTTCAAAACTTGGCAAGTACCTATGTAACTTCTTCCATGTTACACGCACTTCTTAAGGTTATTTAGACACCACGACATACGGTGAAGGAAAACATCTTGTTGTAAATTTGAAATTGCCGATCCGGCTTTTGCTCAGCAGTAAGCCCTTATAGGCTGATGATGATGATCATACCTTAAGCAGATTTTATTGTTGTGATGGAAAAATAATCAAATGACAGGTTCGGGCGGGAGGGAGCCCCCTCCCGTTCCTTCTCCTGCTCTAGACCGAGACTGCGGTGCATCATTGCGCCTCCCCACAATGAGGCGCAATGATGCATCGCAGTCTCATCACATTACAATGTTCAGCCGGTGGAACATAGGGCCCTGCCTGTGATTGTCTATTGGCTCTTTAAGGCACTCGCGGAGCGCCACCTTAAGAATCTTAAGATCTTTAAGCTTGTCAAGAAGCTTGATGCACTTATCAATGTTAAAATTTGTGTAAATGTGTGATAATATTATTCTGAGCTTTCTTGTTTTTGTTATAATTGCAGGTTCTGACCTCGGCGGGTCCACTCGTATGCCAGCGTTCTACTGCGGCATGTTTGGCCACCACCCAACTCCTGGAAATACCAATCTTAGAGGTAAATACAGTAAAATCTTTTTCCATAAGTTTCTAATTGGTCCTTAAAATAACTCGTCAAATTAAGACACAGTTCATTGAACATAAGCTGATCTTAAAAATTTACAGCTCAGTGATTTGCAGACCATTTGAGAAATTAAAAAAAAAGCTATTTAATTTCTAAATCCCTATCCCGCCTGCTAACCCTATCCTATTCCTGTGTACTTCTTCTGGTTCTAAACTCGATCCTACCAAGTCTCAACGAAATCGGTTCAGCCGTTCTTGAGTTATAAACGGTGCTACTTACACAAATTGGTTATAGAATATATTTCGTATTTATCTATGAATTATCCGTATAAGCTGTCTTTAACCTTCTAAGCGTGGTTATTCGAGATAGAATAGAAGAACAATAAGTGCGCGAACGCAGGCGTTCGCTTGGGGTTTGATGGATTGAATTCTCAAATTGAACGTTTATCTGCAGGTATTGTATTCAGGACGGGTGAAGATCAGGAGACCATGGTATCACTGGGCTTCATATCCAAGCACGTTGAGGATCTGGGCCCTCTCACCAAGATCATTGCTGGAGAGAAAGCTCCACTGCTGAAACTAGACAGAGATGTCGACTTTAAAGTAAGTACATTCTCAAAAAAACCATTTATTAACGCAAAAGACGCAAAAGCAACAAAACAAACAAGTAAAACTAACGACGACACAAACATATAAACAATACGCTGCAGTTGCGTCACCCTGCGAAAAAGGGACAGCGCTCAGCATATATGCTGAGCCTCGCGCACGTAGGCACGAGACAACAGCGCTGGTTTTCAGCGCTGACCCGCATGTCCCTGCCTCGGAAATTTAATAAGTTCCGAGACAATCCAGGCTAGTAGGCTGAAAGCAATAAAACACAGTAAGCATTACACTCTCGGCCGTATCATTTGTCTCCATACACATAATCCAACAACAAGAGTAAACTTGGAGTCTCTTGCTCGTTCTTTTTCATCCAAATCTACAATTTGAAACGAGCTTTACTGACGAACTGACTGAAAGACTATTTATTATTCTGTTTTGACGTTTCAAAAGTACCTGTTCTATGGTTTAGTTGGAATAAATGCTTTTGACTTCGACTTTAACTTTTAACCATGAATTATCTTGACCAAATAAAATGACCTAATAAAGCATTAATTTGCAGGACATCAAGTTTTACTACCTGGAGAGAAGCCAAGATATGCTTTTGAGCAGCGTAAGAGCAGATCTCAAGGGGGCCATGAAGAAGTAAGGAATTTTCGTAAATACGCCTAACACTAGTAATTAAGTTGTAGTCTTACTACCACGAGACATACTTTTATTGAGGGTCGGCTGCACGACGCTGCTCCTGACTAAGGGCCCCGTCGTGACTTGTAACTAGTAGAGATTTTCTCAGTTAATTCACGTGCGTAAGTCGTTATTTTAAATTAATGCGGAGTGATACCACGGCCTCACAGAAGACCGGCGTGAAACAACCACAGCGTTGTGTTTCGCCGTGTGAGTGAGGTTACCGGATGCACAATCCTTCCCCGCCCCCAATCCCTCCTCAATCCCTAATCCCTAAAAGGTTGGCAACGCACTCGTAACTCCTCCGTTGCGGGTGTCCATGGGCGGCGCTGATTGCTTACCATCAGGTAATCCGTCGGCTCGTTTGCCGACCAACTACATAAAAAAAAAATTAAGCCTTTGTGTTTTATACCTACCGAATGACCGACTTTACTGTATCTGTACACCTCTAAGGCCTCATCTGCCAATTTCCATTCATCTGCCATTACTGGACAAAGGCACACTAAAATCTACTTCAAAACTAAACACGTCAAAATAAATTATTCCAATACATTTCTTTTTCAGTGTTATAACGCGAATCAGCCAAAATATCACGACAACGGAGAATGCACCAGAGCCTTACTACCACAGAGGTTTCAACCACATGTACAGCATCTGGAAGCATTGGATGACCAAGGAACCTGAACACCTGCCCTCCCTCTGTACCAACAACAAGGGGGAGGCTAATGGAATTATTGAATTGTTGAAAAAGGTAAAGCTTTTTTCTCTTTAGGGATCTTAGGATGATTTACTCATGTGGCGCCATCTACATAATTGGATTATGGATATTTAATTGTGAATGTTTTTTGTAAGTTATTAAAATCAACCGACCATTTGCTGGCTCTATCTATGCTTTTTTAAAATAGCGCAATAATAATTTGATATCTTCAATTTTATAGCACTTTGGAAAGAACCTAAACGTTATCATTGAAAATTTGATTGTTTGTCTACAGATGATGTGCATGAGTCAATACTGCCTGTTCACAATAGTGCGTCTGATTGAGGAGCAGTGCTTGCCGAAGGTGGATCCAGAATGGGCAGAGAAGATCTCTAAGGAGTTGAAAGAAGATTTATTCGTAAGTTGAAGACAAAAATTTATATGTCCTACCTTTTTTTGTTAGGGAAAAATCATCAAATGACTTTTCCCGCCCATAGTGACAGACAAAAAATCCCCACGTTCCTTCTCCTGCTTTAGGCCGATGCCGTCTCACTGAGGGTGGGAGAAGCCATTGCCATTTCTCCCCTTTCAGGCTTTTCAGGAGTCCTGCTAGACTATGGGTTATTTTTTTGGCATGCTTCGAGTAATATAGTGATTTTGATCAACTTTTTGTCGTCTTCCAGAGCAAGCTAGGTGACAACGGCGTCCTCCTAATGCCGAGCGCCCCGCAGCCAGCCCCCTACCACTACTCCTGCTTCCTGCGGCCCTATAACTTTGCGTACTGGGCCATCGTCAACGCTCTCAAATGCCCTGCTACCCAGGTACGAAACATTAGAAGTATTTTTTTAAAAACCCTTCATCATCATAATTTGGAAAGCCTCCAAGTTGGTATTTTAAAAGGAGGTAGGTAAATGGAAAATGTTATTATTCTAACATTCGTACACATTAATGAAGCAGTTAGAACTTTTGCAGTTAGAAATTTAAATACGACAAACATTTTATAAATGCGTCTTTTTTGTGTACGTTGCGTTAAAAAATAAATGAATGAAATTAGTAACACAATGTTTAATAAGCTAAAAGATAATGAATCGGATTATTAGATATGTAACAATATAATCAATGAAACTGTTATCGTTGAGACCTCAATATCTGACCTTGAACACTTTTAGGTAGGTACCTAGATGACTACGTTGGTACGTAACAAGCATGAGTTGCTAAATAAAATAAAAGGTCTGTAGTTATATACCTACGTTTACCTAATACTCGTAATATCCTGCTTGGTAACCATGCCATCTGGGCGTACACAGATAGTCTAGTCACTGTTTACACCAACCGGGGTAACGGTTTTTTTTGTGAGGGGTAAATGATCAAATCACTTCTCCCGCCCAGGGCCGGGTGAGAGGGAGTGTCAGACTATTACGGACTAAAAACCCCCTGTTCCTTCTCCTGCTCTGGGCCGAGTTCGCGGTGCCTCATTGCGCTTACCCCGCAACCCCGGCTGAACATCGGCTCTATAGGGCCCCGTCTGTGGTGGTCTATTGGCTCTTTGAGGCGCGCACGGAACGCTACGCGCTGTAGGGGTTGCAGGTGTAAGCGCAATCTTGTACCGCGGCCCCGGCCTAGAGCAGGAGGAGGAACAGGGTGTTTTTTATTCAGTAAGAGCCTTATCTCTCGTCTATTTCGAGAGAAGTCGATTGGGGATTAGTCCTCTTCAAAAACAAAACACTTTTTACTAGTAGAGTACAAACCAAAAAATAAACTACTTAACAATTTCTTTTTATAAAATCTATCTAATAATAAGAACATTTGACTGAAACTAGAGCTTAAAGGCCAGATAATTGGGCTGACGAGACATTCAAAAGTGGAAGAAAGTATATTTTTCCTACAATTTAGTAGGTGGGTGATTCTTCACATCAATTAAAAAAAAAATTATAATGTCATTATCCTCAACCGAAAATTAACGAGTCTGCTGATTAAAACACAGATAATTATTTTATTAAATTAAATCTCGCCACTGCTTACAAGCAACCGATTAAAAACATTGTATAAAATAAATTACTAAGATGCTTAAAAACCTGGGAGGATAATGACTTGTTAAATAAAAGTTAAGGTTTTTTGGAGAATCACCCAGGTAACTATAAACCACGATCAATATGACCTTTAAATTGGTTCAAAATGCACATCGACAGTGAAGTGTCAACTAACAGAATTTAAAACGTGATATTAAAACGAGATTTTTCTTTATGTAATAGATCGGCATAAGAGCAAACGGATTACCTGATGGTAAGCAATCACGCCGCCCATGGACACCCGCAACGGAGGAGTTACGAGTGCGTTGCCGACCTTTTAGAGATTAGGGATTGGGGAGGGATCGGGGGAGGAGAAGGATTGGGCCTCTGGTAATCTCACTCACACGACGAAACACAACGCTGTGGTTGTTTCACGCCAACCGCGTTCTAATAAATTACCTCTTTATGCCTAATATTCTTTGGTATTGGTAATTCTTATAAATTACCAATACCAAAGAATATTAGGGATTTTCTATAAAATTAAAAAAAGAGAATCTCTAGAAAAAATTAAGATACACTAGGTATATTGTCGATTTAAAAGAAATAATTTGTTATTTTTTACCTCAGGTACCTCTCGGTGTGAATGCCCAAGGTCTTCCTCTCGGTATCCAAGTAGTCGCGGCCCCGTACAACGATGCCCTCTGCCTGGCCGTCGCCAAGTACCTCAGCAAGGAGTTCGGAGGTTCCATCAAGGCCTGCAAATATAAATCATAGACTGTACTATAGAGTTGTGTGTTAATACTATTGTATGCTTGTATGTGTAATGGTTACTATTTTTGTACTTATTTAATTAAATAAATTCCTTTTTTATTGAGATTTGTTTAACTGACTGGTAGAAAATGCCCGAGGTATTAAAATCCTTCCAGAAATAGGCATAAATTTCATGAAAAGGATAAAAAGTTGTGTTTGAAAAATATGTATCTGCGGGAGGGAAGAGAAGAGGCAGCCTCTCTCCCTTTCCGCCGCCTCTTTTGCGAACATCACAGCCTCGCAAACGGTAGCGACAGCACTTCACCCTGACTCGCTCCCGACCATAGTAGATACTACAGCCGGAAGCGAGAAATTTCCCGCAGCACCTACGGCCACAACTAAGTCACGGCGCTGCTCGGGCCTAGTTCGGCACCCCACTAACGTATCCAACGTATCCATATCATCGCGGCATTCACTACAATGGGGGCACTGAGATGTAGGCTCCCGGCCTATGCAACACAGATTCCTACCGAAAAATTCATGTCTGGAAAGCACCTTCATCATCCGGAAGCTGAGGACGCCGTGGCTATTTTTGAGCCTCTCCTCCAGAATATACCATTGCCCTATCTATTCTGTCAGAGAACAAGACCTGTGAGGGGAAAATCATCAAATGACTTCTTCCGCCTAGGGTCGGACGAGTGGGAGTGTGTGCCTCTAACTGGCTAAAAATCTCCCCGTTCCTTCTCCTTCCGTAATACCTATCATCGTATATTTGCGTGTTTCATGTTACTGTTCTTGTACTTATTTAATTGAATAAATATGTATTGTTTTATTGTTAAGTAGGTACTTACCTACTTATTTATTAAGGTTCAGTTCAAGACATAAACATTGTCCATGGCGCTTAGTTCAACTTATTTATTTAATGCAAAACTTAATAGTAGAAAAATATATTATGGGTGATCTAAATTTTAAACCTTCTGTATTTTGAGTTTTAAACATACTTTTAATATTTTTTCTTTCGTAGGTACATGAATGCTATATTTTTTTTAAGTTTTTATTGGCAAAAAAGGGCTACCTACTTTTTGGCATCTAGTAACACCAACATTTCTTCGATTTTACACACATGAAAACACATTCTTTTCATGTTTTTGCGGTAGAAATTCCAATTTACTATTTAGTAAGATAAAAGCATTAAAATTAAATTGAGTAGGTATTTGAAATGGTCAACAGAAAAGAAATATGTCTTTATTTATTATAGACACCTACTTTTTTATGTAGGTGTTTAATGGGCGCCGCCCATGAACACCCGCAACGCAACAGCAGAGAAGCTAAGAGTGCCTAGATTGTTGGCTTTTTGGGGATTAGGGTTTTGGAGATTTAGAAATTGAGGCGGGATGGTTGGAGGTGAAGGGTTAAGCGTTCGGTAACGGAAACACAATTCTGTGGTTGGTTAACATCGATTTTCTTTGAGGGCGTGGTATCACTCCGGTCCGGCTGATTTGTGTCGAAGTACGCTGTATAGTTTCTCCGACACTTAGAAGAGGCGACGTTCTCGTACATTCTAGATTATTTTTTTAACGAGATGATTTTTTTATTCCTACATAAATGTGTACAAAAATCTTCTATTATTTTTTAATACTTTAAGGTATTTTAACCATGTAAAAAATGATAAACAATGTATATACATAGTACAGAAATAAAGGAAAAAGAACGTTGATAGATAGAAAGGAGTAGAAATAAACAGAATTTGATAGTTGCTGAACGTAACGAAACGATGACCTTGATTTGACATTGGTTTGACACTTATGACAATAGTTTTGTAATAACTTTGAGCGATCTTTCTGACCTTAAAAACTCCGATAATAAATGTTATTTAATTAGGACGGAGCGCCGAGGTTGCTCGTCTTTTCGGATATAACGTAATTTAATTCATAAAAATGCCTAGTGTAGTAAATGTGGACACTAACCCGTTTGAGGGACAGAAGCCGGGCACAAGTGGTTTGCGTAAAAAAGTTAAAGTTTTCCTGCAAGAACATTACACGGAAAACTTTGTGCAGAGTATTTTGGATGCGAATAAAGACTCCTTGGCGGGATCAACGTTGGTAGTCGGTGGAGACGGCCGATACCTCGTCAAGGAGGTTGTCGACAAAATCATCAAAATCTCTGCTGCCAATGGGGTAAGTACCTATTATAAATAATTGATAAATAATTAATACCAATTGATTAATAGTTTTAAAAACAAAAATTTTAAACAAGTTACTACCTTGACCAGTCGGTATTCTTGGGTAGGAAACAATACATTTGTAAATGTATCTTAGGCATCCAACAAAACTAAAATAAAATGTTCTATATTATAAAAGTTGCTTATAAGTATTATTTATACTACTTATGTCATTCATAGTTTATGTGTATAGTATTCTAGTCTCTGTATATTTATTTTACTCGAATAAATTAGCCACATGCTTGTTATCAACATAGACAATACCGCCAGCAATTCTTCTTGTAGAAAGGACTCTTGGTTGTGTCGAGTGGGCTCTCACAGACTTACTGAAACCCTTATTAGTGGCTTCATTACTTTTTTATCCCCAGTTTTTTCATCAATTTGTTGAAAACATTTCTGAGATTCTGTGGATAATAAAATGTAATAGGCTATAATAATGCTGGCAAATTTAATAATTGGGTGTTTCTCCGTAAACTGGGCAACTCATTCTAACTTTAGCCAGGGGACTGTTGCATTGAAGAGGAGTATAAAATGTAATTGAACTATGCTATTTTACTGCATATAGGAAATATGCATTTATTGTATGAATTGAAATATTTGAAGAATCATTAAAATACATAAATATAAATACACCTTATTTAAAATAGAGACAGGGGACTGTTCCCAAAAAGCGAAGACAAAGTTTCATTGTTTTTTTTTAATTATAAAATAATATTTACCTATGCAAAATAAATGGGTCTCATGAACAAACAAACAATATTTATTTAATAATATAATAATTACATTAATTCCAATAGATACTGTCCCGAATAATTTAGTTTGAAGTAACTAAACAGCCAGGGGACTGCTGTGTGACATGCCAGGGGACTGGTTTAGAAGAACTATAAAAACGTTTTTAATATAATAAAGTTTATTTTCATGGATTTTTAATTTTGTGCAGAGATAGATTAGGGTATTGGTTTTTAGAAATACTTAAGAAATATTTACAATATTTATTTTTTTAAACAAAATCGGCCTGGAACAATGAGTTGCCCAGTTTACGGAGAAACACCCAATAAAGAGTAAAAAAATAGTAAGAGCAAAACAAGCCATAGAATAAATAAAAATTACTGAACATGATTTTTTTATTATAAATTTTTATTTGAATTTATATCACAGTTTATTAATTTAAAAATAAATCCTTATTGCCAACCAAAAGTAATTGTAAGTCTGACTGCTGCTAATCCTCTGTCAGCATCAATCAACATTGACTGTGTTGCCAGTGACTGAGTTAATAAGTAAAGAAATATTTTTTTTTTTTTTGTTGCAAACCAAAACAACTTGGATTCTTAACATTCTGCAGATTATTGACATTACCTATTTTGATCCATGTTACTAAGAGTAAATCCTTTTTGGGGGCTTTTCACAATTCATATAATTATGTATATATACCTATGCCCATCTTAATTGAAGATAAAGATAATAACAAGAACAAATATTACATCACACATTTATTAGATAACTGTATTTGGAAAATGTTGTTATGCAGTGTGATAAAAACAGCATAGAAATACATAATTTTATTATAAAAAGAAATTTTAGTTAATAAATCATTTTATGTTCCATGCATGCTTTATTGAAAGCCATAAGACCTCTAAATAAATGTTTTTATCTTTCTTTCTTTATAAGGGGTAGGTAATAAAATACCAACATGCAATCACCCCTACTTTTCCATTGTTATAATAGTTTAACAACATGTTTTTTTTTTATGGGATAGTGTCATTTATCAGTCTGCAACCATACAGACTGATCACCTGATGTTGGCTATTTCAGTTGCCTATGATCACCATGAACATAAAAGTGTGTTGCCTACCGTAAGCCTAATTTGAGCCGTCGGGTTTCTGTGAAGCCGGGGCTTAATTCCGGCCGAGCCAAACTCTTTCTGGCGGGGCCTGGCTCTCCCACACTTAAAACTTTGGAGTGAATAGTAACAACCTTCAAAGCTAACAATCAAAACAAGCGTGCTCCTTCTTCAAAGGTCCTCCACATGCTTATGACTCCATTAATGGCGTATTGCTACGCCTTTTCTATAAAAAAAGGAATGATATCATAATGAGATTATAATTTTTCATTCAAGCAAGCAATATTAAATTGGTATCATAATTGTATGAAGTAAACAATGGCTGTTTACTTCATACTCAAAGCCTGCATTTTGCCATTACAGACTATGCCTAGTGCAATAATATAAAGCCATATTTTACTGTTACCAGGTAATGTCATATTGTTGTTGCTAATAGAAATTAAACATGTTGTTTTCCGCGCGCGCCTCAAAAGATCCAATAGACCACCGCAGACGGACTGATGTTCAGCCGGGGTTGCAATTAATCGCAATAATAAGTACCGCGGCCTCAGCCAGGAGTAAAGGAAGAAACAGGGTGGTTTTTAGTCAGTATGAGTCTGACACTCCCTGACGCGTAAGGTTACCATATCTAAGGCTTTGTAGATTTCAGGATTTTTCGACTTATCTTAGAGTTGCGGCCGGATTTTGCAAATCTTACATTACAGATTAAATATTCCTATAAGTAATTAAATCTCCTTTTATTAACAATTATTGCACTTAAAATCTATACTTATTTATATAAGTATAAATCCTTATCTCCGGTCTTTTAATAACGCGAGGGATCATCCGGGGCGAGAGAAGTCATTCGACGATTATACCAAACCAAAAAAAAGAGATATCTAAGAAACTCCTTAGTTAAAATCTTTTTTTTAATTTCGGATATAAGTTGTAAGGGGTCTTGAATTTGCCCCCCACAAAGTATTACTGAGATTTAGAAAAAAATATTTAGTGAATGGCTACAGGCCAGCTCCTTATTATATGGTTCATAACGTAACTAATGCATTGTTGTCGTCAAACGAGCTGATGGATAACCTGATGGAAAGCCGGCCTCGTCCACTTACAAGACTACAGTTCAAAATGTCTTGTAACTCTACTAAATCGGGAATTTGAGATATAGGCTTTGTGGATGGATCTGGATGGATAAAGATGAAGGATTCGGCTTCCATAGGGGTGGAGTCAGCTCAATCACACGACGAAACACAATGGCAAGACACGTTACACGTGGCCCTATAGGGCTGATGTTCAGCCGGGCTTGCGGGTTAAACGCAATGAGCCACCGCGGCCTCGGCCCAGAGCAGGTGAAGGAACGGGGGGGTTTTTAGTCAGTAAGAGTCTGACACTTTCTCCCGTCTAACCCCGGGCGGGAGAAGTCATTTAATGGCTTTCCCCTGACAAAAAAAGTATTCTTGTACCATATTTTTTAGAATTTGTAACTGATTTTTTTACAACATACGAAACTTCTACTTATTTTCTGTAAGAAATAAAGGCGTGATTTGATTATTACGTGTAATATTCAAATATTATCTCTGCCAATCATGACAGTAGCAATATTTTTGTAACTAATGTAATGTTCACAAGGCTTCCCATGACTAGGCAGTTTTATCATGATTTAGCTGTAACAACGTCATAAGTGAATCACTTGATAGTTGAAATCCAACTCTATCATGTAACATCTAAGATTGTAATTGCTGTGAATCTGTTATTTCATTTGTAGACTAGAATAATTGTATGTGTTTAATTTGTTTTGATTTTGTGTGGAATCCTTAGAAAGATGCCTCGTTTGCCTCGAGTTCGAGGCTCGTTTTGCGTAGCCGTAACAAGCATAATAATGTTCAGTGGCCTCTACTCGGAACAGGAGGATGAACAGTGGTTTTTAGTTAGACGGAGGTGATGATTGTCCCCCCCCCCTACCCCCATTTCCATATTTTCACCCACAACCCCGCCCTTGGCAAGGCCTTAAAACACGCCACTAAGACTTCCACACAAGACAAGGCTAGGTATTTCTATTTGTTTTTATATAAAACATAGCCTCACTCTAGCATTTTCTACCTATGCCATGCCATGGATTGCTAGCGATTACCCAGGCCCAGACTAACAATCATCGGGTCAGACTATCAATCTTTCCTTGTTGAATCAAACCCGTGACTCGTTACTGAGTAGCCAGTTACCCAACCGCTGCACCAATCGGCCAGTCAATGTTCAAAGGATTAATGATCATGATATTTATTTAATTTTCCGTTTCTAGGTCGGAAGGCTGTTAGTCGGTCAAGATGGCATCCTCTCCACACCAGCTGTCTCTTGCATCATCAGGAAATACAAGGCTCTTGGTAAGAATTTATAAAAAGAAAAAAAAAGATTTATGTATTATGCACATATATATTATAATAGATGTTATATTACTAAGCACATTAGACAGAATCCAGACAATAGCGCTCTCTTATAAACCTGAAACTTTTTAATTAAACTGCTATGTACAATGTGTCCACTATCCTGGGAATTATAAAAAATACTGGCCGATATTGTTATGTGTTTGATTTTGATGATGTATTACTCTAGTTTCTGAACTCTAGATAAGGGGAAAGTTTTCAAATGTTTTAATATCGAAAATGAAAAATGAGAAAGTCCGAGGACACGGAGGAATTTTCTTTGTAAAACTGCAATTTTGATAACTTTGTGGGAAGCAATTTTATTATATAGGTATATTATATTCTTTAGTCATAATGTTTTAATTGCATCATTAAATGGCTTCTTGAATAACATAAGTTGGCCAATTAAGTAGGGTCCTAACTTGATTACAGGGCTAAATCCAAGGCCTTTAGAAATGAATATGAATTCTCTGAATATAAAAACGGAGGTGTGGCTGTAGGCACAACTAATCAACCTTCGCAACATATGTAAAAATAGGCAAAATATTATTATCATGATTTTTAATATCACTATCGATAAATTACGTCAAAGATTTGTTGATATCATGATGATAATTTTGAGGCCTATCGAGTTCCAATGACACGGTGTTTTTAAATCGAGATTGTGCTGATGATATAGGGACGATATAAGTAGCTAGATATTTACATCATTGGGTAGGTGTTTCTATGTGATTTCATAACAAAACGTAATTGCGTTGGCTATGCTATTTTTTTATCATGGTGACTCTTCGTTTTTCTTTTGGATTTAAATTTGGAATTGACTCTGTACTTTTTTAAAACGTTGCTCCTGACCTGACTATGATTTATTTTTTGTTTGAGATTTAAATTTAGAATGCTTGGTGCGTTTTTTAAACACTGCCTCTCACTAGGATTTTCTCCACATACACATACACATCACAAAATCACAACTCCTGACACCCAGACCTGGAATAATTATTAAAATTAATTAAAAGGTTTTTGTCCGCCACAAACCTACCGACCATTTATACCAATTATTTTTTTATTGTTGTCATGAGTAAGGTTCTTAGAAATAGCTATCCCTTCGTTGCTAGTGATACATAAGGTTCGATACGGTTACGGGTCGCTTGTACTTGTAAATCATATAAAAACAAATCATTAAATGTGCTGCTAAGCGCAAATCTCGAGAATAGCTGAACCGATTTTGCTGATTCTTTTTTTAGAATAGCTCTTGAAGTACGAGGTGAACAAAGGTTTTATGTACATGGTTACAGTAAGTCACGTTAGGCCAAATTTTCACTACATAATATAAAACAAAGTCGTTTTCTTTCCCTACCCACATGTGCTTAAATCTTTAAAACTACTTACAAAAAGAAAGACGTTGATGCGGTTTTTAATAGATAAAGTAATAGATGTCTTTATATGCATTAAATAGTGGAGAAATTTAGTATCAGCGTTGTCCCCCGGCCGAAGCTAGGAAGGTTCGCTAGTAAGTAATATAAGACAGTTTATAAACGGCACAGAAAGAAAATAACAATTTAGTCACTATAAAGCCATAAACAGTAGTTAGATAACGAAATGTTTACAGTCTTATAATGAACCCTTAGCCTTGACTGTTGTAAATAATATCATTGTTGATACGCATTTCTGCATAGCGCTTAGCGAGAGAAAGATAATAATTTTAATTAATGTTTATAATTAAAATTATATCGTAGTAAGTTAACTGTCTTTGAAGTAACATATTTATCTAGATAATTATGAAGTTTATGTTATTCCGATGTGACAGAAAGAGACGGAGATAAGTATTATACTCATCTTTGGGTATCTTATTATTTAAGTGTGGGAGAGCCAAGCTTCGGCACGAATGGGTCGGCTCGACCGGAGTTATACTAACGGCCTCACAAAAAACCGGCGTGAAACAACCACAACGTTGTGTTTTGCCGTGTGAGTGAGGTTACCGGAGGCCCAATCCTTCCCCTACCCCAATCCCTTCCCAACCCCTAAATCCCCAAAATCCCAATCCCTAAAAGGTCGGCAACGCACTCGTAACTCCTTCTTTGTTGCGGGTGTCCACGGGCGACGCTGATTGCTTACCATCAGCTAATCCGTCTGCTCGTTTGCCGTCCTATCACATAAAAAAATACTTATTCATAATTTTATTATCTTTGGCGGATAAAATTCAGAATTCTGTGACACATTGAATTTTGTGGAAGTAACAAGTATCTATACATCACAGGCAATATAAATTCGCGCTTTGACGCGACGCTCTGCGAAATTCGCGCGAATTTTATTTCGCTGTTCGTAAATGATGTTAAAACGAATTATTTTTTATATATTTTGTACGAGATTCTTAGAAGTGAAGTATAACTATTTTTTGTGCGTTTTATACAATACTTATTACGCTTAGATTAGGAAGTAAAATCATAAAACTAAGCTTATAATGAAATCGATTAATAAGAGGATCGTTATTTTTAGATAAGTACTTTAATAGACTCGTTAGGGGAAACAATTAAGCCGGGGCAAGCGCAATAAGGTACCACGGCCTTGACTTGGAACACAGGAATGAAAGGGGGTATTTTCAACCAGAAAGAGCGCTGAAGACTATTTCTCGCCGAACCCCGGGCGAAAGAAATAATTTAAACTTTTTTACTGATTCATGATTCCTGTAAGTCCTGTGTTGGCGCAGCTTAATTAACGTAGATAAGCAGGGATGCAATTATCTTGGATAATACTTTCCTTTTTATCTACACCCTCTTATATTATAAAGAGGTAATTGTAAGCTTGTATGTAGGGGGTAATCTTTGGAATCGCTGGTCGGATTTCAAAAATTCTTTCACTGATAGATAGCTGCAATGTTTCGGTGGGATTCCGATTAAATGGACCGAGCAGCGGGTGAAAACGCGCAACAGTAGCTAGTCACAGAATAAAGAATAAACTTCACCTTTCTAATTTACCATTTTCTTCCCCAGGTGGTATCGTTCTAACAGCGTCTCACAACCCTGGAGGCATAGACAATGACTTCGGAATCAAATTCAACTGCGCCAATGGCGGCCCGGCACCCGATGCGACCACCAATCAAATCTACGCATTAACCACCGCCATTAAACAATACAAGATCGTGCCCGACATTACTTGCGATGTCTCCAAGATCGGCGTTTCTAATTATGATGTGAGTATTTTAAGTTATGGTTCAAGTGTGTATAAATTATAATATTTTTCATGTAGTTTTCCCAGCCTTCATTATCTTTTCAATCGTGGTAAATTGAGACATAATAGGTGTGTGAAAGCCAGCGTTCGTTTGGGGCTTGGGGAATTAATGACCTATGCATTAAACCTTTTTCTTTTTCTGTTGAGGAAAGTATACCATCCAATTACTTCTCCCGTTCTGGTTGACATGAGAGGTAGTTTCAGACTCTTACTGACTAAAAACCTCCCCGTTCCTTCTCCTACTCTGGGCTGCTTGCACTAAGGTTAGTTGGAAACCTTAACTGGTTATTAACTGGTTACTGTAGGAGTTACCAATATTGGGTTTCAAGGCTAAGTACGGGGCAGGAGTTGGAAAGCGGTGGTTCCTTGTCAGTAAGAGTCTGACACTTAATGTTGAAATGACCTATTCAATGAATTCTATCAAAAACGATCGTTTTTTTTCATATTAATTCCAATGGCAGTATTTAAGTAGGTATACATTTAACCTTTTTCGACTAGTAACCATCGCGAGACATGCAAAATCGATTGATAATATCGACTTACATGAATATTTACTAAATCAATTCAATCACGACAAATCTAATTATTTATTGGACAATCTTTTTAGTCGCTGTTACTCAATTTTCGTTGTTGTTGTTTTCACGTTTGATTATCTTACTAACATGTAATTTGGTACTTTATGAAGAACCTTGTTCCCATTGCAAAACTGCTACTTTTTGAGCTTGTGTTTTTGCTTCACAATACTTCCGTGTGTGTGATGTATACTCATCGTTCTTTTTTTAAGATGATGAAATAACGTAATATTGTTACACACGTAGTTATGTATACTTATTATTTATACGCGACAAACATAATACTTACAGTCTACATTTTTAAGGTAAAATATATTCTTACCGTAAAATCAACGACTGTAAAAGTATGGCTATTTTTTGAAAAGGTATTTTTTATGTGATAGATCGGTAAACGAGCTAACATATTACCTGATGTTAAGCAACTGGAAACGCCCATGGACACTCCTCAATACCAAAGCAATTACGAATGCGTTGTCTTTTCGGGACTAGGATTTTGGAGATTTAGGGATTAGGGTTGCGTGATGGGTGGAGAGAAAGCATTGGGAATTTTTACTTTGCTCAAATTTTATTTTGTAACAACCATCTCCTGGTTTTATCAAACACACCAATAAATAATTTATCAGCATCGGTCTAACCGTTCACCGTGGTGCCTGACTAATGGAAATTGGGTTTCATTTCTATTTTGTACCTATTAATATTGTCGATTTCCCTCTGCCTTGCGTTGGTTTGATGTTTGTTGGTTGATTTAACTAGTTTCTCGGTTGTTGTATGCCGATTATCCCTTCTACTTATCGAACTCTTTTCTTTTCAAAACCTCCTGTTAATAGCAATCACACACCAAAAAAGAATTGGCAAAATTGATCCAGACTTTGTCAAGTTATGCGCTTACCAATACGTTTTGCAATCTCATATTTATACATACAATGATATTATAAGTAAAATGGTATAAGTAGATAGGTTACATAAAACAACATTAGATTTTTCAAAAACGACACACTTATACGCTCTTGAACAATTCGTATGTTTAGACGTCAAAGTGAGACGACATGATTCAATAATGGCGAGTGAAAAAAGACAAATATGAAAGAAAAGTGTGGCTAGTTAGCCACATTTTAATGTATCACTTGCTGAGCGCTTGTAACTTATCTACACCTTTTTACTTATAATATCATTGTCTATATAGATTGTTTATTTTATTATTTCCAGATTGGCGGCGAGAAGTTTACAGTAGAAGTGATAGACCCGGTCAACGATTACGTGGCTTTTATGAAAGAGATCTTCGACTTCAGTAAGATCAAGGCTTTGATACAGGGCACGGAACAACGTAAACCTTTCAACGTACTCATTGATTCTATGAATGGAGGTAAGCAGAAATGGAAAAGTCAAAAGTCAAAATAGTTTTTTTTACCAGCCTGTTGCCCACTGCTGAACAAAGGCCTAAACCTAAAACCTTCCCATCTCGCTTTTACACCGCCCGATCTTTCGACCATGTCCACCAGTCTTATCCATCCATTATCATTTATTCCAACTAACCATAGTCTGCAAACGCGCAGACAGATAACCTGATGGTAATTAAGAAATCAGCGCCGCCCATGGACACCCGCAACACAAGAGGAGTTACGAGTGCGTTGCTGGTCTTTTAGGGAGATAAGGGTTTCGGTTATTTAAGGATTGGTAATGGATGGGGAGAGGATTAGCCTTCGGTAACCTCACTCACACGGCGGCGTTTTGAAATGTCAAAGTATAACAAGTCTGTCAGTCTGTTCGTCAGTGAAGCTAGGTGCTCGTTCCAAAGAGTAGTTGGAGAAGATCGAGAAAGAAACCCGATCGTTACTCTTTTAAAAAAATATATGTTTTACAAGCTCACCAATAGATTCACTCACTTAGGCATAATGTCAATCTGCACCAGGCACTCAGGTGTTGCCTACATACGTGGCTATGGGCGGCGGGCGTTTTTTTTTTCATTTTATTAGACCCACATCAGCACTTTCTCCTGTGCCGTGCCGTCATCACACCTATTCGTAGAACAACAATCTGTAGATCACTTCAATCGGGAATCGAACCCGAGACACGTTGAAAGGCAACCGGTTGCCCATCCATCATATTACTTACCATCAGGTAATCATTTGCCTAAAAAAAGACATTTGTGTAAAACTAGTCATAATCACAGTTTCTATTTAAAATATCATATCACATAAGTTCAGTAGGTACATTAGCCGGCTTCTGACCTCAAGGACCTCAGATCATGCAGTGTCGGTTCTGAACCAGTATCATTCGTACACCACTAGCATACCACGTTATCATTTGTGTTTTTGATAAGCGCCATTAACCTAATTGTGTTTTTGGTTAGATTTTAGGCAAGTTTTTTTACATGCTTATTGTTACTTAAAGAAGCTATGAGGGTTATAAATAATGTTTTAAATAGAATATCCGACTACGCCTGGCTTATGTAAATAAGGTAGATAAGTACCTACTTACATTAAAAAAAATCATGAGAACGCTCCCCTAAAAATAACAACAAAAATAAATAATTATAAGTGGAACGGGTAGAAACTTTAGTAAAAAATAGTTTTTTATTATTTGTAACTGTTACTGTAGTTACGTGGTGATTGATTTTCAAATCTTCTTCAATATTAGACCAGGCCCTTTTTAGCAGTGGGCACTTATACATAGTCTGAAGATCTTTAATAAGGTAGCAATTTTCTGGTATTTTTTATGGAATTGGTCGGTCAACGAACAGACGTGACGTTAAGCTATCAGCGCCGCCCATAGACAGTCGTAATCCCAAGGGGGTAACTACAAGTGTGTTGCCTCTTGTGTGTTATGAGGGATTTAAGGATAGTGGATTAGGGATTGAGGATAAAATTGTTACTCAAAAAATGCTTTATTTTCTTTCAGTCACCGGGCCCTACGTAAAGCGCATATTTATCGACGAATTGGGCGCTAAAGAAGGCAATGTCCGTCGTATTGTACCTCTCGAGGACTTTGGGGGTGCCCATCCAGATCCAAACCTCACTTACGCTGCTGACCTTGTCAATGCTGTCAAGGGTGGAGACTATGACCTCGGAGCCGCTTTCGATGGAGATGGTGAGTGATTTATTCTAGGTGATGAAAATTGGGGATAATGCCACTTTAGTTCACAGCGCCATCTACATTAATATTTTAAACTGAAAAGTTCGTTTAAATGATTGAATGAAACAATTATTTTTATTGTAGATAGTCCATTCCCAATTTCACCGTTTGATAGGCATGCTGCTATCACTGGACGAGGAGAAAAATGAGAAAATAAAAGTGTAACATTAATCTTTATATTTAACAACCTTTATCACATTTTTTACTACGTTGAAAAGCAATTTTGTTTTTTTTGCGTGCCTCCAATGTTTTGGCATTTTTTATGTACAACCTTAAAACACGTCAGTATCACGCAGTTTATAGCTTGCATGAGATCAATGAAAGCTTCTTCTATATCATGTTTTTAGAGGCCCATCTTGACAGCTAACTCAAATAAAACAAAAATTTTGCCTAACAACAATATCTTTGTTCCCAGGCGACAGGAATATGATAATAGGTCGCGGAGCCTTCTTCGTGACTCCTTCAGACTCGCTGGCAGTGCTAGCGAGCCACTTGCAGCTGATCCCTTACTTCCAGCGCACCGGAGTCCGGGGCTTCGCCCGGTCGATGCCCACTGCAGCTGCTGTCGATAGAGTCGCGGCCGCTACTGGGTTCGAGATGTTTGAGGTGCCAACTGGTGAGTTTTTAAACTTCCTATTAACCCGATTATGAATGACTTGCCCTATAAAAAGTTAATAGTTAATTGAAGAGGGCTTCTAGTGTCAGGGACTTTTTAAATAAAAGCAAAGGCTAATTCAGTGCCCATAAAGCTCTTGACTCATTCTCTGTTTCTATGTTTTGTGACATTTTCTTGTCATTAACTTTTAAGTCAATATTTTTTTTGTTATTTAAGATTTACTTATAGTCGACTTTTAATTAGATTCCAGATTTGACAATTTCAGTGTTGCAACTTTATGACAATTTTTCGATATCGAAATGGAATATTTCCAAATCGATTCCTCTCGTTTATCAAATCTCAAGTTTATCTGGAAGTTTTTTTTCAATTTTAATAATAAACAATTTTTTCATTTTTCATTTTTTCATTAAATATTTCTGAACCGACAATTTAGTTTTGACAATTAATTAACGATTTGATACTTTTCTTTTATAATTGTGTGTGAAATTAATAAAAAAATGTGATCATGAAGGAACATGACAAATAAAACAGATAGATGTATTTTATGGTAATAATTTATTTTATAAATTGTCGCCGTCATTGCTATTATGAATGACATGACATGACAAACAATTATTATGAATTCGTTAAAAAAAAAACATTGCCCTACACGAGGATTTTCTCTTGTGTCGTGGGTGCGGTTACAAACATACAATATCACATACACATTTAATTGTGTCTGTGATATTTATTGTCGATTAACATATCTAGCTTACTCATTTTTCCTCTTCTTTGACAACATGGGATACGCATTTAGACCCTCTGCTGATTGTTTATCGATTTTTGTGTTCATCACTACACTGTTATATGTGGTATCATTATTTCACAAAGTGACAGTATCTAATGTCAAATCTGGAATTGAATTAAAATTCTGACTATAGATCTAATACTCGTCTCTGCACTAGTGACGTCTCAATAAAAAAATCTAATTTCCTCCCAGGTTGGAAATACTTCGGTAACTTAATGGATGCCGGTCGGCTTTCCCTGTGTGGCGAGGAGAGTTTCGGTACAGGATCCGACCACATCAGGGAGAAGGATGGTCTTTGGGCTGCCCTGGCCTGGCTGTCCGTCCTCGCGGGGACCGGTCAGTCCGTCGAAGAGATACTCAAAGCCCACTGGGCGAAATACGGCAGGAATTATTTCACTAGGTAAGTTTATTAAGCTCGTACATTGAACATGCTAATTATATTTAAGTTGTAAGTAATTAGATATTGTATTATTTCTATGTTACAATTATTGTTTTGAGAGGGTCTTAGTAATGACAAGTACTATTTCTATAGTAATTTTACAGTCAGCTTTAACAAGAGCGTTTTTTTAATTGTTTAAAATAAATGAAAGTGAATTAATTGAGAAACGCTCGACTAGTTTCAAATTACAACGGGACTCTTATTCATAAGAAGCTTGTAAATCTTTTGTAAGTTAATTTACGTTAGTAAATCGTTATTTTCAAAAAGTATAGTCTGTGGCACGATACTTTTACTACACATACGTACGTATAAAGTCGTCATCTTCCAAACATAAAAAAAACATGTATGGTCAGATCCTTTTGGAAGTAAGTTTTGTACTAAAAAGGAGCGCCTTATTTTAAAATTTTATTATTTTTTATCCGTTGAGTGTTAATTTATGAAGGCACCGGGGGCTTGATACAAACATCAACATCCCGATCATCGTCTTCACAGTCCATCGCAAGGCGTAGGATTTTATAATCACACAGAATAAACTATAAAAATAATGGACGTCGACGATCCGTCTCATATGACAGTCACAGCGCTCGCTCTCCACCATAATGCGCACGCAGAACTGTCTGTTCGACGTTCCGCCAGAATACGATTCATTGCACTCTCGTCCGATAAATTGTGTTAACTGATAAAACCTCCTTCAAAAAACAATTTAAATAGTCGACGCGCCATCATAAATAAATCCGATTCGACTAACCGACATTACACCTACCTTTGTGACTATGCAAGTAACAAAACAATTTTAATAGGTCTTTACCTATGAAATTGCCGTTCTGCAGTACTGGCCATTTCAAATCAAAATAGTTTTTGTTAGGCGAAGGCTAATTAATTTTGTTTTAAAAACATAGGATTCTTTTTCCAAAAGTAGTCATTTGTATATTGATTAGTGTTACATTTTCATCGCATTTCAAATCAAAAAATTCGTTTAAATTTTTTCATGCAAAACAGCAATTTCATAGGTAAAGACCTATTATTTTAAACTTTTACTCTCTTACCTCCAGATACGACTACGAGGAATGCGCAAGCGACGCCTGCAACGAGATGATGCAGGTCTTGGAGAAGAAGATCACGTCTCCCGGCTTCGTGGGGTCCACGCACTCCAGTGGTGGGAAGACATATGTCGTGAAGTTGGCTGACAACTTCTCCTACATGGACCCCATCGATCAGAGTGTTGCTATGAAACAGGTGAAGATTTTTTGCATTTTTTTTGTTGTATCGCCGCAAACTGGCATGCGGATTACCTAATGACATGCACTAGTTACGAGTACTAAGAGTTAAGAGTGCGTTTCGGGTCTTTTGGGGATTGGGGTTTCGGAGATTTAGGATCCACAGAGTGTGGATTTCAAGTCATGTGATTGGTGAATCGCGGCACAGCTCTTCTCCGCTCTGCTCCGCTCCGCCTCAATGTAACTGCACACTTTTTATTTTATTTTTATGGTATTATATCGAAACATGTAATATGTATTCGGCAAATGAGCAGATGGATTACTTGATGGTAAGCAATCGGCGTCGCCCATGGACACCCGCAACACCAGGAGTTACCGGCCTTTTGGAGATAGGGGTTGCGGATATAAGGATTGGGAAGGGAAAAGGGAAGGGGCGGGGTTGGGCCTCCGGTAACCTTACTTACACGGCGAAACACAACGCTGTGGTTGTTTCACGCCGGTTTTCTGTGAGGCCGTGGTATCACTCCGGTCGAGCCGACCCATTCGTGCCGAAGCATGCCTCTCCAACATTTTTTATAACTTTATTGTGGTCAATGGCAGGGTCTTCGCATAATCTTCGAGGATGGTTCCCGCATCGTGATGAGACTCAGCGGTACCGGCAGTTCAGGAGCTACAGTCAGGTGTGTGATCCTTATATTTCTTAAATTTTTCTATTAAAAATGTTATATACAAGTTCCTAGGTTTTGAAAAATAAATCGTTAGAACTTTCGATGGACTTTTAAGTAATACCACGGCATAGTTAGCGCAATGGCCCAGCGTGACACGGGTCTGATTCCCGCAAGGAACAAATATTTGTATGACTTTCAAGTACTTACTCGTTTCTGGTCTAGGTGTTTGTCTATGTGAGTTTCTATAATTGTGAATGCCTCAACAACACAGAAAAAAAACCAGGGTTACGCACTGATTAAAAAAAAAATACAAATACGTAAATGTTATAAAACATCACGCTGAGCAACGGACGTAACTGTACTAGAGTGCCTAGCCGTCAAAGAAAATGGATTTACATTACAATAAAATTGCAACTTATCTAGGTTGGCAAACGATTCGACGGAAGACCTGATGGTAAGCAATCGGCACCGCCCACGGACACTAGCAACATCGAAGAATTATCATTGAGTTGTTGGCATTTCTTTGAGGGATTAGACCTCCGGTAACCTCACACAGTGAAACACTAACGTTATTTCACTCTATTTAACGCCATGCGTGATACGAGATTAACTAAAGAATAAATATTTTGTCCACAGATTATACATTGACTCGTATGAAGCTACAGACGTGTTGGGCGACGCTCAAGTTATGCTAAAACCACTGATAGATGTCGCTCTACAAATATCCGAGCTACAGAAATACACCGGACGTGAAGCCCCCACTGTAATCACATAAATACTTTCAGTATATGTATGTTTTTATGTTAGTCATCGAATTATGTACTAAAAATATCCTCTTTACATAACTAAGTTTAGTAAATAATGTTTTTAAAATATGTCAGAAATATTTAAGTTACAATTTCTGACTACCATTTTGTCCAAGAATCGTTATTATCAGCTTTTTTGAAACAATGAAACAGTGAATTTGTTTATAAAACAACGCTGATACACGTCAAAATTATAAATAAAAAACTAGATGAAGCCGGCATTACTCTGAGAAGAAATGCTCTGAAATAAACTCAGAGGCTCTTTTAAAGTCCAGACAATGTAAAAAATAATAGAAATAATTTGTGAGTTTGTTTATCTTGTACTCAAAGTGTGGTTATATAAATATACATAATATTTATATAAATTAAAATAATACGTTGAAGTGTATTTACTATTTCAAGGCCGAACCTAAACGATTTTCAACTCAATAAACAAAACAGTAAGATATCTGTTTGATAATCTACATATTCGAGACTATAATTTTTATCGTAATCATTGTCAACTGCCATACTTAGAGACATCTAATAATTACTTAAACTGTTCCTTAGTAAAGATTTTGTTACGAAAACAATTGTTAAGGACTTACTATTATAATGGTATTTTTGTGAGGGGAAAATCATCAAATGGTTTCTGTGAGGAGGGAGTGTCAGATTCTTATTGACTAAAACCCCCCTAGACCGAGGCCGCGGTTACCCATTGCGCTTATCCCGCAAAATCATTATAATGGCTGTGTTCGGCGTTAGACCTCCAGTCTCAACAGGCTCTGGCCAGACTCCGGAGTTCGTAAACTTAAGTTACTTTTACTTATAAATAAGTTGCTGTTATGGAGTGTTGTTAATAATAATCATTATATTTAATAATTGTTAAATAATAAATCATATAACGTATCTTTATCTCTCTGTTATCCGTTAGCTCAAGTATAATCCTTTTTAGCCTACCTTAGTTATGAATTAATAATATTAGAACTGTTTTTTTTTTATCAAAATCTATTATTTACTTCTAGATTGTGTTATTTTTATATTTTTCTAATTTACATAAATCAATGTTTTGTTGTAAAATATTAAAAAATGATTTTACTTAATTGTGTATAATATTATCATCATCAGCCTATAAGTGCCCACTGCTGAGCAAAGGCCTCTTCTCACAAGGAGAAGGTTTGAGCATTAATCACCACTCTTGCTCAAGGCAGATTGGCGATTCCAAACTTAAAATTAAATCTGTCCTCACGACGTTTTCCTTCACAGTATGTCAGTAGTGTCTAAATATTCATATTAGAAAACAATACTGTAGTTTCCAACTACTAAGTCAAAACCAATACTTATATTGAAATGTTAAAAAAGATACTTTTCTATGAATTTTGTATGAAATCGCAACGTATGACGTAGTTGTGATATGACGTCAAATAGCAGCGTTAATCTTTTCTTGTACATAGTTTATAATAATATCATCCATCTCACTCTAAAACCTTTGTATTGATAGAGACAGCTACAATGAGATGAATCGCAAACAAAAAGCGTTTTTTTTTTTATATAAATTATGAAAAAACGAAAGGTTTAAAATCACAAATTGGATTTTATATTTTGTAAAAATATGAAATTAATAATTTTATAATAAAAAGGTAGCACAATAATTAATAAAGGTAAGCCAAAGACAATTTGAAGATTGTAATCAAAAAGTTTTTATTGTTTATATAAATTATTATTATTACATTTGTATTTAAAAAAAATAAAATGTTGTTTACATGTTACGAGTTTTATTTATTTCAATACAATAATATAACATATGACTAGATATTTTTTACTTTGGTACACATATATACACATAACTATTATTATTTTTTACTTAAATTCTATTAATTATCATTATCAATCCTAAAATACATTTCTAATCCTATAATTAACATTGGGATGTATCTTTGTATATTAGCTTTTTCATGCTATTTCTAAAACTAGTTTTTTTTTAAATATCATAATAAATCTTGTCAATCCATCGGTCCATTCTTATACTTAAGTGTCTTAGGTTGAACAAGACAAATATTGAAGGTGCCGAGGTGCCATAAAACTTATACATATATAAATCTCAAAAGTAAGTTTATTTCCCCATAAAAATCACAATAGCTGATTAATCATGTTGCATGGAGAAGATATTTTTTTTTTATATTTCCATATTGGTCTTATTGATAAAGTTGTTTTGTTTAAGCACCAGAATCGGGTCCTTGTATATATCTCCCGTTGAACCTAGCACACTGTATAAAAAGACCAACCAAATAGATCATTTTTGAAGTAATATCAATGTATGCTAATTTTAAGTTGATGATGAAAAGCTCTGATATAATATACCATGTCGATTTCTTACGCAAATTGTCAATAAATAAATTAGAATTTTATATACTTTGTTATATTATATTCTGCTTCTAGATATATTTTTGTAATAATATGTCGATCCATTCTTGAACACTAACTTTTTTAGCTTTTCCTTCATCCGTCGAAAACTTAAATAGATTACAACAGTAGGTAATGTTTTATTCATTTTATCTACCCTTCGTATTTTTACAACTTTTTAATGGGACCTTTTCTTTTATTTACATTTTTTTTTCACCTATTCGAGTTTTTTAAGGAACTATATACCTAAATCTTGGCAATAGAGTCTATTTTTGTAAGTCAATGCATTGAATCTGAAATCAAGATCAATTCATGGTCTGTCCATTTTACATTCTTAAAACACCGTTTTTTTTATAAACAAACCCAGCCTGGAATTTGGACAACCGCAACACATATGTAAGAATTAAGGATTTGGAGCCTCCGATAGTCAATGGTATCCTCAAATCCCCAATCATAATCCTGTCCTAGTCCTTGTCCTCAAAACTCCAATCCTCAGTGAGGTTTTCATCCACGCGTTTGCCACGTTGTTCCACACCGGTATTCAGCCATAGTATCACTCAATAATAAGCATTGTAAAGTATCTACCGAATACCTTAAAACGACTCAAAGGTGTGGATTAATAATTTGGTCTGCAAGTCAATAAACTCTATTCGTTGATAAAGAACTGCATGAGTAGGTTCACGGCTCCGAAGACTAGTATAGCGCAGTAGAAGACAGTCTTCCACCAAGTCAGTTTCCCTCTGAGCTGGAGAGACCGGATTTGAAGGAGTGATGGGAGGGCGAAGATGTGGACTAAACCGCTTACTGCACCCGTATACCTGCGAGAGGTAAGAGGGAATAAGAAATATTATTATTACAAAGAGGTAAATGTTGTGAGTTTGTATGTAGGGGGTTATCTTTGGAACCTCTGGTCGGATTTGCAAAATTCTTTCACTGATAGATAGCTACAATGTTCCACGGACTGACTGGACGGTTGGTGCTGTGGCTGGGCAACCGGCTGCCGGACAACGTGTCGTAGGTTCGATTCCTACACGAAACAACTCTATGTGTGATCTACAAATTGTTATTTCCGTTGGTGTAGGTGTGATGTATACGTGTAATTGTATGTTTGTAACCGCACCCACGACACAGGAGAAAATGCTACTGTGGGGCAATTTTTTAATAAAAAAAAGAAAAATAAAGAATATTTATTATAATATGTAAGTATAGATAGCCAAGACATATCTCAAGGTCTTCAAATAAACAAAAAAAAAAAATGGAGAATTGTAACTGACCTGATGATGGTCCCTATGCTGGGACAGAAGCAGGCGACAAGTATGCAGAGCGTCATGATGAACACGTTGATGACGACGGTCAGGAACCTGGTCTTCTCGAATGGGAGCAGCAGGATCGCTTCCGTACGTAGCATGAAGGCGACCAGCGGGTATACTGTTATCACCTGTGGAAGAAACACTTATGTTAAATCCTCAAATCTCCAATCCTCAATTTTCCAAATCCCCAATCCTCAAATTTCCAAACCCTCAATCTTCAATCCTCAAATCTCCAATTCTCTATTCCCCAAATCTCCAAAACTCCAATCCCCAAATCTCCAAAGGCCAGTCTGGACTTGTAAGTAAATCGATATTATGTGACCATATGGGCGCCGCCGATTGCTCAGCATCAGGTGATCTGTCTGCTCGTTCGCTCGACACACGCAACATCAGAGGAATTAGAAGAGCGTTGTCGCCCATTTTAGTGTTTTTAGGGAGGAATGGGAGAAAGACTAGCCCTGGGGCAATCTTACAAACACAACGAAAGCTTTGTTTCACACCAGTTTTTTTTTGGTTCAAAATTCGTCCGGGAACCTTACTCACACGGCGAAAAACAACGCTGTGGTTGTTTTATTCCGGTTTTCTCCAGACTCCAGTCGAGCCGACCCATTCGTGCCAAAGCATGGCTCTCCTCCCACATTCAAAATAGTTTTTAAAAAGATTTAAAATGCTTTTTTCAGTGTGGTACTTACTTGAAACAGCAGCAACATTCTCGCCATTGCAGTCATTACGTCGTGCATCTCAAAGTTGTTCAATAAATTCTGTAAACAAAATATTGTATGGTCACTCACATTTTCAGATTGATTTCAAACAAGATTATACTTTAAGACAAACTCGTAATAAAATCACAGTATCACATCACCAATCAATCGGTTACATTTGATCGTAGCGTGATGCCTATAGCACTCAGGAAAATTGTAAATCAAATCAAATCAAAATCATTTATTCCAACTAAACCATAAATAGGTACTTTTGAAACGTCAAAATAGAATAGTAGTCTGTCAGTCTGTTCGTCAGTGAAGCTAGGTGCTCGTTCCAAATTGTAGTTTCGAATGGAGAAGAACGAGCAAAGTCAAAGTCAAAGTCAAAGTCAAAGGATTTATTTGCTCTTGAATACAGTTACATAAAAGGTGTTACAATAATATCAAAGAAACTCCATCGTTACTCTTTTAAAAAAAATATTTGTTTTACAATTCACCAATAATACATTTTATACATTACAGTACGCCTATGTGAGAACAATGCAGAGACAAGTTGTTAATAAAAAGGAACAAATGATGGTCTATCTAATCTATCATTAAAATTTTAATCCTTTGTCATTTTAGTATATGGAGCTATCTATCAATGAAGAATTTTGGCAATTAGACCAGAATTTCCAAAGCTTACCCCCTACATACAAACTTACAAATTTTACCTCTTTATAATATTAGTATAGACGAGGTACTCACATCTTCAATGCAGGACTTGGCGAGTGGGAAGCAAATGTAGAAGACGGCTCCAACCAGCGTGTATGTGATCGTCACCAGGAGAAACGCTATCGTCAGGTCCCTACCCTGAAAAGCAAACGGCTTGTTAATGAGATGTCTACTTATTCTGTCTTTTAGGGGCTTATTACCTACAATTTACAAAAAGAATTTTAACAAGTGGCTTGTCTCCTACTTTAGATTTTATAACAGACATGTTAAAATTTAATCTGTCTGCCCCTTCATGGAAAGGCTATGATGTTGTTTTATTGCTAGAGGAAGGCAAATGAATAGACGGATTACCGGAGTATTTAAGGATATAGGAAATTTGAGGACTGAGAACGGAGGCAGGCAACACTTACGTCGCGTTTCGCCGTGTAAGTGAGGTTACCGGAGGCCAAATCCTTGCCCTCCCCCAATCCCTCCCCAGTCCCAAAATCTCCAAATTCCTAATCCGTAAAAGGCCGGCAACGCACTCGTAACTACTCTGTTATTGCGGATGTCCATGGGCAGCGCTGATTGCTTACCATCAGGTAATATAAAGCCCCTAAACCCTATCACATAAAAAAAGGATTAAATAGGGGAGAAATTTAGTATCACCCATGCGATGCTGATACTAAGGTCGCTAGTACAAAATAAGTTATAATTCCTTACATTATTCTCCTGCCTCGCATTGTTCCCCATGATAGTGATGATAATGTTGTGTATGTAAAAGGACAGCGCCAACATCCCGCTGAGTACGGCGGCGTTGCGGACGGCGTGGGTCTCAGTCATCATGGAGCCCACGTTGATGCCCCACGCGTAGCCCTTTACTATGACGAAGATCAGTAGATACGCTACTGATAATGTGCCTGCAGATAGAAAATATAGCTTAGATATCAATCCTAAAATGTCCACTACTCCAAAACCCTTACATAAGGCCAGGTGTAAAATAGAAATATCTGCAATATAGGTGATCCTAACCTGGCAGAAAATCGGGGTTGCGGGGTAAGCGCAATAAGGCACCGCGACCTCGGCCCAGAGCAAGAGAAAGAACCGGGGGATGTTTAGTCAGTAAGAGTCTGACAATCCCTCCCGCCCGGTCCTGGGCGGGAGAAGTCATTTGATGATTTTCCCCTCACAAAAAAAAACCTGGCAGAAAATCATCAACTTGACAGAGCTATAGGTCAGTTTTTGTTTTCTCTCTCATATGAATGAAGGCTTTTTGGACTAGTTTAATCTGGCACATTTAATCTTATAAGCACAAAGTAACGAAGGACAGTAAGTAGCATCGAAATGTTCTGGAGTGAAGAAGACGGTTTGATGCGATCGTCTATTATTTTGTGATCGACATTTGGATGAACCAACGGGTCATTTTCACTAATAAGTATTATTCATAAGCAATGAAAGTAAACCCACGTAATAAACATGAGCTGAATTTCCATGACGAATAATATCTCAATGCCTAGAGATTTAGCTGGGGTTGCGGGGTAAGCGCAATAAGGCACTGCGGCCTCGGCCTAGAGCAGGAGAAGGAACGGGCTAGTTTTTGGTCAGTAAGAGTCTGACACTATCTCTCGCCTTACCTTAGGCAAGAGAAGTCAACGATATGCAGGAAAACATTTGGTGTCACGGGCGCACGGAGTAGGGAATCTAGGCAGCCCCCCAGTGACTTCAGGTAAGACGGTGGCACAGTGGTTACGTGACGCCGTACACAATGAGGGTTAAAGAGGTCACGTACCTCTCGATAGAGATGTGCCATAACAGGCGTTGCACCAAAGGGGCTCTGGAGTTGGTCTATCAAGAGGTCCCGGTGTCCCATAAAGGTGTTGATGGTGGCCACCGGGGAGGTTTTAGTGATGTACAAATCCCACACTCCCTAGTCTTTTTCCCCAAAAGCTAGGCCCCTCGTTAACAAAAACAAAAAAAAAGGCAAGAGAAGTCATTTGATGGGTCTCCTCTCACAAAAAAAAGAAATGGCTTGAGATTGAAATCTACTATGTAAACTGAACGCCAAATCCACATGTTACCTAAACTGTTTTTGCTGACCACATTTAGCCATAGATCAAAACATGATCTGCGAGAAATTATAGGATTAAAAAAAATACTTTCTACCTTACTAACTTACCTAACGAATTGAACTTGGTGAAAAAAGATACGTCCTTAAAGTTGAGCAGGGGGAAGACCAGGAGTGCGACGTAGATAGGCACGGTGGTGTGGAGTCCCCAGTAGGGACTGTCCTTTTCAGGCTCAACAAGTAGGAGGGACTCGTTTGCGTGCCGAGGGCATAGGAGTGACGTGTTGTACTCCGTTTCATTCGAGGTGGATAGATCTGAAAAATATTACATGGAATTAAGAATTAAAACTACTTTTGTATTTTTTTTTGCATAGGTTGGAGCGACGTTGCGAGCAGGAGCAGATGGATTTCGTGATGGTAAGTAATCGGCGCAGCCCATGGACACTCGCAATACTAAAGGAGATACTTCGAGTGCGCTGTCAGCCTCTTGTGGATTGTTAGAGATTTACGAATAGGGGATTTAAGGGAGATTAGGCCTCCAGGAACCTTACTCACACTTACTCACACGGCGAAACACAACTTAAGTAATGCTTTACGCCGGTTTTCTGTGAGGCTATTTTATCACTCCGGTCGAGCCGTCCCATTTGTGCCGAAGCATGACTCTCCCACACTTACAACATACTTTAGTGTCATCATACAGACGATTCTGCGTAGACAAGATCTGCCTTAATTATTAAATTTACACTTTTTTAACGCTTCAGCTTCACTGTGTTTTTCCATGTGAATGAGGTTACGGGAGTCCTTACCAAAAGCCGGTCCAAATTCACCTGTCAGTGCTATGGTGTTACGACTGTTCGTTGGTCTTCCATAAAGAACCTTTTTAAACTTGACTGCACGGTTGGTGCTATGGCTGGACAACTGGCTGCAGGCAACTTGTCGCGGGTTCGATTCCCGCACGGAACAACTCTTTGTGTGATCCACAAATTGTTCTTCCGGGTCTGGGTGTCATGTGCATGTCAAATTGTAGTTTGCAACCGCACCCACGACACAGGAGAAAATACTAGCGTGGGGAAACTTTTTTTTAAAAAAAAAGAAAGAAAATACTATGGCCGTCCAATCCCATAATCTATGAAGAAATCAATCAAACTTACCAACAAAATAATTGACACTGAAGTAAAGGAAGTTAGTGATGAGGATCCAGTAGACTATGTTGGCACCGAGCAGAACCAGAACACTGAACACGTGCGCCACCACCTCTGCCCAAGGTCCCAGCAACTCCCGACATAGGGCGGGCACTTCACAGCTTGCACTACCTGGATTATAAGAACAGGTTTGAAGATGTTTCGGTGATCTCCTACTTTTCTTGAGAGAAAAGGTTTCTTAAAGAGGTCAATTGTAGTCTTATTAAATGTATCTTAGTTATGGTCCTATTGAATGTAAGAAGGTTTATTGTAGAGACAAAGAACTGTAGGTAATAAAATAATGAAGTCTTCAGTTCCACTACAATGGGCAGCGATTTGCCCTAAAAATCTAACATTATGAAATCAAGGACAGTAGTCAAGATCATAGTCGTATTGCAATCAGACTTTCTTTGATGTTCGATGTCTAGGATTGTGGATGCAACCACTATAACGTATCGCGGCCTCGGCCTGGAGTAGGAAGAGGAACGTGTCGGTTTTTAGTCAGTAAGAGACTAACTCTCCCTCTTGCCTCACCCAGAGTGACAGAAGTCAGATTACTGTTGAGGGTACATCCTCCGCTTGTGGGCCACATGTTGTCCCTATGGCGTGCAACATGATAATGATAAAAAAAGGTATACCTTTCCAAAAAAGGATCATGTTCAGAGGTGATGTCAAAAAGGCTTTTTAAGCTTACACTAAGGTAAATTAAGTAACCTACTACAATATTATAACTCACCATGGTATTTATTGACCCTGAGCAGCACATAAGCCGTGTAGAGGCACAGGGCTGCCATGAACGCAAGCAGTAGCAGCGCAGCTGGCAACCCTGCGCGCTCTACGCCCCACGCCATTGTCAGCAATGACGAGCCCATTATTGTGTTCCACACTGAGAAACTGGAAATAGCATTTTGTCAATACCTATTCATCGTCATCTTGGACTGCAATCGAGATTACCTAAGTTGGCAGGCGAATTGGAGCTTGAGGTTGAGGGTTTTTTATGGGCTGAGACGGCAAACGAGCAGGAGGAGACGGATTACCTGATGGTAAGCAAGACAACATCGCAATACTAGAGGAGGATTAGGGTTTCGGAGATTTAGGGATAGGGGGAGCGGAAGAAGGATTGGACTTCAGGTAACCTCACTCTCACGGTGAAAACTAACGCTGCAGTCTTCTGCGAAGCCATGATATCACACCGGTCGAGCCTACGTATTCGTGGCGAAACATGGCACATCTTCCACACTAAAAGACGTCCGCTTAAGAAGCAGGTGTGTTGCCAATGTAGAATCATTGTCTTTCGTAGCAGTGGATTATTATTGAAAATACAGGCTATTATTCCTGTAATTGATGATAATGAAGTTTACAAAGTCGCTGTAAATTTTGAATTAGTTACATTAATGTTAGACTTACATAGTGACTAGCGAACTTTGTTTCTTTTCTCTCTCTGGTTTGAAAGAGTTCTCGAATGTATTGTGGAAGGTTGTGAGGACGTCATTGGACGATAGATCGGCTGGACCCTGGAAAAAAATAGTTCAAGTTGAACATATAATGGTAAGAAAATGTCGGCTACATAGGGCCAAACATATTCTTTGAAGATCAATAGGAAAATTGTGTTTTCTTTTTTGGCCCCACACTAGGATTTTCTCCTGTGTGGTGGATGCGTTTACAAACATACAATTTCAAATACACATCACAACCAGATCCGGCAAAACAATTTCTGGATCACACAAAGAGGCTCCGAGTTCCGTGCGGGAATCGAACCCGCGACTCATTGCGCGCCAGCCAGTTGCCCTACCACCTCGCCAATCGTGCAGTGCTATTATTTTATATCTGCCCTGTTTCTGACAAATATTGCATAGAGTAATTGGCGTGTAATTCACGTTTCATTAGGGATATCTCTCATGTTGGAGATGGGATCTTGAAGTCACTCAGGTTTATATTTATACCCCTTCGGGAAACATAGCTAGTTTGTTTACTCTTTGTTGATGTGCTTTAATCTTTTTTCGTTATTAGGGAAAATCCAAACTAATATTATAAATGCGAAAGTAACTCTGCCTGTCCGTCTGTCTGTCTACCCTTTCTTCACGCCTAAACTACTGAACCGATTCCTATGAAATTTGGTATAGACATAGTTTGGAACTCGAGAAAGGACATAGGATACTTTTTATACCAAAAAGCTGCTGGAAGCCACTATTCCCCGCACGGAGTCGCAGGTAAAAGCTAGTAATGTATATTTACTCAAATTCTTTGTTTACAATTTTGCCAAATGCCTCCAAAATAGCCAGCGTAGATAAGACACAGTGCAATAAAAATCTCTTCTCTATACTTAATACCTCGCTCTGCCACATGTAACATGATTTGCAATAACTTTAATAAAAATTATATTTAAATTATCACGCTAGGCCCACAGCAGTAGGCCTAAAAATTGTTGCTTAGTGCTGATAAATTAACAAAGGCCTTTGACCATTATTACGTCGAATGCAAGATAATTTTGAGTAAAAATGACTGTAGCTATCTATAGTTGCTAGGAAATTAATTCGATCTTAATTTTTTTAATAGTCACTATCGTAAAATATATAAAATTTATTGAAGTTTATTGAACTAAGACAACTGCTCGGCTGCGCGACGTCCATGTAAGCGTCGAATATACCCGTTGTGTTGTTTTCAATAAAAATGTAAGATGAATGGATGATAATATCATGATATCTTTTGAAAGAAAGAAAATGCATAATAATTTATTCGGCATCAGACATGGAAGCCGGTTACAAAACAAAAACACAACAATAAAAAGGTTAAAAAGACAGAAAAACAAAACTACGCAATATAATAATACATGGTAAAACAGGCTAATCATAATAGAAAAACATGCTACTCGGGTTGGCAGACATGCCCAATCCGAATGGGTCGCCAACTCAACAAAAGCTGGGCACATTGAGCACCCGACACTGATTTGGCAAAAATGTCGGTAGGTAGGTGTTTTTTTTTCAAATGGCTTCTTCCACCCAGGTAGGGCGAGAGATGGTCTCTTATTGGCTAAAACAACCCCGTTTCTACTCCAGGCTGGCTGGAGCCGCAGTAGATTACGGCGCTTGCACCGGCAAACCCGGCTTTCGAAACAAAAAGGGCGATTTTGTTACCAAATGCTATGTAATTCTACCTCAATGGTTTGTCTATGAGCATTTCACTTCAATCCTGGCAAAACTAAATGACAAATCTATTGATAAATATTAATATTAACAGATCTATCCAGGGCGGGTGAAGTCATTTCAAATGGGCTTATCCCATCAAACTTAACTTAGGTATATGGCTCATTAAACATAACTTCTTTTTAAATTGTGGAATTAACTTCAAGCAGGCATCATAACCTCCGGACCACTGCGACGTATAGCCTACTCAGTTTAGTTTTTGATTTCGTCTGAATGTCTTCGCGAACCAGACAAAACAGTGGCGTAGTGGCGTCACTTTATCGTCTCGTATCGTAGTATCCTTGGCCAAATATAGCTGATCCATTTAATTAATAAAATGTTGCCAATGATAGCATGTATGATAACAATTACAAAATTCACTTATTATCACGCCGTTTTTACTGAAGGTATAAACAGAGTTACACCGATAATGTGTATTGAAAAACATCCTTGATATCTACTTCTCCCATCCAGGGTGAGACAAGCGGGAGTGTCAGAATCTTACTGACTAAAAACGACATCGTTGATTTTGCTCCGGGCCGGGCTGCGGTACCATATTGTTGTGTAGCCGCGACGAGCACGCTGCATATAAATAAGAGTCCCGTTGTGACTTGAAACTAGTAAAGCTTATCTCGATTAATTCTCGTAAGTAAATCGTTATCTAAACTAATATTATAAAGAGGTAAAATTTGTAAGTTTGTATGTAGGGAGTAATCTCTGGAACCGCTGGTCGGATTGCCAAAATTCTTTCACTGATAGATAGCTAAAATGTTCCTGATTGCTATAGGTTATAAAACATTACATACGCTACGATTAAATGGAGCCGAGCAGCGGGTGAAACCGCGCGATAGTAGCTAGTATTCAATAAAAAGAAAACACTGATTACGTAAAACCTAAGAATAGGTAGCCTATCGAAGACAAGAATACATTACCTAGTCTATTGTAAAACTAAATACCTAAGTATATCTTTTTATTTTAACGCGCTCATCATGTACGAAGCTATTGGTTCGAATTTAATAATTATTTTTTTGTTTGATTTAAAAATATTGCTGCTGAAACTGGTAGCGGGTGAAAACGAGCGGATGTTGCTAGTTCGGTGCCTACATTAATGTAAGTAGATAACTTGGAAGCACTTTAATCCGGAAACAACTGGGTGTAGGAAGGGGCGCGCGATATTATACCTATTAATAAATAGAAGCTGCTATTTACATTATGTAATTTATACATTAAGTATCTAATCATTGTTTATATTACTATGCTTACGCTCGGGGCTGGTGCTGGTCGGGCGGCGAGCTGCCCTTACGCGCTGTCCGGGGACCCGCGCTTACGGTGGCCGGAGATTGTCTCTTGATCCCCGCCGCCCGGAGTGTCTATTTGACGTACCTAACCTACATATATACCTTCCTACCTATGCTATGTGACGTAAAAATTTTGATAATGTGATTTTATTTCATAAAACAATTATAGAAATTGACGTATTTGACATTTCGGAATAAAGTTACGAATTGGTTTAGTTAGAAAATACCCTATCATAGCTAATCCATTTCAGTTTTTTCTGATCGTAGCGGGATGATTAAAGCCTACCCTGAAAAAAAAATATTCGTAGGTACCAGTCGTTCTGGAGATAATTGCGTCAAACGAACACACAAGAAACGATTCAGTTTTAAAATATTATTAATCAAATTCATTATGTTTATGTATTCGGCACGCGGCGACACACGCTCGTATGATAATATACATAATTATAATTAGTTAAATGAAAATGCCAATAATTAGGGGCTTCGCTACAGTTTACAACTTCGCATTAAATGTGATAAGAAAATCGAGATGTGATGTGACCTCTTACTGTGATTATTTTATCTCAATATCGTTTAAACTGACAAGGCTATGACTTTATTTGTAATATATGTATAATTATTAATATTTAATATTAGAAGATTCTTTTAGCTCTTGAAAATCTAGGTTGCGTGAAGGCTAAGACTATAACACTACCTATATCTTTGAGTTTCGCCATGAAACAATCATAGCGTGTTTCGCCGTGTGAGTGAGATAACCAGCAGCCCAATCCATCCCCCCTTCTTCATACCACACCACTCTCTTTATCCCTCATTCCTAAAAGGCCGGCAAAGCACTCTAGGGTTGCTTACCATCAGGTTTGCATGCTTATTATCATCTACCGCCGAATCACATATTTACTTAGTTACTCCTAACATGCATCGACGTAGTTCAGTGACAGTCTCTTCACCTTTTCCAGACGAATAACGTGATGGTAAGCATTTGGCGCCGCCAATGGACACCCGTAACACCAGAGCAGTTACGAGTGCGTTGCCGACATTTTGAGGATTAGGGATTGGGCCAAATCTGTGGTTATTTCACGCTGGTTTTCTGTAAGGCTTGGTATCACTCAGATTGAGCCAAGTGAGACAACCCATTCGTGCCGAAGCTTGGCTCTCCCACACTTTTTCCCTTTCCCAAAAAGTTCTATGATACGAGTAGAAGGCAAGAAAGTGAATATATTAATCTTACTTCAGATAGAACTGACATAATATTATAGCAAAGCTTATTCATAATTCAATATCCTCGGTCCTCGGTTATGGTCCATTGTATTTTAATGTCTTCATAGCATTATTTCTTGAGTCATATTAAATGCAGATCTTAAGGTCATGGTCTAGACATCATTAAATTTTATTTAACACTAGCTTCTGCCTACAGCTTTTCCCTTAATAGTAGTGAAAGTCAAAGTAGCCTTTGTGTTATTCCAGACTATAATATTTTTGCGGGGTAAACGCAATTATTTGCCGCGGACTTAGCCAGGACTAGGAAGAGGGACGGGGTCGTTTTTAATCAGTAAGAGTCTGATAATCCCTCTTGCTCCACCCTGAACGAGAGAAGTCATTTGAGGATTTTTCCCACTCAAAATAAGAAAAAGAAAATCGATATCTTCTTGTATACTTATTTGTCTTTGCCAAATTCCTTTGATCCGTTCAGTAGCGTTACGTGGAAGTAGTGTTGCCCAAATGCAAGAACAAGACGAGTCTTGGTCTTGGTCTTGCGCCAACACACCTGGTCTTGGTCTTGGTCTTGGTCTTGCGCCAACACACCTGGTCTTGGTCTTGGTCTTGGTCTTGCGCTCCAAGTCTTGGTCTTGGTCTTGGTCTTGCAGCAAGAGTCTTGCTAGTCTTGCAATTACCTATTAGTCTATTACTATTTATTAAAGTTTACTTTAAATCTTAGAAAAACGTATTAGAATTGGAACATTGTGAGCTTGAATTAACATAGCCATAGTAAAGATCAAGCAGATTAATAAATAACTGAAGATTTGATAAGAAATTTGAAAAATCAACTGACCTATATGTCGTTTTCCATGGAAGTAATTGATTCTTTAAACATTTTATGATTTATAAGCTTACATTTGCTAAAACATGTAAAAAAACAAATTAATGACAATAACTTGACTGTATTTTAAAGAACAATACTTATCTGTCTAGAAAGAGATTGAACCCTCAACTTAAAAGAAATTTAATAAAAGAGTTTTACGATTTATCATTTATTTGAATAAAAAATAAAATACATAGGTATACAACACAAACCAACAGCTTTATCATAAGGTTATGATACTTTATATCAATTTTTTTGACCAAGAATTAATACAAAGTAACAATCTGGCTGACTCATCACTTAACCTATTTCTATGTTTTCTAATTGGGTAGTTTCCTAGGTCAAAAATAAATTAATTCGACGTTTTAATACGATAAAATATTGAAAAATAACTATACTTTTATTCATCGTTCGATCGATACACTAAGTTTTAGATATTTTTTTAAAAGTAAGTAAGCTATTTGACGCAAGAATGCTATGACGTCATAATTCAATGTTTCATACAATTTTCATAGAAAAGTATCGTTTTTGACATTTGGATAAAAGTGTTGAATTTTACTAGGTGGAAACAACCGTATTCCTAAGCGTACCTACCTATACACCGAACTGTTACACCTAACTACTCAGTGAAATAGCGCTAAGTCCTAGCTGCAAGACGCAAGAGTCTTGCAGGCTAAGTCTTGTTCTTGCGCAAGTCTTGCACGGTCAGTCTTGGTCTTGGTCTTGCTAAAAATACGCGGTCTTGTTCTTGGTCTTGGTCTTGCAAAAACGCAAGAACAAGACCAAGACTGCAAGACCAAGACTGAATTTGGGCAACACTACGTGGAAGAGTTAGAAACAGCCATCTATCCATCCATAATTACAAACTTTCACGTTTTATATTTATAAAAATAAAATAAAAATAAAAAAAATAAAATAACTTTAATTCAGACCGTAGTCCATATTATGTTAGTACTCACACACCTTAAAAACTATGTTAGTGAAAAATAAAATACAGAAAGACCTTAATTCAAATATCTGCTGCGTACATTCGACACACCAGGTACATGAACGTGTACATGCATCCAGTGTGCCAAAATGGCGCAACTCGGCTTATCACTGATGACCCTCAGAATGCTGTTGCCGCTCCCACGCACTCTGCGCATCATGGACGCTACTCGCTTTCTTATGATGGCTTTAAAACCATCAATATGTGCGTCAGCAAACATTCCTGATGCACTGCAGTAACGTGGGAGCCCCAACAACATCCTGAAGGCGTTGTTATACTGAACTTTATAATATTACCCAGTTTTTTTAAATTATTCACCAATGTCAGTGAAAATGACTTCATCCCATATAGAAATTATCTAGAATTTCTCTTTGCTTCAACCGAACCAGCTAAAGACAACAAGGTTGCTAGGTCAAAAATAAAACTAATTATTGTGTTTTCGGCTTACTCACGTAATAATTTGACGAGATACTCGACTAGTTTCAAGCCACGCTAGAGGCCATATTAATTAAGAATGTCTCACGAAAGTTATAATTAAAATAAAAAATGAAACTGTCAAAACTTACCAGTGTATCGATGCTCTCGGAACTGACAGCTCTATAAGTTGGCGTGACAGCGCCCTGCAGCAGGGGCTCGGCCTCCGCGCGACTCATGGCGCTGCAGTAACTGTGACTCGTTACACTCGGAGACCAGTGTCTGCAACGTCAAAGCAATTAAACCATAAATAAGACAACATCAAGTGCGGGAGAGCTATGCTTCGGCACGAATGGGTACCACGGCCTCACAGAAAACCGGCGTGAAATAACCACAGCGTTGTGTTTCGCTGTGTGAGTTAGGTTACCGGAGACCCAATCCTTCCCCTACCCCTTCCCTCCCCAGTACCTTAAATCCCAAAAGCCGGCAACGCACTCGTAACTCCATTGTTGCGGGTGTCCATGAGTGGCGCCGATTGTTTACTATCAGGCAATCCGTCAGTTCGTTTGCCAACTTATCACATAAAAAAAGACGAGAAGTATCTTATGCCCACGAAGTGTCAAGAAGTATAAAAAGCTGATGTTTTTTTTGTCAAGGGAAATATTATCAAATGTCTTCTTCCGCCTAGGGTGAGGCGAGAGGAAACGATAGACTCTTTCTGACTCAAAACCCCCAGTTCCTTCTGCTCTAGACTCTAGATCGAGGTTACGGTGACTCATAGCATACCCCGCAACACCGGCTAAAAAAAGCTGAAGATGAAGATGAATTTGGACGGTGTAGTGTGGCCTAATATGAGACCATGCCTAGGCAAACGTAGTGTAAGTCGTCCTCCAGCTAGGTGGACTGACGATATCCGTAGGGATATACCGTGGAATTAGAGAGGCCCATATCCAGCAATTGACGGAAACAGGCTGATAATAATGTACGTCGAAAAAGCGGATTGACTTTTGAGGATATGGACTTAAGGGGCCTTTGTTGAACAGGTGATGTGTTTCAGCTGATGCTAACAATGAAACTAAAGTTCTTAAGGGGTTTTTTTGTGAGTTTGTGATACTGGGCTGAGTAGGTACTATTTGACATTATACAAAAGAGTTAGGTTTTTTGAGGGGGGGGGGATAATCAAATGTCTTCTCACGCCCAGGGTGAGGTGAGAAGGATTTGAGGCGCCGTACACTCGGGTCTGGTTTTGATCGGATGTCGAGTTACCCTTGCCATCTTAGAGTAAGATAACGCTGTCTATATCTTTTTATAATCTTATTAAGTATTAAATAGATTATTATTTTTTATTCTTATTTCTTGAAAAGAGACTGACCTCTGAGTTTGTTTCGGCATTTCTTCTCTGAGTAGTCAGAGAGGAAATGCCGGCTTCATCTAGTTTTTCACATATAAATTGACGTGTAAAAGTGACGTTTTATGGCCTATTTGCAAAAATAAATTGTTTCATTGTTTCAATCATTAGTCAAAAAGTGTTCGTTACCACGCGTTTCTACATCTATCATATGAATAATATTCTCCGCTGTTACGCTAAACAAATCATGTGCAAAATGATAAAAAGTTCATTAGTTATGAAAACAAAAATGAAATTTATATGATGACTTACAAATACTCGAATGAGCGCGGGAGATAAAACGTCACAGATAAACAAAATTGAGTGTGACGCTTTACTTTAGCATGCGGTTTGAAGAATACCTACCTATTTATTCAATTTTTTAGAGCTTAGCTTAATTATGAAGGCTGAGGATGAAGGAATTTTAACAGAAATTACACTGGCTTTAAACATCGATTTATTTTAATCCTTTCTAATCGTAATCGGTTGCAGACAGTTCAAAAATTTATTGAATAATAAAGTGATATTCATCTTCTTTGAGTTGTAGCTCTATGGTCAGATCATAGACTAAAGAGAACGCCTATCATTTTTTAAATAAGACGTAACGTGTTTAGAATGATTATTAGCCTTTCGATTAATTTGTAATTAATCACCATCTTCTATGGCTTGTAATCCAACCATCCTGCTAATCCTACTAATATTATAAAAGTGAAAGTTTGTGAGAATGTATGGATACATATATGTTTGTTATTCACGCCAAAACGGCTGGACCGATTTGGTTTGTAGATGTGATATCCTGGATTAACACATGCTTTTCCTCAACATACCACGCGGGTGAAGCCGCGGGCGGAAACTGGTTGTAAATATTCTATGATATTTTAATTTAATTAGGTACTCACTTTTGTGTGTTACTGGGTTTTTTGTAACGTCGTCTCCGATCCTCACAATATTCACAGTCCGTGCAGTCGGAACATGCACTCCCGAATATTCTAAAACAAGAATAAAATTCAAATTTAATATCCAAAAAACCGTTACGTAAGTTATACCTAAATTGAATTTAAAATACCATTTTTCGAACTAAAATAAGTATTTAAAAACGTTGCGTTAATAAATGACACAAAACAATAACCTATTGCCTTATTTCTAAAAAAAAAAACACAGTTTTTTTTATAATACACCACGAAAAAAGGTTTCAAAAATAAAAAAACCTTAACACACCACTTCACACGTCTAATTTTCTATATTCGATATTTAAATAATATTGTCAAATAAAATTAATTCACCATTGCGTTGTATCTGTTCGAGTATTTTGTCGTCAAGTGTAGTTAATATTCACTGTAATGTCAGTTTATAATTAAAGCGCGCGCCATCGTTTTTATCAGACAATCTTAATGCGTCACAGATTTATATAAATCATAATTTATTAATAAGTACAATGTTTCTGCAGGCACAATAACGATGTTTAATTAACACAAAGTTTTGAGTTTCATTGTCATTAAATGTCTAAAAACTTTTCGACATTATCTATGATTTTTCAAAACGTACCCGCTTTATAAAAATGTTTTGCGATGTCAAATGACTTGACTCAAGTCAACGAGTAACGAGTCGAGCTGTTACTTTTATAATAATAGTACCCAATTATACAAGTATTTACCAATTTCAATTGCGTAGTTCATTTAGGTACTCAGTCAAAAATAAATTATTTCAACTTATTATAAAAGTATAATAAAAATACTAAATATAATAATAATAAGAGTTGTTTAAATACATATTAAATAATAATAACCAAACGGTCATTGATATAACGATATACTTAAACTTAGAATCCTTTAGATAATTCAAAAGAAATAAATATTATGCTATTTGACGCAAAAAATATATTACGACGCGTGCTAATTCATAAAAAAATCGATTTGACATTTAGTAAAAAATATTGAACTTGACTTATTAGTGACTACTCTAATTATAAGTGAGTTCAGGAAAAAAAATAAGAAAAAGATCTAAGATTTTTTTTTAGACTGAGGATATAAGTACAACAAATAGGTTGTCTTCTGGACATATTTTAAATGAAAAGTATAATACGTACTCGATAATCGAACACTGTAATGAACTATAATGAACCCATTATAAAGAAAATAAAAAAGATGGATGTGCCATCGGTCTGCCTTGATCCTATCAGCCATCCATCAACATCCACCCTTGCCCCGATGTCCTCCAACTTTTTGAACTCGCTTGAACTGTCCACACAGACTCATAATAATGACGTAAGTATGTAACTGTCATTGTTTAAACGTTTTGTGATTAAAATATTTATTTATTTCTGATTGGCTACGTTCGTGTGGATTCACGTGACATAATTTTTATCTAGTTTCATTATGCAAATTATGTTCTAGGTAAGTATTTATTAACCGCGATCGTATTTTTTTTTAGTAACAGCTATTTAACAGATGGCGGCACTATAGTTTTTGGGGTGGCGTCAATACAAAATTTATCATCGATCAAGTTAATAAACCCTGAAGCAGAATTTATAACAGAAACTTGAGGATTGATTGAGGAAATGAATTGTATTCTGTGCTATCTAGAATTTTAATTGGGATTAGATTATTTTCAACGTTACTGTCATAGTTTTAGGTGCCTAATTTCGAATGGTGGCGATTTTTGGCATTATCGTAGCCTCATTGCAAGCTCCAATAAAATTGTTAACCATAGAATAGGGTTTTTATGACATAGGCCGACAGAGAAGCAGGCAGTTTACCTGATCGAAAGCGATCGACGACGCTCATAATCATAAACACTCGGAACACCAGACAGACGCGTTGTCTGTTCGATGTTTAGACTTTTTAACTTTCATAATGACTCAGTTGAGGGGGAAAATCATCAAAATTAAATGACTTCTCTTGCCCTGGGTGGGGCGAGAGCAATAACAACAGTGGTTGTATCCTCTAAAGGCGAGAGGGCGTGTCCAACTCTCACCTAAAAACCGCCCCGTTTCTTCTCCTGCTCTGGACCGAGGCCGCGGTGAGTCATTGCGCCTAACCCGCAACCCCGGCTGAACATCAGCCCTATAGGGCCCCGTCTGTGGTGGTCCATTGGCTCTTTGAGGCACGCTACTTACTCGCCGACCGCAGACCCGCGCTTACGGTGGCCGGAGATCATCCCTCGATCCCCGACGCAGGGAATGTCGCCTACTGCGGCGGCTGGGGCGCGAGGAGGATAGTTCCCTCACGCGCTCCGCCTCCTCCTTTGCGAGCATCACCGCTTTGTAGAAAGAGCAGACGGCTTCCCAATTCCTCTCGCTACGAACCATGGCTTCGACTAAGGCTAGGCGCGAGAGGTCGCCGTTGCGATCACTTCCACGAGGACACGGCAGCGCTCAGCCCAGGCAGGGCACACCGCCACCGTATGCTCCACCGTGACCTCCTGGTGGTCCTCACAATGACGACACTCGGGCGTTTCCTCCCGCTTAATCCGAAACAGGAACCTACCGAAGCTGCTGTGCCCGGTAAGCACCTGCGTCAGGCGGAAGGTAAGGACGCCATCTCTCAAGCCACTCCTCAAAGAGGGATCTTACCGCTCCTCTAACAGCGTGCCCAAAAGTCATTTTAAGCCGAGTTTGCGAATGCAAGTGTGTGCATTCGCAAACTCGGCTTAAAATGACTCAGTGGATGTTATAGGTACTAGAGACTTCTCCATTTTATTATAATTATAGTTTAAATTAATAAATTGTATTGACTGGGATCGCGGAACGTCTGACGAAACATTTATCATAGTTTCGTCATGCTATTTAGGTATTTATACATATACTGCAATAAATATGTATATAGATATTAGTAAATATTTGTTGCCTAGGTATATAACTCCTTATTTCCATTACATATATCAAATGAGGAAGTTTGACAATGATTGTTTGAGTAAAAGTAAATAGTTACCTAGTAGGTCTCGTCTCATTATTTAACAAACCCCCGATAGAACGCCGGCGTTCGCGCACATAGTGTTATTCTATTTTGTCTCTTGAATTACCACGATTGAAAGGTTAATTAGGTAATTTTTGAATATTTTCCTAAATCATCATCATCATCATCAGCTATAAGTGTCCGCTGCTGAGGAAAGACATTAATAACCATGTCCAAAACAATCAACAGCGTCATTTAAACTTTCATTGACCGAACTAATATTCCCAAGTCATTGACCTAGTTTGGGAGGGGGCGGGGTGTGTGGATTTTGGCCCATTCCAGTGGATTAAAATCGTGACCGAGACAGTGCTCAGCCTACGCACTTCAGACGCGTCTACATACTCGTATACCTAACTATGGTCTATCGGCTTAGGTGGTTAACTAAAGGTAAAAAATCTTTATGAGTACCCACCTAGGTATATGTCTTTTAATATTAAAAAGGTTGCAGAAAATATAAACTCACAAAGATTACTTAAATTTAGTTTATTATCTACCTACGATTTAGATAAATAAGAATCTGATTGAAATTTAAGTGTGGGAGAGCCATGCTTCGGCACGAATGGGACGGCTCGACCGGAGTGATACTACGGCCTCACAGAAAACCGGCGTGAAACAACAACAGCGTTGTGTTTCGCCGTGTGAGTGAGGTTACTGGAGGCCCAATCCTTCCACTCCCCCAATGCCTCCTCAATCCCTAAATCTCCAAATCCGCAATCCCTAAAAGGTCGGCAACGCACTCGTAACTCCTCCGTTGCGCGTGTCCATGGGCGGCGCTGATTGCTTACCATCAGGTAATACGTCTGCTCGTTTGCCGACCTGTTAAATACAAAAAAAAAACATATTTAATAGGTACTTACTTATGATTTTTAGACAACTTTAAGATAAAAAGCCAATTATGTCAAAGTTTAATTACCAAACCGATAGACCATAGTTCTGAATGAACACTTATTTACATAATCTATTACAGTACAGCAAATACTTATACATACATAATGTTAAGTATCGTAAATAGTGCATATACTTAGTTAGATAATTAATAACAAACACGTCATGCAACATAGTAACCTATTGCGTCATTATTTATTTTAGATAATATCTACATAACATAAGTATAATGTGAGATGCATAGGTCTACCCGTATTGATTGATCAAAGGTAGGTTCAGTATATAGATATAGGTAAACAGATAGCAAATACTGCCCCCATCTAGATTTATAAGTAAATAAATAGTTATCTAAATAATATTGACGTGTTTCTATCCTACCTACTTACAAAAATAAATTATTATTTTATTATTGTACAGGATTGGAAACTGTTTTACAACTGCTTACTTTAGAAGAAAACAAAAAGCAAAGGACTGGCGTGATACAAAAAAAATTGGCGCCAAATCGAGTTGTTCGTTCTACAAAAAAGAAAAATTTGGCGGGAAGGTTAGTTGTTTTTTAATTGTTACGAAAGGCAGACAATAAAAAACCCCTTTTTCTGAGGGGAAAATCAACAAATGACTTCTCCCGCCCAGGAAATCGCGAGAGGGAATGTCAGACTTTTACTAACTAAAATCCCCCCGTTTCTTCTCCTGCTCTAGGCCGAGGCCGCGGTGCTTTATTGCGCGCCCCGCAACCCGAATGTAGTGGCCCCGTCTGTGGTGGTAAAAAATATTTTCAACCACTAGGCCCCGGCGAGATTCGAACTCGCGATCTCCTGTTTACTAGACAGGCGCTTTAACCAACTAAGCCACGGCGCCTCTTATAAATCACTCCACAACTTATAGCTGTAATGCGACGCGACGTGTATTTATATTTTCAACTACATAAATAAGGAAAATTTAAGTATTTTACAAATCAACAATCATCAATAGGTAATTGATACGGGAGACCGTAAGGGCTGGAGAAATTTATAAAAATAATAATATTTTCTTAGTAATTTAGGCACCAAAGTAAGTATAGGAACAATCCAAATTTGATTTAGTCGAATCGTACACCAAAATCAAATAAAATAAAATAATACTCACTCGTAACTGTCGACGGATCTGACAGAGCTGGCAGCGGAATCAGGCTCCCTTGCCTTTTTCGGATTTTTTTCAACGAACCTCATCACTTTGCTGTCAAAATTATTTTTTTAAAGTTATTTTTATCTGTGTTACTTTTTTAAACGTTAAAGATTAGGACACGGGCGTTCTGCCTTGTGTTCGCACGGCGATTGGGAGATAACAATTAAATTATCAAGTAATTTTCACTGTTTATTGTAACTATACTCGGTTATACTTTAAACTGATTATGTTATTCGTTGACTAGACACTGATAAGTAATGCGGATTGTCATGTGTCTTTGACTCATGTTTAAGGATGCGTTGGCTTGTGCAATGAGTTAAGAAAGTGGCTACCCCAAATAATTACCTATGTATAAATTGTAATAAACATTAAAAAGTCGGTACCAAAGAGTAAAGTAATATAGGTCGGTACTAACTTAAATAAAAGTTCAAGTGGGATCAGCAAAAATAACATTGCTTTCCTTAAGCGAGTGCCACTATAATATGTCCGGCCCTTACGGCATTGTCGCCAACTTTCCTTATTGAAAAAAAGATTGTGACAATGATATTTATTGATGTGTAGGGGCATTGAAACAACAGCGAGTGTTGCGGGGCTAGCGCAATGAGGCACCACGTCCTCGGCCTAAAGCAGGAGCAGGAACGGAGGGTTGTAAGTCAGTAAGAGTCTGACGTCTCTTCTCGTCTCACCCTGGGTGAGAGACACGGGCCTGCGGTCGGTGAGTAAGGGCAGCTCGTCGCCCGACCAGAACCAGGCCCGAGCGTACGGCGCGTAGCGTTCCGCGCGCGCCTCAAAGAGCCAATAGACCACCACAGGCGGGCCCTAAAGGGCTGATGTTCAGCCGGGGTTGCGGGGTAAGCGCAATGAGGCACCGTGACCTCGGCACAGAGCAGGAGAAGGAACAGGGGGGTTTTTAGTCAGTAAGAGTCTGACCTGACACTCATTCTCGGTAGAAGTCATACAATGATTTGCACTGTTCATAAAAAAAAAAAGATTTTAATTCCCACACAGAACACTACTCAGGAACAAGTGAACCAAAATCACATAAGGAATATGTGATTTTTGTAGTACCTACTTGTTCCTGAGCAGGTACCTATATCATTATATTATAGGTATGTTTGTAAACACACCCACCATAAAGCAAATAGACAAAAACTTATCATGCATGCACAGTCATGCACACCCAGTGATCTATTATAGGTGGTATTATAGGTGGTGGTATTCTATTATAGGTGGTTATCTTAATTTGCCCTGAACCGATTTATGTGAAAGGTATAGACATAGTTTGAAACTCGAGAAAGGACATAGGATAGTTTTTATTCCAAAAATGTGCAGGAAGTCACTATTCTACGCGAACAGAGTCGCGGGCAAAAGCTAGTGTACCATAATGTACAAAAAGGGAAAGAAAATAGTGTTTGACTTGTGTGAAAACTTCTTAAATAAAATTCTGATTTGAGCAATTTATTTATTGCAACGAGAATAGGAACATCATTAGCATCACAAATATGAAATATCGAATTTGCGCCTTAATAAAATGTCATAAATAAAAAACAATAACGCGCTCATTACGTTTGCGTGAGCGTAAAGTTAAGGCGGCTGTAGGTTTAATTAACATTAGAGATGAAAGGATGACAAATCGGCACTGGCCCATTTAAAACATTATGTAGATACCTAGTACCTACCTAAATTATTTATTTAAAAAATCTACAAAATATTTTACACAATGTCAAAAACATCATGACACAACATTTATTGAAGACTGGCAGCCCACCCTTGCTTGGCACATGACATCAACTTCTTTTTATAACCGACTTCAAAAGGAGGAAGTTTCTCAATTCGACCGTATATATGTTTCTTTTATCAGCTAATTTGGCAAAAGATCTGACGTTTTTTTTATGGAATAAGTCGGCAAAAGAGCAGTTGGATTACCTGATGGTAAGCAATCGGGGCCGCCGCGCCGCCCATGGACACACGAACCACCAAAGGAGTTACGAGTGCGTTCATGGCCTTTTGGGGATAAGGGTTGCGGATATCTAAGGATTGGGAATGGATAGGAGAGGGGGAGGGTTCTCACACGGCGAAACACAACGCTGTGGTCGTTTCACGCCGGTTTTCTGAAAGGCCGTGGTATCGCGTCGGTCGAGCCGACCCATTCGTGCCGAAGCTTGGGTCTCCTACACTTAATCATATGGTAAGTAATCGCCCGCAACATTATTATTACCATTAGAAATTACGTATGCGTTGTCGAACTTTTGGGGATAAGGGTTCTGGAGATTAAGGGAGGGAGGAAGGATAAGGGTCTGGAAGTATTGGGTCTGCGGTAAACTAACGCACACGGCGAAACAACGCCAGATTTCTGTGAGGCAAAGATATTACTCCGGTCGAGCCAACCCAAAACTGCCTCGCTAACGACGAATGGGTCCCTCAATTTTAGATTATAGACCATGCAGATATTGTGAAACAGGTTCTAGATAAATGTATTTAATTACGATTATAGGCATAGCTTATAACTTATAGATGAACTTTACAAGTAGGAGAGCCAAGCTTCGGCATGAATGGGTCGGCTCGACCGGAGTGATACCACGGCCTCACAGAAAACCGGCGTGAAAATACCACAGCATTGTGTTTCGCCGTGTGAGTGAAGTTACCAGAGGCCCAATCCTCCCCTCTCCCAATCCTTAAATATCTGAAACCCTTAACCCTAAAAGGCCGGCAACGCACTCGTAAGTCCTTTGGTGTTGCGGGTGTCATGGGCGGTGCTGATTGCTTACCATCAGGTAATACTCTTCTGCTCGTTTGTAAACGAAAAATAATATTGATTACCATAAAACTAAAGTTGGAAAAATAAAATACCAATGATATGTTAACAAACATTTATTTATTTACAACATTACTACTTACTAAAAATAAATAGAAGGCAAATTAATTGCAGTCACAGATCTATTAGGATGGAAGTTCACAGTATTAATGAAAGAAAAACCATTAGTTATTACAATGTTTAACCTTTATTGTAGATACAATCTAGTTTTTTTTATAGATTGCAATCTTTGGCAATGAATAGCTATCTTTAAGTACAGTGACTGAAATCTTAAATAGACAAAAAATGCATTCAACACATCTCTCATTCATACAATATAAACTAAAATATTAATGGCTAGTTCCACACGTCTTTAAAAGAACTGATAGAAATCTTATGAACTGCAGCTATCCACAGACTTTTATAACCTAGTCAGAGCTATCTTGAGTGAAACTAACCAAAAAGGTTTTGATTAAAATTTTTAAAGCAATCTTTTTTATTCTATACAAAAATTTTCTCACTATGCAGGTTTTATGTCAAATGACTTAATACTAATGTGAATTTTAAATTAAAATATTTGTTACACAATTCTATGAAAGCTATATATTTTGTTAATTGATTAATATGGCTTCTTAGATGTTGATTTTTCCAACAGTTTCAGTTTTCATTGACGTAAGTTTTTTTTAATTGCTGGTGGCACGATGTTGATGATCCCATTTATTAAACAAATGAACATTATTTTTTTTACTCCCAGCTATAGTAATCTTGATATTTTCACAATAAATGAACAATTTTTATAGAACTATGCAAAAAATATTAATTAGATACACATTCCATCCAGTCTCATAATCTAGCTTAAATATTGAAGCCCATCCTCCTCATGCAAGCTTTGTGTTCCTCAATCAGGGGGCCGCAGTTCTCCTCGCCGTTTTCAATGATGCTGAAAATTAATGAGAAATTGGTAAAATTGTTGTTCAAATCATAAAGTTTTCCAATAGTATAACTGAGAGATGATTTTTATAATATGTTTTCTGTGCAAAGAATTTTTTCCATATGTGCACTAAGACGCAAGTAAATGCAAGTATAGTGGCAAAAAAATAAGCCAAGTTTATTTAATAATATTAACCATGCATTAGAATATTTTACTAGTCTGTAAGGAGATATATATCTATGTCAAAAGTTGCCTCAAAATAAAGGTTTATTGATAAAATAAAAATTATCCATAAAACAAATAAACCCACTACTGTCTTCAGTTTAGTTTGCTATTCAAACATTAGGGATTTGATTTATGATCTATGTTGTACTAATGACAATTATGTTGTCATATCGTTTGGAGTATTAGTGGTATTATTGGCCCTATCACCCATGGGATCTGGACAAAAGAGTGAAGATTATTTAGCATTGCTTATGTAGTCATTTATAATATACATATGATTAGGTATAGTATATGGTTACTCATAAGGACCCTTGAGGAAAATACATTAAAATTTCAACTGAGTAAATGATTCATTTATATTTTATTAAATAACCTGCCTGCCTATTCTCTTTTCAAAGATATATCTTTTTGGGAGCCTTACTTAGATTAGGTAAAATGCAATTTTGAATAGAAACTGTAGTTAGATTGCTCGAGAAATATGTCACGCCTTATCAAGCTTAAACTAGTAACCTATATCCGTGTATTATTTTTCTAGAATTAGCTGTATTGCGTAATAAAATAGTATTGTTCATAACCTTACCATGCGTCCCGTGCTCGCTTAGTTTCCGGGCAAGCGCAGCATGGCTTCAGTTTAGGTTTTTCGGCATTTGCTGGTGCAGGAGGCTCCGCTACTTTCACATCAACAGCTTTAGCACTTGCATTGCCCATTTTGCTACAAATTACTGATTATTTTGTGATGCAATTATTATCGGCACAGTTGCACGCTCGACCTTCGTTGACAGATGTCAAAATATGCGATTGAAGGTCGTTGTTGTCAAAATGTTTGACAATAAGTTAGCGTTTACGAGGTTAGCTAGCTTAGCGGTAGTTTGTTTATAATTATATGTACCTATTATATTGAGATTGACCTACGCTTATTTTATATCAACGTTGAATCTTAATTAACAAAACGTTGAAAATTGTGATAACTTAATCTATGTAGTATGTAGGTACCTATTCTAGTTTATGTCAAGTTGCAAATTTATATAAAAATAAGTGCGTATGACCTACAACAAATGCATTTACTTAACCAATTTAAAAACAATGATCAATATTTCGGTTAAAATTTTCCATCGCTTGCCTTGTTCGTCTTCATTCATCGACGTCTTTGGAGCTCAATAAATTTATTTGTACTTTTTTTCTAAGCTTGTAGTCATATTGCATGACAGTTAATTAGGCTACGCAAAAACTACCCATTCAAAGTCATGGAAACAGTTGAAACATTAAAAAAAAAGTCAACAAATTGTTTTAATTTATAACAGCCATCATAAAAACTCCGATAAAAAGCTATACCGAATATATTCCTGAGGCATAGTGGCACACTGATTAATACGCATTAGCCTTCACCATTTTATTTTACTCTTTTTCAAATTATTTTGTAATCATCAACATCTTTACAACGAAAAGCTTATCAGTATGGTAGGGCACAAAAATTGGCTTCATCTGTATGTTATGTGTCTATGTGCCCCACTGTACTAACAAGTATATATGTAGGTAAGTATAACTAGGAATTACTCTTTTACCGGAACGATACAGAATCATTGCGGTTGTATATTTTATGAACACCAACATAAAATTTAATTCAAAGACACGATTTACATGCAGAGCTTTAATAAAAAATCAATGTTTACTTTCAAACTTTAATCAGACAAGCAAAACTTAAAATAATGGAGAAAAAACTTCTTTTTACCTCTTCGGGAATTTTATAAAACAAAAACAAAACCGTATAAACAACCTGACACCGATCTTATAAAACTAGCTCTTAAAATTTAATACATACTTATCAAATTAATTAATATTCCATAATCTAAAAACAGTCTACTAACATCTCATAATCATACTTTAAAACAGATATATCGTAATCACAAGTTCATGATTAAAACATTAAACTAACGATCTTACAAGTATTGTAGAGTAAACATAATGATACATAACACCTTGGTAGTATCAGAATAGAATTTAAAAACAAGTTCGCAACGGTTATGTATCACAATGTTACTGTACTATGTAAAATAATAATCTAAAACAAAAGCATTTACATTAAATTAACATGTTAATATGGTTAAAATCAAAAATGCAGTAAAAAAAACTCAAATTCATAATCACAAACACATAATGATAGAATTTATTAAAATGTTAACTGATTAAAATGCAGCTGGGTGACGCTCATTGATACACAATACTTACTAAGATAGTCACCTTCGTTATCGCTGAATGGTTTAGAAATTAGTCGTATATAAAATCAAGTCAATTTTAGCTGTCCAAATTGTATTTTTGCCGATTGTGCGGAAAATGATTAAAACGATTCTTGTATCTAAACTGAAAAATGTCACTTCGATATGCCAGTCTCACTGGCGTAACAACTTGTCTGTAGAAACAAAAATAAAGTAATAAGAAGTGTGATTTCTCAATTTGGACCCTATCAGCGTCCTTGAAAATCATATTTATCAAAATATGGAATTAGAAGGCACGCACACAATTGCGAACATTTTCCATTGCACTCATTAATGAATCAAATATTAAAAGCCGAATCTGATAAATCAATTGTCTGAATATACTGGCACTTACAACTAAATAAATGAAGGGTTAAAAAATAAAACATGCTCTCCTTAAAACTACGATTAAAAAATTCTATAGACTTATAAACTATTTCTACGGCGCTTGGCCCGTTTACTTCAACAATTGTCTGAGTAGAGATCAAATCGTCTTATGCTTTCAGCCATCATAAAACTTTATAAATAATAACTTAAATGTTAAAATCTCAAAAAAATCAACGAGATATTGTAAATTCGGAACAAGCTCATTGCAATCAGTTGTAGAACAAAGGTAGTTCTAATATCATATAAAAAAACTTATGAGTATAATAAATGCATCCAGTCTTATTTAATGTAGAGTCTACCTTTAGGAATTGCATTGAGGTCCTCTTGATACCAGCCTCTATGAGGGTTTGACCGAAGAAATCTTATTTCTAACATTTGTACTCTTTAAATCAGTCTTAGAGTTAATCTCTTCAGTCTCGAAGCTACGTATACTTGGCACATTTCATTAATAAATAATTAAGTTTTGCTTATCTCATACTTATTACATTCACTGAGCAGACAGCAATAGCTAATAAAAACAACTTTAAAAACAAATAAAAATAACTGCTCTCCATTTGCACTAATTAGTAAATCCATTACTTTTTAATTAATTAATACATGCGATTTTAAAATTCTGCCTTTTGAAATGTTGCCATTATACGTAGGTTATTTTATAGTGGTTATTTACCACTTGTCTTGAGTTAGGGTCGCGAACTGAGACGGCGATCCTACCATCTTGCGTTCACCGCCAGCAGAGCTTTGGTAATTGCCTTTATTGGCTTTTAGATCTGTGAAAAAGAAGAACACGTTCAAATATACATACGTTCTAGCTATCTTTGTAAATGCTCTTGACCCAACTACGGTTTGGTGATTCCCACTATAAAAAAATAAAGCGTTTTATGAGAAAATTATAGGTATTCCTGCAGTATTCCTATAACGATCCTCTGACAGTCACTCTGTCCTTGATGGATATCATGGCTATTTTCTTCCATATATACTATGTACATAAAAACGTATGTTTGAGTAAGTTACCTGCTATCAATAGCAGCATCTTCCTACGAGCTCCGAAGGCAGTGACACCGATCTCAATGAGGTCCGCCTCGTTCAGCGACGTGAACGTAGACATGTCTAACTCGTGCTTCTTGAACAAGTCTGAAGAAACAAGAACAAGTTAAAATTTTATAGATAATTCGGATCTGTAATGTTAAATGAAAAAAAACCTTGCTGCGTACCTGATGGACTGCAAAATGATGTGACCACATAGAAAAAACTGTACTTACTTATATTATTATGTCTACATAAACTGTACTTATATGTACCAGTTACATATTGGGTGTGTGGATTACCTCTAAGAATTGTAAAAGTTTTAAGTATTAAACCCAAATTAAAAGCTTGTAAAAGGGAAGTTCTCGATAACACTCATAGCTCACCAATATACTTGTGCAGGCCGACATCTCGAAGCAGCGCAATGAGCTGCTGGTAGCGGCAGGTGGCGGGCGGCGCGGCCGCAGGCGGGGACTGCGCCGCAGTCTGCCCGGGGGAGCACGCCGCCTCTACTATGTTCGGCCGGACCAGCTCCGAACGGTTCCAGCCCTTTTCCGGCTACACATATTGACATATTTTAAAGAAAAAATATAATGAAAAATACCTTTTTATAATGCGAACGTAACTGACTCAGGCCTTAAGTAAAGCATTAATTTTAACGAAATTACAGTAGGTAGTAGATATTGAAAAGATCTTGGATAAATATTTTTTTCACGAAATGCTTACAGGACTATGTTATGGAAAAACCTAGTAAAATCTATAGATTAGCTTGTACTAAGACTGTGTAGATATTACAGTTGCGTATTATCCACGTTAGTCTTTAGATTTCTCAACTATCTACATAATAATAGATATGTTGTAAGTCACGTGGTCCGATGTCTTTAAACGGACACTGATGAGGTATAATAGAAGAGGAACGGAGATGTTTAATCTTTAATTCTAACCTACGTCATCAATTCATACATTCCTTTCCTTTTCAAAGTGGAAGACTTTCTATGAGAAAACAGGAGTTAAAGGTTAAAGCTAGCTACTTACAGTAACAACTTCGTTGTTATTATTGTCGGTCAGGTTGATAGGTCCCGGCGAGGTGTGGCTAAAGTAGTAGCCGGACCAGCGCTGGTTAGGTACGCGGTACCCGCTGCCTACATTCTCACGCATCGCCTATATTTCCACAATAATAATGTTAGTTAAAACTAGACCTTGACTAGAAAAGGTCTAGATATTAGACAGGGTGTACCCTTGTAACAAATAAATTTCAATTGTGTTTTGTGTCATGAAGTAATAAAAAACATTTGCATAAAAAACATTTCACATTCAATAGTTTAAATGTAGGAGAGCCATGCTTAGGTACGAATTGGTTGGCTCGACCGGAGTTATACCACGGCCTCACAGAAAACTGGCGTGAAGCAACATTTACGTTGTGTTTCGCCGTATGAGTGAGGTTACCGGAGGCCCAATTCTTCTCCTCAAATCCCCTATCCTTGAATCCCTAATAACCCCCCACAAGGCCGGCAACACACTTGTAGAGTAACTCCTTTGGAACTACACGTGTCCATAGGGGCGCTGATTGCTTACCATCAGGTAATCCGTAAGCTCGTTTGCTGACATTATGACATAAAAAATCCGTATAACCCTCTAAGCCATATAAAGTTATTTTAAAAGTTATCACAGCAAATTTTTTATTCAGCTCGTTTCCAAACCTTGATATTGACAGCTACTTGTTAGGGTGTAAAATGCATAATGCATGTGTTTAAGGTAAATGCAGTTACGACCTTAGCACCATTGGACGTTGATTGATGTAATGCATTCATTATTGTCAAGGTAAAGGTTGCAGTCGTAAAATTTGGGATGCGATCCCTTTCCCTAATGTTGAGCCAAATGTTACGGAAAATTGGCAAGGTATTTTCGTAATAATTAGATTACTGAGGAATCTTCCATGGCTATATGGCTTTTTTGGTGGTTAAGAATACAAACTTGCAAATTTTATGTGAAATGCATTGCAATGCATGAAAAATAGTTATTCAGTTTTGTGTGCCACGGTAATTTTATTTCGACTGCTGTTCTACAGGCTGATGCATCAGCTTGAGTTATTCCAATAAAATCTTGGAGCTGAAGCTAAGTTTAGATAAGTCTGTTGTTTTCTGTGGTATTCGCTGTTTTCCAACTAGTCAAATTAATTATAAGTATAAATTACCTACTTGTATTAAAGAGTCAAAATAATTTATTTTCTACCTAGGAAACATTGTTGAACTGACAAGTAAGTATGATGTTTAGTTTCACATCTTAGTCACACATTTGCTTTTATTTTGTGAACTTAGAATGTAGAAGAGTATCTCAAAACCTCTCCAAAACCTATTTCTGGAAACTTGTAAATGGCATTCAAGTGTTAGGTATATTATTTCTTTCACATTGTATCTTTCAGCTGTAAGTTTTCAGAATATTTTAAAATAATAAAGTAAAATACTCACCTTACTAGCTTCAGCTTTCATCTTCCGATACTCAGTGAGTGGGGACAGCTTATTCAGTGCCTCTAGAGTCTTCTTCTCACAGCCAACTGCGCGCCGATCAGATATTGGCAAATCTGATATAATGTTCGCTAATTCTGAGAAACAATCACATTTTTAAACACAACGGGTCCGTTTTACGTTATCTAAATAGTCACTATGTTACAGATAAATCATGCGACTAGCCCCGACTTGGCGAGGGTACCTACTATACTTTTGAATTATAGGTACACATTTAAAAATTTCCTCCAGTCTATCTATTAAAATAACGGCATCAAAACTCGTTGCTAGGTTTTAAAGAGTTAAGCTTACATAGGAATATAGGGACAGAGATAGCGACTTTGTTTTATACTTTGTAGTGATTAGTTACACATTAGTACTTAGGTACCTATATAAAGATGGTGAGAAAAAACCCTTACGCCTATTTAGTTGTGCCACGAACTGGCAGGATATTAATAAAATGGTCCTACTAGAAGATTAAGACCCGGTTTCTGAAAGGCCGATGAATGTTAAAATCAATTTAATCTCTTGTCAAATCATCTGATTGGTTGACTGAATTATCAACACCTTTATCGGGCTTTCGGAAACCGGGCATTAGTATATTTTCAGTCGCTTTTTTAGCATCTCAGTCTTTTTAACAACTGCAAGGTTTCCAATAGGTTCGAGTGATGGAGTCTATGGTGTATCTGTTGGATTGTTTTGTTCTATATCGTTGTTAATAATAATTTGTAAACTTACCCTGTTGTGAGCGCTCAGCGTCAGTGGAGGGCGCGGGACTGTGACTGCTGTGTTGTCCCTTACTGATGGGGGACACCGAGGGAGACACCACGTTACTGCCGTCACCGCCACCTGAACCAATGTGTCTTATTGTCAAGATAAGGGCACAATATTTTGGCATTGACTGCACCGTTGGCGCGGTGGATGGGCAAGCGCACAGGCACCTGGCTGCCGCGCAACGTGTGGCGAGTTCGATTCCAAACGGAGCAACACTTTGTGTGATCCACAAATTGTTTATCTCGGGTCTGTCTGTCGGGTCATGATGTAATATGACACCGGAGAAAATCCTAGTGTGGGTTTTTTTGGCATAACGGTTTAGGCCCATTATTATATTAGATATTTAAAGAAAGTATTTTTTTTCTATATTAGGGGACATCTAACGACGTCTCCCGTCCTGGTGAAGGCGAAAAGGAGTGTCAGAATCTTACTGACTTTACTGTTACGGATATTCTTTTATATCGGATATCCGACAGTTTCGGTTACGGAGCTCCCTAACATCCCTGCTATTAAGCATAAGATTTCAAGGCTTACCAGATATGTTCTGAGTATCAAGCGACACGGAGCTGCCTGTGAAGTTGCTCTGGTATCCGCTGCTCGCCTGCGAGCTCGAGTTTAGGATCTGGCTCAGTGTCGTCTGTACACAAACAAACAAACAACTAGAGATATCTAAAAGTGCAAGAGAATTGGCAAGTTTTTTTTTAACAGTGAGCTAGTATCACTACTTTTGGTAATGCGACCTACAATGGAGCACAAGTACAAGAGAACATAAGTAACCTATCCACTTGGATCTTGAACACACCCTGCGGGGAACATATAAATCTGTATTATTAGCACTATGGAGATTATACTTACACACCAAAACTAGTAGTAATACATATTTTCCGTAACAAATCGCGGAGACCAGAATTAAAGATAGTATTACGTATGAGTATCAATATTCATTAGATTCAGTTCGTAGTTTCCATGATTTTTGAATTGAAAGTTTGTATGGACACCCGTGCGGCATAAACGCTTTCATCACTTAAAAGGTATGAAACGGGTCAATAGTTATTAACTACTTATTTGTCTTTTCCCACTTACAGTTCTGTTGTCAGCTGGCATCTGCTGGTAAGGCGTCTGCATCATCATCTGTTGAGGAATGCCCACGATGTCGGCTCCGTTCGTCATTGCTGCAAATATAGTTATATAACAGTTTTCATGTGTATTTTATTAAAATAATATAAATATATTTAACTTAAAAGTTACGGATTTGTCTTATCTTAGTAAATAGTAAACAAAAGAGGGCTTTTTGTTCAAAATTGTATACTCACGGTTCCATGAACCACCCTGGTTCTTATACATGACAGCATTCGGATTAGGTATCAAATTGGGATAGTGGAACTGCCCGCTTCTAGGCTGAGGAGAAGGCACCATCCAGGAGTTAGGGTATACTGGAGGAGTCAACGCCACCGGTGACAATGGACTCGGGTAACCTCCCGGCGTGGGCGGGTTGTGAGCAAACATTGGCGACAAGTTGGCAAAGTTTGCTAAATCGGAGAGCGGCAAATTGAACGGCGAACAAGGGGAGTTAGTCATATTGGCCCCATGTGTTGGCGAGAACGGGTTGAAGACGCCAAAGTTGGGCAAATTGTTCGCGGATATGGAGGGAATGTTATAGGATTCTGGTATTTCCGCGGTTATGACCGGCTCCTTGTCGCCCAGGAGTTCGCGGCGAGCTTCGTAGATGTCACCTGGATACAAAATATGAAGTGTAACATTGATCAATTTCATACCAAGAAAATGTAGGATCTCTTAAGAACAAACACCTCTTCACTTCAAAATCATACCCTCAATAATGATGATGTACAATGGTCTTTGCTGCATTAGCTACAATATTAGAGTTCTCACCAGCACATCGCTCGATGCCCTTCACGACGACGGATGTGATCCCCTGCTTGGGCTTGCGTCGTATGTTGATGTAGACATTGTATTTGTGCATCAACTTGTTTGCTAGCTCGCTCTCAATCCGACACGCTTCATCTGATACGTCGAATATCACCACCAATGGGAGACTACCCTGTTATACATACATTACAAATAAGTAGAACACTAATTCTAAATTCTAAACTGTGATAAAGGTTGCGTATTTAGATGTTTTCTGGCCAAATAATGCTAGTTTTGTAGACGTTTAGAGTAATTTTTAACATTGAGATTTTTTTCACTTTCTCCCAAATTCACCCCAATTCACTATGATTTATTTGTCACCTAGATACTTTAATTTGGACGAAGATCATGTGTATATGGGCATTCCTTGAAAGAAATCGCATGATCGATAGCAAATATATTGCGTAAACTACCATACAAATAGTTATATGGATACGGCAGACCTTATTCTCAAGGATTCGAATCGAACTTGGTGCGAAAGCGCTCTAAGTCAAATGGCAAATTCATACCAAAATATTTTGTGAAAGCAGCGAGTGCTCAAGTAAAAAATCCAACTTACCACCAACTGTTGTCTGGCAGCGTAAACATCCTTGATATTCCCGGTAATAGTGACGCAGCTCTTCTTAATCACCGGTATATTAGGGTCATCAGCATCAGGGAACATGATCTGTGTGTTTGTTCCTTTCATGATCACCTTCAGCTGTTCCGCACCCCTACCCACAACCACTCCATGGTGCATGGGAGATATTTCTAACGACATCTGCACTTGGGTTTGACTCTGGAAGAACATTTTTTGAATGTATTCTATGTGTGTGTTAGCTGGTGTAATTTCAGACTAATTCTTGGATAGAATTCGTTATAAAACCACCTAGTGTATTTTATAGATATAGATTACTAGCAGATCCAGCCACGCGTTGCTGTGGCTAAGGTAAATAATAGTGTGACTATAAATTGAGATGTAAGCTATCCTATCATTCAAGTTGGATCAAAATGCAAACGGAATGCAAATCAAATTTAAAATCGGTTTAGTAGTTTTGGAGTCCATCGCGGACAAACACGTGACACGAAATTTAAAGTGTTGGAATGTATTTTAATGCTATTCTTAAAGATTCAGGCGCAATTTAAATGAATGACATAATTAAAGTTTGGAACTAAACTTAGCTCAAGCAACGTGTTATTTGAGATAATATTTAATATTTTTTTAGGTATAGGCTAAGTGTATTTTTGTGTATTATTTCTTCTTAATTCACAAAAATAAGTGTTAGAAAATGTGTATTGTAATCGAATCGAACCATTGTTTTTCAAACGTAATTTTACAAGTTTTATTATTAAATAGTTCACTCACTGCCAAGGGTCCGCACATGTAGTTCATGAGCAGATTGGTCGCCTCCATGGTGGCCTGTACCTCCCATTGCACTCCCTTCACCACCAACAAGTTGGCGTGCAGCTTCGGACGGTTACGCAGCATTACCTGATTGTGGACTAACGTTTTTAGGAAATATCTAATTGTAACCTATATTTATAACGATCTGACGTTTTTTATGTGATGTATTCGAAACCTGGCAAGTACCAATGTAACTTTTTCCGAGTTATTTGTACTTTCTATAATTATTTAGACACCACTGACATACGGTGAAGGAAAGCATCGTGAGGAAACATGGACTTATAATTTAAATTATAAGCTTGAAATTACAAATGAGCGAGGTGGTGATTAATGTTCAAAACATTGAGAAAAGAGGCCTTTGTTCAGCATTGGATAATTCTTGTAGATAGCGTAAGTTTTTCTAAAAAGAGCAAGTACTGTAGCTACATAGTAGGTATGCAATTATAAAAAGATGATAAAGCCTGTCAAAACTCATCAGCAAAGACAGAAGAGCGTTTCAGGGATTGACGCCGTGGTTGGTAAAAGTAATACTTAATTGGGTGCACATGGGTAAACAAACAATTTCACGTGCACGTCACACCCAATCCCGGAATAACAATTTGTGATCCACACAAAGAGTTGTTCCGTGCGAGAATCGAACCTCGAACTCGACAATCGAAAGAATACATAGAAAAAGTAATTTCCTACCTGTACATTATACTGGTCCTGTATATTCTGCACGTATGGCGAAGTGATGTCGGGCAGCGGCTGTGAGCTGGGCACTATCGGTAGCTCGAAGCAGAATACCAGTGGAGTCAGGGCCTAGCAGAACATTGTATAAAGATACTTTCAGTCTTAAACTGCGATGAATGTAGGTACGTAAGGTTTTTTTATGGTATAGGTCGGCAAACGAGCAGACGGATCACCTGATGGTAAGCAATTAGCGCCGCTCAAAGTAGTAACGAGCGCATTGCCGGCCTTTTAGGGATAAAGGTTTTGGATATTTAAGGATTGGGAAGGGATGGGGGTAGGTAGGGGTAGGAATTGGGCCTCCGGTAACCTCACTCACACGGCGAAACACAACGCTGTGGTGGTTTTACGCCAGTTTTCTGTGAGAACACTCCTGGGTAACACTCCTGTCTAGTTGACCCATTGGTGCCGAAGCTTGGCTCTTCCACACTTACCTACGCACTTTACTTAGGAAAATAAAGGTTCCATACCAATGGTATATCCGTATATCGGTACCTACATTACTGATAAAAGACAAAAATATTTAGTGCAACAACAACTTATGTAAAGTTAGGGGCGTAATATTGTTCAATGTCAACAAAGACAAGCTACCCAGATTACGTGATAAAATGCTGCTATGGGTTTCAAAAGGCCATAGCAATTCCGTGTTAATGCGTCTAGACGAAATATATCACTAGTTTTGCAGACAGGCGCTATTTATTATCCTGGAGATTACATAATAAGACTCCATTGGTATTATTTTGTGCATTGCTTTGTTGTGTTGACTATTTTTAATACTAAATAAGTTCAAAAATCGACTAAAGAATCCCACTAATATTGTGAATAATGTGAAAGTTTGTAAGAATTTATGGAAGTATGTTTGGTATTCTTTCACACAAAAACGGCTGGACTGATTTGGTATACATATATATATAAGTGATACCCTGGATGAACACATACCTACGCTGCTTTTTATCAACATACCGCGCGGTCGAAGCTGCAGTAGGATGCTAGTTAATTTCGTAAAGGATACTCGACTACACATCATTCAGCACTGGCATCAAGCTCAAAGATAAGATTCCATTCTGTTCTAATGTCTCGATCTGACTATACCATTAGGTTAAGTGCACCAGAAAGAAGAAATTAAGTGTAGATAGAAGGTACTCACTCGAACACGTGCTCTAGCCCTCTCGACGCGTTCCATGTCACCAGCGATGGAGACTTGGTTGCTCTTCTCAACTGTGCTGGTGCGGTTTGAGTCCGGGAAATGAATATGGCAGCCTGTCTCCTCCATCACGCGTTTGATTGTAAGTCCACCCTTTGGGGAAAATACAGTGATAAGTATAAGTTGGTATTATGTTAGTTAATGTTTTTTTTTATGTAATAAGTCGGCAAACGAGCAGATGGATTACCTGATGGTAAGCAATCAACACCGCCCATGGACACCCGCAACGGAGGAGTTACGAGTGCGTTGCCGACCTTTTATGGATTTGGGATTTGGAGATTTAGGGATTGGGGAAGGATTGGGCCTCCGGTAACCTCAATCACACGGCGAAACACAACGCTGTGGTTGTTTCACGCCGGTTTTCTGTGAGGCCGTGGTATCACTCCGGTCGAGCCGACCCATTCGTGCCGAAGCATGGCTCTCACACACTTCACGTTTAGTTAGCTAATTTTATTGTTGGAAGACCTCTTTCATTGAGTTAATGGAGTAGGTATGTATCCAATCAAGGCCAGTATTACTTTTGTAGTAGGAGCTTACAGCCAGTCTATTTATTGGTTTGGCGACCGGATTACCCTTAAAACGGGCAATTAATTAACAATTCGTATGTTTACTTGTTTACTTACACGCATTTTAAAAATCATGCTTATAATGCTATGATTTCTGCTCTCACAAATATACTATTATTTCCCGTCTAATAAAAATATTAAACTATAGGGTTTATTACTTTGTATATATGTTTTTCATTAATTTTCTTTTTTATTGGCTAATAAATGAGGTTTTATTTCATTTCAATGTAGGTGCAATGTCACTGCTATATGTATTTGTACCAGTTGTTTATGACTTATAAAATCAAATACATACTTGAATGTAGTTCTTTATAATTAGCGGACGTGTTTCAAAGATAAAACGTACATAATTACTCCTTGGATCCCACCCGTATTTTCCATAACAAATCAAGGCTAAATGACGAATGTATAGCAGTCATTTGTTGAATGTTTTGTTTTGTAATTACTTGTTTATGTTTTGAAATAAAACTTTGAAAAGGAACTGAACATGATAATTAACTTTAGCAAATATGTTCTGAAGACATGTAAAACGATTTAATTTTAATAGCCGCCGGCCATCACTTTGTTTTGTGGTCGTATTATGGCTTGTATAAATGTTTGCGAGAGATTTTGGACTTTGATTTTTAACACAGGGAGTACCTACAGAATAAATTGTACCTATCCAGTTAAGTACTATATTTTTTTTTTATTGATTATAGGTTCGCGCTTGACCGCTAACTCACCTGATGGAAAATGACGATGGAAAGTACTATTATAGTACTATTATATCTATGTATTACGATGTTGGGAGCTGATACAGGGTTGCTTACATGTTCATTTTCATTTCTTATAAGTATATTTTTTAATAACGCTTTGTTTTAAAGATAGGTTTTTTGTAACAAAGCATTTCCATTAAAAACTATGGTAGTGATAGTGACGAAAGAAATTAATGAAAGGTTTCAGATCAAATTCGTCAAAAATATCACAAAACATCTTAATTCATTTTTTTTATTTTTAAAAGCTTCATTAAATCTGTGTTTTAATAAACAAGGTCTATTTAAATTCCTTTAAATAGACCTTGGTGGTGTTTTATAGTTTTTTCTACACAAAATAAATCAGTTTGTAATATGAAAGGTAAAACAGGAAATACTTAGTGAAACATATCGTGAGAACTTTCCAAATTGCTTAAAACAACAAACGAAAGGAGACGCATCAACTATCGATTGGCAGTATAAAACATTGTGAAAAAGTTAGTAAACACTGAAAAGTTTATAATTGCATAATACGGTAGATTCCACTCACAGACTTTATAAGTCTGTGGTTCCACTTCCAACTAAGTAGTGAAATTGTACCTATACGTTTATTGAAACATCAAAATAAAAAACTACAAGTAATAATATTTTGTTCCAAACAAAAAAAAATTAAGTACATTACATATAAAGTTATTAAAGGATTCTTTAAGAACGTGCTTTCGATTCGATTCGATTTCGAACCTTTGTAGATTAATTTCTCATTGTTAATCCTTTTTTGTCAGAGGATAATCAAGTGACTTCCCCGCCCAGGGTAAGGTGATAAAGAGTGTCAGAGCCTTACTGACCAACCCCTGTCCCTTCTCCTGCTCTGGGCAGAGGCCGCGGTGCCTCATTGCGCTTGCCCCGCAACCCCGGCTGAACATCAGCCCTAAAGGGCCCCGTATGTGGTGGTCTATTGGCTCTTCTCATTGTTAACCCTAAGTTCCTACATACATGTAAATTAAGTATTTTATAACTATTTATTAATTATTAATTTCAGGGTGTTGTTATTACGCCATCCCCTATGTATGTCGTATGTAGCAATTAAGATATGAACACACACGAAGAAGTAAATTAAGCATCAAAAATGTGGATCTTGCGACGCTCCAACCAATTCGTCAATGCACCAAGAAATTATTTATTTAAAACTTTATATTTATACAAAACATACAGAAACAGACTTAATGCCGAAAGGCATTCCCTTCGAGTCAACCACTACGCTCAATTATCTACGCGTAAAGAAAGGTAAAGCTTGCTGTAAATTGACGCTTAATCACTGGACTCGTAAAATAAATAGGTTCCAGTTCAGCATAGGTTGTCTACGACCAGTTTCACTGTCAGTGACATATTTGAGCACTTAGCTGGCACGAGAGTATTTAGTTGACATTTTGGTACTAAAAAGGTACTTATTTATTCTTGTACATAGCTATAAGCGTTGGTCAATGTAATCTGTTCTTTGATTATCCTAATGGACTAATTGAATCACGATTTTGTCGTAGTTTCGTGTTTAATTCTAAGTATTTGTGATTGAAATAGATAGACGCCTGTTTTGAATTTTTAAAAGGGTTTTGGTATTGTACAATTTAGTTTGTCGTTGCGTAAAATCGGATTAATTGCACATGAAAACCTGTGAAACTTTTTTGTAGTTGATATATTTTTTAGGTACTGTTGTTACACTTCTTACTTATTATAACTTAGTACGAGCTAATAGCTTTACTGGAGGTCAGACTGACACAGGAAGTTGAACTTTTTGATGATTTCTATTTTGTTTGACGTTCAAAAGTGCCTACAGTGGTTCAGGTAAGTATTTGAAATAAATGATTTGGCAATATTTTTTTTAATTCTTAATCGCTAAATTTTTTTTTTTTCTGAAATTGAAACCCGAAATTACTTCGACATCGTTGGACCCGTTACAAGCATTTCTGTAAATTTATAGAAATGCTTGTTTAATTTTATAACTGTTGTAGAAATATAAACACGAATCTAAGTAAGTACAATAAAATAAAACTTCGTCTATAACAGGTACCAAAATAATTATCCAACTCAATACAATTCGCAACTACGTACTTACGTCGTAATTTAACCACATCCAAATCACTATGATTGCGTTCAATAGGAAATATAATTTTAGGAACAAAAAACAAGTTCACGTGAACTAAAAAACGTGATGAGATCGACTGGTCATGCGCCTTGATTACAATAATAGTAATTACTCAGTTCAATTGATTTGATCTCATAAATAAAATGAACGTCTGATGAAAACATTCAGGAATAATACCTCAGTAAGTACATAGATATCGTATTTCTTCCATAGCCAATCTCTACCAGAAGTTTCTTTTTGTTTTTTAATCCGCCCATAAGACGACCTACTGACCAAAAATCTCCTTCATTAAAATTTTCCTGCGTCGTGGTTGCACACACACATCACACCCAGACCCGTAACAAGAATTGTTCCGTACGGGAATCGCACCCGCGACACGTTGCACGGCAGCCAGTTGCCCAGCCTCCGCGTCAACCGTGCAGTCAAGCTTCAAAGTTAACATTTCTTTTAAGTAAATTAACTCGGGAATAGTCTGTTTTCCAGTGGTTAGTCGGGAATAGTCAGTTAGGTTCATGAATTTGAACATCTCTACCTACCCACTCTTCTAGGAACGGAAGGCGCTTTTTTTTTTGTGAGGGGAATATCATCAAATGACTTCTCCCGCCCAGGGCCGGGCAGGAGGGAGTGTCAGACTCTTACTGACTAAAAACCCCCCTGTTCCTTCTCCTGCTCTGTGCCGAGGTCGCAGCACCTCATTGCGCTTACCCCGCAACCCCGGCTGGTTTAATTAGAGAACTCACCTTTCCGATGATATGCGAATGGTCTGTGTAGCTGACATCGATCTTCATTGTAACCCGGTTATTCTGTAACATAAATTACCAATTAGATAGTTATTTTTATAGTCTATATTTTCTTAAACGTGTCTGCATACGTGCCTGAGTTTCCCCTGATGGCGAGCAGTCGCCGGTGCCCATAACCACAAGAGGCGTTACAAAAGCGTTGTCTATCTTTTGGGAATGTGATTAAAATATTGGTGATGTTTCGCCGCGATAAAATAAGGTACCTACTTAAGTAACTTCAACATTCCATGGCAGCAGGTCAACCTACACCAATCCGTACATTTTTCCTATTGAATTTTCGACCTTATATCAAAACGAAATAAACAAATAATTCGTTGAAAATCGAAAAAAAGAATGATAAGGAGCCTATGTTGACTAGCTAGCCACTACATTAATGAAGAACTTAATAATCGTGATATCAATAACAATGCCACGAAGACAAAACGGTAAATAACAGTCCTCATCAGCATCAGCCAGTTAGAGTTAACGTCTGGACATAGGCCTTTCCAAAAGAACGCAACTGCCCACGACAATCAGCTCTCCGCACGCAATCGCTGCCAGCCGCCTTGCAGATATCCTCAATCCACCTAGCTGGAGGGCACCCTCTGCGTTGGCCCAGACGCGATTTCATTGTAGAACACTAGTCCACAATAACAGTCACACCCCAAAATCATAATGTTAACTTTAGTATACACGCACTTATAAATAAGCGCCAATCTAACAAACGCATAGGTAATAAAAATGCGTAATTAATTAAGCAATTAAGCAATCTCACATAACACTTACCTACTTTGGAATGCTACTTAGAAATTATTGCTTATTACTAATTACGTAAGTATCTACAATTAAACTCTTATTGCTAAGGACATAAAAACTTTTTACATACCCTTGTGTCTAATAACTGAATTATTTTCTCTCGAGCCAGCTTCACATCATTAGGCCGTCCAGCGACTCTCACATGTGGATCTAAACAAAATAGAACACTTATTAAAATCAATAAAACTTTGTACTTACTTCACAAAACATTTCGACGTAAACTTCTTCTCACCTACCAATTTCAAAAAGATCGATAAATTTATTATCACGTAATTTTCTAATAACATTATAAACTAAATCGTCACTATATTCGTCAAAACTCATTGTTACTTCATTAAATATAATATAAACAATTAATTGATTGTTAAATATGTAATTTCATGTAACGGACGCGCACGCGACTGCATTTTAAAATAATTTTTAAAAGACCGCCGGGCTGGCGCCGGTTCGCTACCTAGTCTATTTGGCGCCAGCCCGCCAAAATTACTAGAAATGATATGGACGCGTTCCGTTTAATTTTAAATTTAAAAAAATATATGCGTTCAGTTTTTTGGACATTCTACCGTATTTATGCGTAAACTAAATCATTGAAATATTACCTTTCTTTGAACGCGCTCCGATTTTTAGACGAGCGGGCCAATTTATTAAAGTGTTAGTTTCAGTCATAACCTGAAAAAAAATTAATATAATATTTTTTTTGCTGAGTTTGTATATTTAAAAATATATAAACATAAATGCGTCTTACCCGGTGGAAAAATGCTTGCGCTGTTTGTGATTCATCCAAATTATCTGTAAAAGTAATATGGGTAATAAAAAATATTTTCAATGTCACTTTTTTTTCAAAATTACCTACCAACTTACCAGCAAGCATTGCTTCCAAACGTCGTCGGTCAACACGGAATCTCTCCTGGTATACATCTTCAGCACTGTTTAGCCCAAGAATCACGGCTAATTTCTGTAGGTCTTCTGCTGACGTCACAGAATTACTCGTTCCACTTTCGGAAGCCTATTTCGGTTATTTGCGAAGGGGTTGAAAGATAAAAATAGTAAATTATAATTATTCAGTCGGTCAATGAATTCGCCTAGGGGGCAGCTTTATTTGATGTATCCTAATAATATTGTTTCATTAAAGTAGTGTTTAAGGGCATGTGAAATGCTTGGATCTTCAAGATGGCGGAGATTTTGGTTACAAGACTGGAAGTATAAACTCATCACTACTTTCATAGTAAAAAAATTAAAAACTTACTTCACTCAACGTATCTTTGTCTGGATGTTTAAATTCCGATAAATGCGTTTTCACCGTTAAAAAGTTGGTTGTAGCCATAGTTAATTGTGCAACAGATATTTATTAAAACAGTATAATTGCAGTCAATTAGAATATAAATATATATAAATTAATGAATAATTAAAATGAATTGTCTAATTAACATAATTATTGCAAACTTATAAAATATTAACGGCGCGGCAGTGTGGTACCGGATCACGTACTGCTTGAAGAGAACCAACCAGGTTAATCTAACAAAAAGAGGGTGGTACAATACTAAAATGCCTATGAATTACCCTCAATATTTTTATATATTGTCTATTACCATTTTCTATCATAAACAGGCTATAATTCTATGGTGTTACAATCTTTACAAAAAAAAAAGTATAAAATATATTGTATGAAAAAATAACATCGTTATAAATTAATGACGTTACGCGCAGTAAATATATTGTACATCTTTTGCCATGCGGAGGCCCGTCTTGAAACAACCAATAAGAATTCCTCGCGCCGCCGCACACTGGCGTCAAGACGGCGCCAACTCGATAATTTCTCCGCTAATTTTATTTTTGCGCATAGTAAAAAACCCAGTCAGGTATTGCGATTTGTAATTTTCTTAACTTGTAGGCTACCTTTTTACCACCAGTTTATTTATTTACAATTAAAATAGTAAGGTTTCATTGCTATCGTAGGGATAACAAGACGTACATTTGAATAGGTATTATATTTATTTTTTGTTCAATAAATATACCTAAGAGAAAGATTCCAAGTTATGCAATTAATAACTCATGTTACTACATTTAATGGTTTTGATTACAAAATAGGGTAATAAATCAAGAATTAATATATTATAGCAGTGAATGAATGAAAGCATTATGAAACGGAACGTTCCACAACATTATTTTGAGCGCTAACCGCGTGAGGTCGCGTCAGTCGGGTTTCTGCGCTTGCCGGTGTTGGGTGTGCGTCCTCCTCGACTCTTATAATCGTGTCATAGTTAATTTAAATTTGGTATTTATAAATTAAAATAGTCTTACCTGTATTTAAATTTATTTAAGGACCCAGTGTATTTTGTAATAAGTGTGTTCATTTTAAGTAAAGTGTGTTTATTCTCTATTTATTGCAGTGTTTAAAAATAAGACGGTGAGTATCAAATTGTTAATTTCTTTTATGTAACTGTCCACCCTACTCTCTAAATAAAACTTTTACTGTAATTCGTTGAAGCGAAGAATACAAAATAGCCGTTGTATCCTTCTCAGACGAACAGCTGTTTGCTAGCCAAGCGGCCCAACAACACGACATCGAAGTCGGCATAATGTTACAAAATTAATTAAACATTTCCACGTTTTCAAAATAATTGTGTTAAAACATAATATGTACAGATTCTACAAGTATGTCAACACAACAAAGACGCGATTTTTAACTATAAACTCTTTTTATTTTTTTCTGGTAATGGGAAATTAAATCGATACCAACTCCAATTTCGGCGCGTTCCTGTCAACATAACCTAACATGCGTTTTAAAAATATTGCATGCTTAGAAGTTACGTCTGTGTTTAAATTGTCACTCCTATAAATATTAGGTAGGTGCTTAATGTAAATTATTGTAAGAATAATTTAAATAAATTTGCGAAGTACATAGCGTTCCTGTATCGTGTCTCAAAACGCCACTTTGGATAATATTATAATTACCGTTATATATATTTTTTTGTATTTTTGATATAATGTATATCAAAAATACAAAAAAAAAATATACATATACGACTTAATTTTTATGCAGTCAATACTTAGGGTAGTTACTAGTGTTTAGCTAAGAAGTCAAATTCAATACTTTTTCAAAATGATTGACACGTTGTGAGTGTTGTGACGCCAAAATAATAGCATAGGTACCTACTTATTTCTCACGAAATGTGGTCCACCCCAAAAGGTCCGCACTGACGGTGTAGGTACTTATACATATAAATAATAATAATATTATTATAATACGCAAGTTAAGTGTCAAATCAGTATGCTGCCAAAATAAATTTAATAGATGTAATGTTGCTATTTATTTTATACAATGGGAAACTTTCCTATTCGTACCTAAAATAAAAAAAAAATAATTTTTAAATACCTACTTTCTAGTTGGTTTGTCTTGTAGCAAAATTAGTGTAAAGTTTTATGAAAATTATCATTTAAATTACTCGTATTCTTCTGATAATTCTGTAGTTTCCAGGAAACTATCAATAGTATAAATTATTGCATACATGATTGCAGTCTCGTCATAATATATTGTAGGAAGCTATACGGGTAGGCGACAGGTAACAATTAGATTTTATTATTTGCTTTGAATCCGATTTGCATTAGACTTTTTGATTCTGATATTATATGAAATGAAACCTTTTTTTTCTAACATTGTTTTTAATGGCCATGCTGCCGTCGTATTTACAGCATGATTTCTATTTGTCATTAGTTGACGATAATGTAGGTACTCCTATTGAATAACGTCTGGTAAGTATTGTGTTAAAAATAGGCACCGGTACAAACCAGCCAGATACCTATAACCCGATATAATAATAGGTATGTTAGGGGCATGTTCCTTTAATGGGCTTTATCCGTGTTTCATTTTTTGACATACCTAACTAGGTAGACTCATACATGCTAACAAGTTAAAACTCATTATCGTTATTATTATAAAGATTATAGATTAGACCTACACCTGTCGGTAGTACTACTTTTATTTCCGCACACAATATATCGTTACCACTCGTGACTTATGCAAATAAGAGGTTTGCTAAGAAAACTGTAAGTAAATAATACTTGCAGCTTTTTGACCTTCACATGCGTACATTGGTACCTACTTAGACAATTTAAAAATCGAAACGCTGCCGCTGTATTGCCTGCAGAGTGCTATTTCAATGCCGTCTAAATCAAACTTTAAAAGAGCGGAAAGAAAACATAACGGAAGGACACGAGGAAGTGGTTTGCCAGAGATAAGAAGCGATTTGTTCTTTTTTTCTAGCCAGTAGCAAACGCGCTATGACAATAGACAATCGATTTGTAAAAAGCGGATGATCGATAAGAAATGAAATTCGCTTTTATGATCGATAAAATGTAAGACTGGTTTGTAGCCGCGTACACGCGTACCTTTTTAAAGGATGTTGTAATGCAAACAAATAATTACGAATTAATCTAGACACGTGTATGATAATGCTAATTATTCTATCGAGTTGTTTAAACTAAAATGGTTTTAAATTGTTTATAGCTGTAAGTTGATAATCTCATAAACACTATCGGCTTGATCTTGAACGTTTCAAAATAGATTTGCGCGAATCAGTTTCGTGTTCGTTGCAGTCCCTAGTGTCCTGATGGACACAATAAAATAAGTCTAGCCATGATTTTATTGCAAGTTCTATGACCTTACAATTTTCTGGTTCGATGAGATGGTTATTTCGGCAGGGTTAATGACACTAAGCTTGCCAAATTATCTAAATAGATGCCTATAATGAAAATTGGCAAAAAGTGTACGAAATTATCAATCGTGTGATCTACCACCGCAACTTGACTAGCAAAAACAAGTATAATATAATAGGAAAAGGATCTATAGTTTGAAATCTTTGACACTAAAGCGGAGATAATGCTACACAGAAATGCAATAAAATGAATTATTGCTTTACGACAGAGTTGATTTGAAACGAACATCACAGTAATAAAACACTTAGAGACCCTTATAATGTTTTTTTATTACACTGACTAAATTCAGTTCAACAACCTTCTTGATTTAATCCTGAATAATCACTGTTCGTCGTGCCATTTTTTAAACCTGCAAAGAAAAAAGAAAACGAAATGAATACTGGCCATCAATATCGATATGTCAGTTGGTTATTCGAATGATAATTAAAGTTCGATTTTTCGCCAATGAACCGGACAAGGCGCCTCCACTCTCCGTTATAGCTTGGCGCCAGGCGCTCGTCGCGAACTTAAAGTTTAACGGTGAATTTTATTACATTTAATGTTTTGGTAACTTCAATTATTTTATTCTTAGGATAAACCATCAGTTTATTGTCTATAGATGCTGTTCTTGGTGTATAAGCACCGCGTTTATGTCATGTGAATGCTTTAAGGCCAGTTAACAACAGTTGTCTACTGGTGACTCAATGACGACGCCGGCTTCGCATTTACATAACTATCTAGAGGAAACTTTAACATGCAATGTGTATATAAAGATGAATATCCTTCATGTGCTATCATGAATCTTTAATTAAAATGCATAGTCGTTTAATTTGGATTTTATTACCATTTTACCGTATTGTTTGTTTTTCAACTGTCCCTTTGGACATTTTGTTAATGAAGCGAATTCGTCTTGCATACTTATACTTTTTTGTTTTTTTTGTAAAACAATTTGGAGAGAATATTCGTGTACCTAATAATTTTTGCTATTATAATTTATATGTCAATGTGTCATCATACGGGGCCCTAAAGGCCTGATGTTCAGCCGGGTTTGCGGGGTAAGCGCAATGAGGCACCGCAACCTCGGCACAGAGCAAGTGAAGGAACAGGGGGGTTTTTAGTCAGTAAGAGTCTGACACGACACTCCCACCTGCCCGGCCCTGGGCGGGAGAAGTCATTTGATGATTTTCCCCTCACAAAAAAAAAATGTGTCATGGTAAAAACTGGTTACAAGTGTATTGACAGTTCTTTGACTGCGTATCTTTCTTGAGGCGGATACTTTCCATCGATGCAACGTCATCAGTTCATTAGCAGTATTAACGCACGTGTCAACTGCCCCAGGAGTATTGAATGTTTAAAAAAAACTTGTATCTAAATACCGAACGGTCGATCTCGCACCGCAAAACCTGATACTATGTTATTGCAAATTAGATATCGCTTATTTAACTTTCTCGCCTCACTTGCCTACATGCTGCTTGCAATGTGTAAACGACCAATTGAACCGTAAAAATCTCGGCTAAAATTGTCTTCACACACACATCGGAAATTATTCTGTTTGCTAATTAAATTGAAGGCCTGTCAGTTATGATGAACAGGCGAAATAAGCTGTCAAATGGAATTTGGCGATGTTTG